CACCAACAGCATACCCCACCTTACTCAGCCACATGCCACCAAGAAGTTCTACCCAACTGATTTTGTAGCAACTCAGAGATTTTACATTATTGTTGCTGGAAAGTGTATAGACGGTATAAAAATGCATCTGTTTTTATATGCAAATAAAGAATCGGTTTGTTTTTGCCAAGTATCTATCACTCATGCTGATATATGCCTTGATGTCAAAAACAACTGAAAGAGCTCAGTATCACTGGAGGCTAGCTGACAATACGGAATCCCTCGAGAGGCTAGCAACAGAGGAGGTGAAACCCCTTGGGAGGCCAGTGATGGAGGAGACCTTCTGGAGGCCAGGCTGAGGGCCGGCAAAGGTGGAGCCCCTCTAGAGTACCGGAAGCCACTGCAGGTCCTGACACTGGTGCAGTGGAAGCATCAGCTGACTCAGGGGCAGTCTCTTTTCCAGGGGATTCGTCAACTGACTCTGGCAGGTCCCAGGACTTGACACTGATGGAAAATGAAACGGTGGAGACATCGTGTCTCGGGAAAAGGTGAGGTGGCATCGACCTTCTCAGACATGGCCAGGATGCAGGACCTCCACAACCCAAACTGGGTCACTAAAACAAATTCTTGATACTACAAAAGGGTACAAATAAAGACAAAACCCAAAACAAATCCATTGTCCAGCTGCATTACAGCCTTGCTGTCTCAGAGTTGTTCTTCAGTCTAAAATATTTTCCACTTTCAAATTTTTAAGAGACTATCGCGAGGATACTGCCAGAATCCTGATGCATTCATTGCAGTATCAGGGGATTTTAACCATGCTGACCTCGCCTCCCATCTGACTGGCTTTGTACAGTATGTTGACTGTCCAACAAGGGAGAAGAAAACACTCGATCTACTGTATACAAATGCCAAGGAGGCCTACAGAGCCTCAGCACTGCCATCGCTTGGCAAGGCCAACCACAATCTGGTCTTTCTTCATGCCCACTACAAACCTCATGTTCTGAGGCAGCCTGCAACCACCCGTTCATTCAGGAAGCGGACCCCAGAGGCCATTGAGACCCTAAAGGAATGCCTCGAATACATGGAATGGGATGTACTGCTGCCATCACAAGGAAACATGGACATGGACAGCATGGTTGACTGCACCACGAACTATTTTAACTTCTGCTGGGACACTGTTATTCCTGTAATGACAATATGGTACTTTTCCAAAAACAAACCCTGGATCACCAGCAACATCAAGGCTCTCCTCTACCAGAAGTCCTTCAGGCATGGAGATAGGAAGAAGCAAGCCAGGAGGGACTACAGGAGGAAGCTGAAGTGGAGGCTGAAGGGCAACAACAACAGCACCCTCCCTCCCTCCCCCCCACCCCCTCCATCCCCATCTCCACCCTGCCTCTACCCCTTACCCCAACAACTGTACCCCATCACCTCCTACACACTGCCTCACCACCCCCCACTATCACTGCCTACACACTGCACTTCCTCCATCTCCTCCTACACTCTCTCTCACCCCCCGCTCCCCTTCACATTACCCAAACTAATTCACCCTTCCCTCGCCATCACCTCCTTGACATGCCCTCTGCCTTTAGCTCTACCTAGTGGAGCACTTTAATTATTGCTTCAACCTTTCCTGTGCAACAAGCTGGAGGGACAAGTGACCACGTGTTCGGAATCGCAATCAGCCGATTGCTCCAGCTGCGGCGAGGCGTGGCTTGCCACTCACTCTCCAGACCTTCATGCAGTGTTTAAGACACCAGCAAGCCACAAGTCAACACCGGATCGTTGTAACACCTACGTTAGTCTTGCTCTCGTTCGTAAGCTCTGTTTGGTAACTTTGATTCCTGTTCTCACTCTATTCGCCTGTGCTTCAGTTTTGCCACATTTGCTGCCAACCCGTGGTCCATTTTTCATTCCTGATTCCCCTCCATCAGATTCCTCTGGCTCCAGTCCTCCATATCCTCTGCGTCTCCAGTCATCTGGTCCACCTCCTGTCCGTTTGGGAACCTTAGTTTGTCTTTTGAATCTTTGTTTGTAAATAAATTGTGTTCATTGAATTCAACATTTTGGTGATCGAGTCTGCGCCTGAGCCTTTGTTTGCCAAACCAGGACACTCCTACACTCTCCCCCACCCCCTTTCCCTACCACCTCCTTCATTCCGCCACACCCACTTCCCTAATTACCTCCTCCTCCCTGCCTCATCCTCCCCTTCTTCCACTCTACCCCTCCCCCTTCCTCCCACAGCCTCCTCCACTCGGCCTCTCCCATCTCGTCCACGACTCTTACTCACTCTCTCCCGGCCTCCTCCCTGCCCACTCTGCCTCACCTCCATGCTCCTATTACATTTTCGACACTGCTTGTCCTCCTCCCTTGCACTCCTGCCACACAGCCTGACCCCCCTCACCAATCACCTCCTCTAAACTCCCCTACCGACACGGTCCCATTCCTCCCCTGCTCCCGTCCTGTCATCACCTCCCCTACTCTACCTTACCCCCTCTTCCCATCACTTCCTTCACACTGCCTCAGCCCCTCCCTCTCATCATCCCCTCCCCCCATCTTCCCCTCCCTCCCATCACCTCCTCCATGCTACCTCACCCCTAGCACCACAGCAGCACCTCCCCTCACACTGCCCCATCACCGTCCCTCACAACAGAGGAAATGGCTGCAGATCTCAAGAAGCTGCATCCCGGAAAAGCAGCAAGTCCCAACAGTGTGTGTCTGAGGCTGCTTAAGGACTGAGCTGCTCAACTAGCTGAGCTGCTCCAGAGGATCTTCAACCTGAGTCTACGGACTGGTAGAGTCCTGGTTCTGTTGAGAAAGCATTCTGTCTTGTATCGGTGCCCAAAGTAGTGCGCCCTGTTGAGAGACATGACCACAGACCAGTAACCTTCACATCACACCTCATGAAGACACTGGAGCGTCTGCTTCTGTGCTGCTCTCTAAGACCACAGGTTGCACATTCAATTGGGTCAAGTGATTTTATTGTTATCATTATTTTTATTATTATTTTATTGTAAATACCACTAATGTTGCACCTTATTGTAAATATTAACCATTTTTTGCACATTTTTGTATTACCAGCATGTTAATTGCATGTTCTTTTGAACATTTTCCCCCCATCTATATTGCACGTAACGTGTGTAAGAGACTAAATACCTTGAATTTCCCCAAGGGGATAAATAAAGTATATTGATCTCTGCCAAAGTCACAGCACAGTTCACTGTTAAATGACTGGACATTTAGCAGCCAGAGGTTCCTTCCTGTTTCCATTTCTCTCCTCTACTGTGTTCATATGTTTGAGGAATGGCAATATGCTGGGAGGGGCTTGGGGCCAGCTTCAGTCTGAGAGAAAAATGACAAACACTTAATTGAGAGCAAAAGTACCAGACACCACTATCCATGAACCATCCTATGTTGTGGATTTATTAAAGCAGACAGTAAAATGGAAGATACTTTGAATGGATCACAGCCATATCACTGTTCCTCCAACTCCAGCATCTTCCTCTAAGCACTGATCTCAATGCCAAGAGCTAACTTGACGCAGATCAGGTTCTGATAGTCTTCCAGCAGACTGTGCAGCTGGCTTCTCCTGTTCTGCAGCTCCTGCTCCTTCTGACTGAATTTCTGTTGTCAACCCTCCTGCTCCCTGTCCAGAGTTCTCTCCAGTTCCTGACAGCAACCCTCCAGCACCATTTTCTGACATAGAGACAAAGGACAGATAATGTAAAGATAAATGTTACTGGCAACCAGCATTTTTTTTTAGCAACATAATTACCTGGACACAGAACAATAAACCTATACACAGAATTAGACAAATATTCAATTTACAAACATTGTCCAAGCACAAGAGAATCTTTGGCTCATAGCTGAACAACAATGGTTAGTGCAACAAAAACATTTAAGCAAACCAGAAGCTGCTAAATCATGCAGGTGATGCTGAAATACTTAAGTTAATAATGCATGAAATTTAAAATATGCATCAACAATTGTTTACTATTCATTTATTATCTATACACCACTTCATCCTCTGTAGGGTTGTGGTTGGAGCTGGATTTGATTTAGAGAGAAGTCAGGGTGCAGCCTGGACAGGTCACCGGTCTGTCACAGGGCTTAATAAAGTTATCTAAACAAACACAATTCAGACACTTGGTTTTAGGTATGGAGGACTGTCTATTGCAACAAATGCAAATGAAATTAAGAAATACTGTGTTTGAAGGTTCTCCCAAATGGTTTTGAGCAGCGCGTAGATCCTGTAGCAGAATATAACAGACAACCATGCATACCTGCACTTCAGCCAATTTAGAATCACCAGTTAACCTATTAGGCATGTCCTTAGACTGCTCAAGGAAACCGGAGCAGCTGTGCAGGCAATGTTTACATGTTTTTATTAGTTTAAGTCTGTAGGATTTAGGTTTTGCTGTGTGTTAGGTTGGAGCGCTTGTACAGAATCTTAGAGACTGTAGAGATAAAACCTACTTTGAAGAGTTCAGGGGAAAAAAACCTGCTGAACAATGAAGACTGACCCAGGACCTGCAGCCAAAATGAAGAAACAGAAGACTGGATGGACACAGTGTGACGTCTTAACTCGGTGGAAGTGTTGAGCAGACTAATGACACTTTGACATAAATGTCTTAAGTGTACTTATATTAAGTATCTTAATTGTAATTAATGTATGAATGTCATCAGAAGATTTCAATAAATAGTTAACTCTAGTTCCCTGCAGTTTAAGAAACCCTAAACAGGGGGTAAACTATTTAGAAGCTCTCCTGCACTTCTGCATGACAGTCCTGCCAAAATACGAAAACGTTAAAGAGTAGTGACCAAAAATAATGACTGCTAGCGATCTGCTGCGAATAAGTGAAGGAGACACTGTGTCACCTCAGTGAGAGAGAACACTCAGCCTGACTACCGGGCGTTGGAGAGCAGGGACTGGGTTTGTGCGCCACATGAATGGAACGCAGCCCTGCATCGTGGCTGGAGAAGGGTGCAGCCCAGATGTTTGGAACGCAGCCGCAGTCTGTCCGCTTCCTGTCCCCGTCATATGTCGGGGCTCCCTACACTACACAGCGCATGCTAGCCGTTTAGCAAAACAACTTTCAAACAAAGTTACTTTCTACAGTTGTGTCATTTCAAACACCGAAGAGGAAGCATTACAATAGCAGGCAGCGAACAAAATGCCGACGGTGTCTAAAGGAGATGGGATGCGTGGCCTGGCTGTGTTCATCTCTGACATCAGGAACTGTAAGTTTGTTTATCACCTTCATGGACAGCAGTCGGTGCAGCTACTGACTAGTTAGCTGGTGTTACTGACTAGTTAGCTGGTGCAGCGTTACACGTCTAATGCGCCGTGTACAGATCACGTCTCAAAGTACGACCTTTGCTCTTTCTGCCCACAGCTTAGGTGAATTTGACATTTCAAAGTGAGATTGGACAACCTCTCAACACTTGTAGCCCACACTGGCTATGTGACGTTAGCTGCTAGCGCGTAGTAGCTCCGGTCCTGTCACAGGGCGTGGACCGCGCTGACTGGAAACACGCAAACCCAATTTAATCAGCTTCTATTGTTTTAGGTGTGTCCAAAGGTTTTCTGTCAGAAATGTTGCGGAGACTTAGTAGCACCATTTATTTAAGTGAGTATGTTTGTGAGACCGTCAGACTGTCGGTGACGTTTATTTTAACGGCAAACGGCAGGAGGTGTCCATCAGGGGTGTCCAGTCCTGGTCCTCGAGGGCCACAATACTGAATGTTTTAGATGTTTCCCTCTTCCAACACACCTGATTCAAAGGATCAGCTCATCATCAAGCTCTGCAGAAGCCTGATAACGATCCTGATCATTTGAATCAGGTGTGTTGGAAGAGAGAAAGCATCTGAAACATTCAGGATTGTGGCCCTGGAGGACCAGGACTGGACACCCCTGTCCTACATAAACATCTCCGGTGTGCTGTCCGGTTGTCTGTCCTACAGCTGAAAAATGCAGATATTCACAGGAACTGAATGCCTGTTTAAGTATGAACACTATGAAGTATTATATTCCGTTGGGGTTCCAGTGTGTTGCTACTGCGAGCTGTTGCTAAATAAGTTGCCCAACATTTCAGTTGACAGTGCTTTCCCTTCAGCTTCCCTGTATGATGTCGGTAATACAGACACACATACACAAAACTGAGTGAACTCAATTGAGCTCACTATCCCCCCCCCATTATTAATAAGAGGATATACTCTACTATTAAACTCAGAAATAATGCAGTTATTGAGAGGTGATGGGTATTTAGGTAATATTGCAGATGGCTGTGCTGACTGTATGTCAACATTGCTCAAGCATTGTAATGTGATGTAATGTTGAGTCTAAACCAGGAACAAAGCTCTCCCTGTCTTGTCAGTTCACCGGCTCCTGCAGGTCCTCACAAAGTCTGGATCGGGTTCAGTCTATACTGTCTGCAGATCTGAGTCCTCTTTGATACTCTCACCTCCGCACAACTGGCAAATTATCACGTAAAATGGGTGTGAATGTCAGACACTCCCTGTCTGACGTTGACATGTTGTGGAGGGATTTATGCATGTTTGGGCAGGCCATATATCCTGCTACATTCTGATAAGAGACAAAACTAGAGAATCTCTCTTTGGTTCTGTGCTCCGCATTCAGTTTCCTCAACACTAAAACATAGTGAACCTTTTTCTAGAAACATTGCCATCCCACAACAGCCAATGATCTGAGTTCCTTCAGCTATATTCATAATTGGAGATCCTTTTCTCATAATTATGAGATCATATGCTTCTTCTTTTCTCAGATGTTTTGTTTAATTAAGAAACTGGGCTTGGTAATGTAGCTGAAAAAATGACCCTGATTAAGCATTTCATTTCTGTTAATATTGATAATTATTCATAATTTTAAACACTATGTTTCTGATAAAGAACACAGTGAGAAAAAGGGTTTAATTTACATTTAAGTACCGTACTTTGAATGTAGCCATTTTGTTGTTTCAACCTGTGAAAAAGGAGCAATGTAAAGAAGGAAGAATGATCTATTCAGGGTTATGAGTGATCACAGCTTTACACAACATGCAAAATATCTGTATCTTTTTGCAGGTAAAAGTAAAGAGGCAGAGGTTAAGAGGATAAACAAAGAACTGGCCAATATCCGTTCCAAATTCAAAGGTAGGTGAACAGTTAGAAGAAATCTTCAGGATAGGGAATCATATGGCATGAATGGCCACAAGTTTCCAGTTCTCTTTCTATCCGTAGAAGTTTTTTTTGACACAAAACACAAGTTTTTCTGCTCCTTTTCGTTTGCTTTGCTGACTCATCTTGTGACTGTATGTCCGCTATTCCTCCTTTCATTTTTTTTCTGTTTTAATGCTTTTTGCTGTGTCTGCAGTCTTGAAAGCTCCCACTCTGCTCACTGTGCATTTGTGTCTATTAATCCCCTGTTGGTGTTGTTTCCTCTGCCACCTGTTGCATGCTGCCTATAATTAGTTTGCTCCAGAATGGCGCTGCCTCCTCTGCGCATAGTGCCCAGTATTCTTTCCCTCTGTTGGTTCTAGCATATTTCCTGTGTTTTCCAAGATCTGACCAAATTTCTAATGTGGTGGTTGTTTTTCGTGGGCTTTTCCATTGTTTGCACATAAATTAAGAAAGTTACAAACACATGAAAGTGCACCAAATAAAATCCTGCAAAGATAAGTAGGCCAGTGGTTTCAGACACCTTTTACAACAAACACTGCATTTCGAGCAAACAGACCCATTTGCTGTTGTGTTTTAGTGTCTTGTGGGGGGCAGCCCAACAGTTCAGTAGAGCCACTGGTATGCATCTGACCTTGGGCAGGACAGCTTTATGTGTACAAGGTCTGATGTCGTCATAAAAAGCAACGCTGTTTATAACTACTGTAGTCTGCAATGACAAACTTAGCATAATAAGAAAAAAAGAAGATTTGAAGTTTAACCAGTTTTACCAATCAGCAAAGTTTCTTATATAATTTATTTCGGTCTCACTGTTATTCTCTAAAGCCATCTGCAAAATATCAAAAGATTCATTTCCAGTCTATTATACTGTCTTTTGTAAATTTAAGCAACAGACAAGCTCCCTTTTTTCCAGTAGACACTACCTGTGTAGACTCAACCTGTGTTTTCAGATTTATTTTTGTTTTCCGTTTAGTTTTGTCCAGTTTTTTAGGGATGATTATTATTAAGATTCTAACTGAGCTACTACTATTACATATACTGCCAATAACTAACTTAAGTAAAAGTTTGAGCACTGCCAATACCAACAATTAGTTAGAGAATTAAAAGTTGGTGAAAGAGAAAACATAGCAAGACCATGTAGCTGCTCTAAAGTAATTAAATTCATTGCTGCTCTGAGCATTCTGAAACTAAAACTGAATCTCTGAACAACATTCCACATGATGCTCTGACTATTTCAGCCTTCATTGCCACAAATACAAGTGTTTTGCATGTACAAACAGAAGCACAAGTAGTGTGTTGAAACCTCTAGTCAAAGTTCACACCTTACTGGTGGAAAAATACACATTGTGGAAAAGTCATTGCTGAAAAGAACAAACTGGTAAATACAGGACTCCAGACTAACTTTTCCACTGGTAGCACTGGTGTGACCAACATTCTCATTTGGTGGCACCTTCCACCTTGTCACAGGCAAAACACATGACTTGCTGAACATTTTCTTATCAATAGATGCTATAATTTACCAATGTTCCCTAAACGTGCCACATTGCAGGCTGTGGTAGCTGCTGTTGGTATCTGTGGTGTGCTCAGACAGGAGTGTGACCAAAAATGACTTTAAATATAATAAACTTGGGCGTTCTAATGTCAGATTTGTCCAAGATGAATAATTGTTTTGCAACAGCTTTTCAAGGACTTTAGAAATATAGGGGGGATCAGATGTAGAGCAGGTCTTTATCTACCTGGAACTCCTGGATGAAGAGTGATTTTTTTTTTTAATGGAGGTGCAGCCTGTTAATAGGGGTAAATTGATTAGATGTAACGTAAACGTGTAGATCAAAAGTAAGACATCCTTGAGCAGTCAAGGTGGGATGGAGTCTAAAAGACATAACGGTTTGGACAAAGCAGTTGTGGAAGTTAGCTTAGAGACATCTGTAGCAGAGAAGTGGCATCAATATAAACCTACTAAAAATATGTCTGAGAGACATTTGTAAATATACCATACTTGACATTATATTGGTGATGGTGTGACTCGCAGGATGGAGAATGCGAGTATATTCTTGCCACTGGCTGCTCATTTCAGGTGGCTTTGTCATTCCTTCTGCTATCTACAACTGCCTTTGAGCAGCTACCTATCACACTAAAAATTTCAAGTTTTGCCAAGGATTTGCATCATGCAGTAAAGCCGCCTTGCTAGTTTTTTGAGACGGATTGTTCATTTTAATGACAGTGCTAGCCTTGTTGTGTGCCAGTGTTCCACCAAAACAATTCTACCCATCACTATTTTGAGGGAACACTGAAGCCACACCCGTCACTTAGCTCCATCTATGCATCTTGAAGAAAATACAACCAAACTGGAACTTTTTTCTACGTATAGCAGAATGATAGTGTGGTGCAATCAGACCATTATGTTTAACAGAATGCACTGACACTATACTTTATCACAAAACTGTGTCTATCTGTGACAGTTGTGCGGTGAATTTCTTTCTTTAATAGTTAAAATTTTGTTTGTAAAGACACTCATGAAGTTAGAAGACATTCAAATGTCTGAGAGACTGGGCTGAGACAAGGCTGTTACAGGAGTATAGTGTAGTGCAGTTGCGCTGGACTGTACTTTGACACAGAAGAAGCCATAAATAGAATAATGATAAAATATACAATATACTTCTCATAATTGTGGGTAAGACTGTTGTTGAATATTTGTAGAATATCTGTTTTAGGATTATTTGACCATAGAAATTGAGTTTTAAAAAAACAAAAAAACAAAAAAACAAAAACGGTGCCTCCCTTTTCCCCACTACTCACCTGTTTGAAATTAGATGATTGCATCAGACCAATGAAATCCTTGCATTGATAACTGCATGAAGATATTCATGTCCATCTTTGTGTGTGTGGTTGTGGATGTGTGTCTGTGTTTTTTCATATGTGTGAATAGGAGACAAGGCTTTAGATGGCTACAGTAAAAAAAAATATGTCTGCAAGCTGCTCTTCATCTTTCTGCTGGGCCATGATATCGACTTTGGACACATGGAAGCTGTTAACCTTCTCAGCTCCAACAAGTACACGGAGAAACAAATTGTAAGTATTTCCTTTATGGTCAGTCTGTGTCTAAAATTGAAATCTTATTGATCACTTGTCATGCAAATATGATGATCAAACAGAATGTTATGACCACTCACAAATGAGGCAGACAACAATGACCCCATAACAAGAATTGTATCAGTAGTGTTTGCAGTCAACGTCTTAGGGAGTGATAAAACAGGCAAGTGTAAAGACCTGCGCCAGTTTGCTGAATTGTTATGGCCAGATAACTTGGTGAGACCATCTCCAAAATGCTGAGGCTTGTTTGGAACCCAAAGCTCATTGAAATACAAATTAATGGTATTCTGTCCAGCAGTGGCGGCTGGTGAAGATTTTTGGTGGGGGGGCGCAGTCTGCAAATGACCTTTTATTTTAAATCAGAAATTAGAATATGAGTAACATCAGGCACAACTATTTACAGGAATGCAAATGTTCTACCTTTGGAGGATATTCTAATCATAATCTAATTTAACATTATTAAGACTTACCAGCATTAAATTTCAAAACCATTCATCAAATTTTCGTCAATATTTACAGGATCTGTACAAACTCAAAAAACACAACATTAATAATGAAGAAAAAAAAATATACTATTCAGGGCTCCAGACTAACTGTTTCACTGGTAGCACCCATGCGACCCACTTTCTCATTGTGTTGCACCCTCCACCTGGTCAAAGGCACAACATATGACTTGCTGAACATGTGATTTACTGATGCTCCCTGAACGCCTCACATAGCAGGCTGCGGTAGATGCTGTTGGTGGCTGCCGTGTGCTCTGACAGAGTAATAAACTAGGGCATTCTCATGTCAGGTTTGTCCGAGGTTAAACCCAGTTACATGTGTTCTACACGCGGTCTTCTCTACGAGCAGTCTTTTCTCCATTGACAGCGTCCTTGCGCCCTTGCGCCCTTGCGCCCTGTATTAACCAGCCGCCACTGCTGTCTACTCTGGGCTGACAGAAGGGCTACACGTTGCAGAACATTTGAATCATGGTTTTAGGAGAAGTGTGTCCTGCAAGCAGAGCATCACACCTCGCTGTTTATGGAATGCTTTCACTGCCTAGAGTGCCCATACTAACCCCTGTTCTCTGTTGAAAGCCCCTACAATTGGCACACCCTGGTCAGAACTGGACCTTGAACCAATCAAAGAAGGTTGCATCACTAATGTCAGATACTACAGGGCATCTTTAAAAGTCTAGTAAAGTCCTCAGACTGATTGGTCAGAGCAGTTTTGCAGGCACACATTGAACCAACAGCATGTTAGGCAGCTGGTCATAACACTTTGGCTCATCAGTGTATTTTTGTGTGAAATCCCATCAGAGGGAGTATGGAAAGTGCCAATAAGCTGATATACTTGTATTGTTTCAGCATCTTAAGATGGTGTTGTACCACAAAAGCATTTCTTGTGTGTCTCCTTTAGGGTTACCTGTTCATCTCAGTGCTGGTAAACTCTAACAGTGATTTGATCCGCCTCATCAACAATGGCATCAAGAATGACCTCCTCAGCCGCAATCCAACCTTCATGAACCTGGCCCTGCACTGCATTGCTAACGTGGGCAGCAGAGAAATGGCTGAGGCTTTTGCCTTTGAAATTCCCAGCATTTTGGTGGCAGGGTTTGTACACAAAGAATATCCATCATCCATCCATCCATCCATCCATCCATCCATCCATCCATCCATCCATCCATCCATCCATCATCTATACACTACATAATCCTCACTAGGGTTGTGGGGGGCTTGAGCCTATCCCAGGGTGAAGGCAGGGGACACCTTGGACAGGTCACCATTCTATCACAGGGCTGCACTTATAGACAGACCACCATTCACACTCACATTCACACTTGCAGACAATTTAGAATCCCCAATTAACCTCAGCGTGTTTGTGGGCTGTGGGAGGAAGCCGGAGAACCTGGAGAGAACCCATGCTGCTCAGGCAGAAAATGGAGACTCCACACAGAAAGACAACAAAAAGAAAACCCCAGCTAGGACCAGGCTCAAGAAAGGCGGCCATCTGCTTCAACTGGTTGGGTTGAGGGTGATGGGGGAGTGGTTGAGGGGGGATGACAGGATAGACATTTTGACAGGCTCTAAGTCCAAGTAGGCAGCAAAACAATCATCATGACAATATTAAACTTGTGCAATCATTTAGTAAAGTAGAACAATATAATATAAAATACTAAAACAGACAGATGAGGATCAGAGCTTTTAAGAATTTTGTATTTTACCGGTAGCCAGTTTAAGGATGACAGTACAGGTGTAACACTTTCCATCTTTTGGTACCAGTTAAAGTCTTGCAGCAGCATTCTGCACCAGCTACAAACAGTTAAGACTGACCAATACCCATGTACAGTGAGGTGCAGTAGTCTCGCCTTGAGGAAATTAGTGCTGTTATTACAGTTGTCATGTCTTTCATACAGAGGCTGGACTTCAGCTTAAAGTAGCATTCTTTCACTACTGAATTCTTGTTCTTATCAAATGTTGAGAAGTTGTTACCTAGTCATTAATTAAACCTTGCCAATGACAAATCTTTGTTTGTGGTTTGATGTCAGACTCTAGTCACTAGTAGCTACAGTATACATCTGAAAAAAAGAGAAAGTAATAACTTCTGTAGAGAAACAAATTAAACATGGTAGTCTTCAAATCAGCTCTAGACCTAAAGCTACAATTCTATGTAGCCATAGTGTTTAAGTATTTACACTTTTAAATGTGACAGTGACCATAGGAATTTTGTATTGCCTTAGTTCAGATTGTATTTTGCTTGTTTCTATCAGGGACACCATGGACAGCGTGAAGCAGAGTGCAGCGCTATGCTTGTTACGACTCAACAGGACATCTCCTGACCTAGTGCCCATGGGTGAATGGACAGCACGGGTGGTCCATCTGCTTAATGATCAGCACTTGGTAAGACTTTACTTAATTTCTGTACCACATAGTGATTCCAAGCAGGTTTTTAGCATGTTGACACTGATCATGAGGGGAGATTTTTTCTACACTTCGTGTTGTGCTTTCACTAAGGGTGCCACAGTCATGATTCCAACATGTGTTGGCTGCAGCTGTCACAATTTAGGAGGCCAGGTCATATTGTGACATCCACAGCAAAAACTGTGTTACACACATTTTTGTGACCACTGGTAGGTGTGCATCTGGGATTTCTCCATGGAAACTGCAAACTGCAGAAGAGGAGAAAAAAGCTCAAATTCTGTCAGTCAGCAGCTAAGATGATCCAACCTTTAGGGTGTGGATCATCACTGGTGATGATAGATTGGTCTTTGGCTATCACCAAGAGGTGAAACATCACATTTGTCACAGCAGAAGAGCCCGTGGTTTATACAACCAGACAAGGCACATTAGGTCAGGATCGTAGCAGGTGCATGCTCATTCTTTTCTTCAACATTAACATGTTTGTGAAACAGGAATTTATCCCCTGGAGTTGAACAGTTGAGGAAGAATTTTACTGTAATGTCCTAAGGGAGAACATTTGGTACGAAACAACCCTGAACTCTGGTGCCGTGGCATTTGGGTGATCCAATGCACTGTGCACCCACATACAGTGTAGTGATTACACACAAGGTTTTTGGCCACAACAAAACTATCATTGCTGCCTTATTCACCAGATTTGGTTTCCTGCGACATCTTCCACTCCTCAAAAAGGTTGCCTTTTGACACAGAGGGTACTGGACATGTTTACAGAACGGGACTTCTCAGAAATGCTGGGAGCAATATATGAAGGAGTGAGGGTGAAGGCGTCCAAATTTAAATCTGGTGCGGTTGTTGATTTTTATAGGCATAGACTCAGAAGTTTTTGATCACCCCTCCTACGCATTGTATACTGTTTAGTGTATCTACTTTGGATTTGTGACACAATGTCTGTACACCTAAAACACCTAGGGTGGTGAAATATTTGCCAGTTGGATTATATTTTTCATATAAAGGTGTCTCTTTCTGTTTTCAGGGAGTGGTAACAGCAGCCACCAGTCTTATAACCACTCTGGCCCAGAAGAGTCCCGACGACTTTAAAACATCCATTTCACTGGCTGTGGCCAGACTTAGTAGGGTGGGTATCCTTCACATGACCCCTAACAAATCTGTCAAAGATAAAATCTGATTTGGACATCTATTTGTATTTCATTTTGGTTTTGCTTTTGCAGATTGTGACGTCGGCATCCATTGACCTACAGGACTATACATACTACTTTGTTGCTGCACCATGGTTGTCTGTGAAATTGCTCCGGCTGCTACAATGTTACCCCCCACCAGGTATGGTTCAGGAAAATAGAATTGTTAATTAATAGTTATTTTACTATCAACAAACAATGAAATTATAATTAATAGTGTTTACTAGTTACGAGAAATGCTATAAGTTGTCTTTTGTCATTAATTTGTTTACATTAAACATAAAGGTATACGGATTATATATTGTGTCATAGCTTATATAAGACTAATACACAAAAAAGTCAAACTACATTCTGACATTAGTAAACTATTAACAGTTTGTTGTTGCACACATGGCTTTTTATATATTACAGTCAGCATTTGCAATTAGTGACCAAATGAATCATACAGAGTTTGTAAAACATCTAGCAAGTTTACATAGTTGAAGCAGATATTTGTATCACATCAAATGTACAAATTCTAAAGGAGGCATCAATGTAAAGGTTTCATGTAAGCCAATTTAAGGCAGAAAGGGTTTATTTTCATTAAAATAACTTTAAAACATGCTACTTTGATTGGACTTGGATTATTAATTCCACCTCTCCCTCTCTGAATGATCATTTGACATAAAAATATTGTTGATTTCACAGCACAGTCGTTCTGTGTCTGAATGGCCCTCAGCTTTGCAGTGTCTACAGAGTTCATGTTTAAAGCTAGTGATCACATAAGCCACATGAGCTCTGCTAACACGAAGGATTTTTCTATTATTGTGGTGACATTGCCATCAAAAATAAAAGTAATCCACTAGATCTTCCATTCCTCAGATGCTGGGAGTGTATCAAGACCTTTTGCGTTCCTTCTTGTAGCCAACAGCAGAACATTTGATGTGTTTTGCTTATGGCTGTGACAGTTTTAGTTAGCACAAGAAACTCGAGCAGGAAATGAGCCTGACGGACTGTGAGGCAGCTGCTCATTCTGAGTGGCTCATGTGGAAGCAGCACACAGTAAGGGGGCAGAGGGCATTATGCAAATTTCTAGCTGTTACTTTTGGTTACTCAGTGTCTATACAGAAACTAAAAGTTCTTACTGGCTTGTAAACCTGAGAAGCCATCAATTTTAAGGGAGGACTAATGGAATGGCAGTAGTAGGCATCTCAATATTTTCACAGCTTTTATTTTACACCTTCAAGTTTATAAAACATAAAATCCCCAGTAAAAATAACTTTCATCATATGGGACCTTTTAAGCATTTCTCGTGTTTACTTAGACATCCAGCAAAAATAAGCTGCATGGGCCTTTCATTGAGGTCTGGAATGTTTCTTCTTGAAATACAACATAACATAAAATGATTTGATTTGTTGGTAATTTAAATTGTAAATGTATAGTAAGGTCTTTATTTTACAAGTTTGTTGAAGTAATGATGTTGGCAAGGGTTAAGATAAGGGTTTTAAGAACCTAGCCTTTGTTGTTGCAGAGGATGCAGCACTGCGAAGTCGCCTGACAGAGTGTCTGGAGACCATCCTCAATAAAGCCCAGGAGCCACCCAAGTCCAAGAAGGTCCAGCACTCAAATGCAAAGAATGCTGTTTTATTTGAGGCCATCTCCCTCATCATACACCACGACAGGTCGGTTATGTTTGCTGTACTAAGCTGTCTGCTGATCTTCGAACTCCTGCATTATGACAGGACTATAGAGTTTTGCTCTTGGAAAAGAGAAATCCAGTATTTCAGATTGTCAGTTCTACTGTTGGGTGGCTAGACCAGCTTTTGATAAATAGTGTTTGTTTCCAAATTGTGTATTAGGTGTTAGTCCAACTGTAGCAGCCACTGCACTGTGACACTGAATAAAAAGCACCAAGAACAGAACACCAAGCTCTGACTCAGTTATGCTTTGTCCTAAACCCCCAAGGTAACAGGCCAGTCCCAGGCAGAGGGGTGGGTATCGTTAAGTTTTCAATGGTACTGTTACTCTTATCAAAGCTGGTAAATGATCTGGTACTTTAATTGGTTCTTTTTATTATATTCTAAAAATAAAATACAATTTGAATGCTTCTTCAGTTGCTGTCAATAATAGGTAATGGTTGATAATTGGATCCGTATTATTATTATTTTAAACGAATTCCTGACAAAAGACATTCATTTAATAATAAGCTTCTTTGTCTCTAATTCAGCCGCCTCTCTCTATCAGTAATCACTCTGTGATCTCAGGCAATGTTCCACCCACAGCAATTTCTGATTGGTTGCATGTCACAGGTAATAGCTAATCAATACTGATGGATAAAAATTCCAAAGCTCAGTTTTAATTAAATATATAAAATCATGGACAAACAAATTACAATAAAGTTTTGTGTTAGAGTTTGTGCTATTATGAATTTGGATACAGACATTTTCATTGTTTTGTGTCTTGTCTCCTAGTGAGCCCACCCTGTTGGTACGAGCCTGCAACCAGCTAGGCCAGTTTCTGCAGCACAGAGAAACAAACCTTCGATACTTGGCTTTGGAGAGCATGTGCACACTGGCCAGCTCTGAGTTTTCTCATGAGGCAGTAAAGACGCATATAGAAACTGTGATCAACGCTCTGAAGGTGAGTCTCTTCGTTATCTGGGTGCTTTTGGTAAGCTTTTCAGATTAACGTAAAAAAGACAAGTGCTTGGATTGCTTTTACAACCTGGTTATCGCTATTCTGTGCTTTTTTTTTTAAACTGCCAGACAAGTGGTTAGCAATGGAGTCTGGAATGGGCCGTTGGAATTGTTATGCACTTTTTTAGTAGTTATTTATAATCACTTAAGTAGAATTTGGCTCTAAAAACGAATGATGATTACAGTGAAATGTATTCTTAGCTTTAGAATGCTCATTTACATCTCCGCTCTTATGACTGAGAGAAGCGAAAGGCAGTTTAAATCCCTTTGTTCCAACACAAATATAACAAGGTACGTAACCTGCAGCTGCTGACCAACTGTGAGCCTATTTGTGTTGGAACAAAATACAACAATTGTGAGTTTTGAACAACATATTGGGATGGCAGATTGACTAGGGCACTATTAAAAATAAAATAATACTAGAAATGGTCTGTACAACTTTTTACAGCTTGAAGACTGAAACAAATAAAATTCAAAAAAGTATGTTTTTTAGTTGAGACTACTTAACTAGTCTAAATTTTAATTTCATTTTAAATGAAAGTAGTTGTTAGGAACATCCCTAACAGTGATGTTTCTTTCTTTAGGAACCTCTGTTTGGCTAGTGACAACATAACCCAGCTTGTGACAACCTGAACCTCTTTTTGATGTTTGATCAAACGTCATCTTGTAATCATTTATGTTTTCTTGCAGACAGAGAGAGACGTGAGTGTTCGTCAACGCGCTGTGGATCTGCTCTATGCCATGTGTGACCGTAGCAACGCCAAGCAGATTGTGGCAGAAATGCTGAGCTACCTGGAGACCGCCGACTACTCAATCAGAGAGGAGATTGTGGGTCATCAATACAGGCCTGTTTGCCTTTCAGTTTCTCAGTGCAACCTCTTGTTCTCAGCCACTGGCTTCTCTTTCTCAGGTGCTCAAGGTTGCTATCTTAGCAGAAAAATACGCAGTGGACTACACATGGTACGTGGATACTGTTCTCAACCTCATCCGTGTCGCTGGTGACTATGTCAGTGAGGAGGTGTGGTATCGTGTCATCCAGATAGTCATAAACCGAGATGACGTCCAAGGATATGCTGCCAAGACTGTCTTTGAGGTGAGCATGGACGTTTATGTCATCATAGATCAGCTCAACTGTCAGTGTGAACCTTTAGCATCTGCCTCATCAAACACATTCATGTTGACTAAATGGGAATAGCTAACTAATGACACTGTGTGGGCATCAGTACATGGGTTCAGTCACATGCATTTGCAAATGTCAAGCTTTTTTGAGCCCTTTCTGCCAAACCTTACTAGGACATTTGTTTTTATTTCTCTTATCTGGTAATTAACAGGTTGTGCAGTGCAGCAGCTATAAATGTCTGAAGCCAATATAGCCATTTTTTAAATAGGAAGATATGAGCAACACAAGCTTTCCATAACAGTCATGTAAGAATACTATAGTATGCCATCAAATTAAACTTGCAGTGCATTTTTTCTGACTGTAGAGTAATTCAGCTGTCAAACTGATTGCTTTACAAAGCATTGGCCTACTTTGCTTTAAGTGCACACTGTGCAACTGGCAATATGACACCATTTATCAGAGCCACAAACTGTGAAAACAGACAGAGTTGTCAGATTTCTAGTAAGAGTCAAAATAGACCATTTGCCCTGCTTACACTTTGCCAATAACAAATCCTCAAAGAGCGTGCACCGTGAAAAGCTTGTGATGGATGGTATCTATGTTTCCAGAACTATGTCAGGTCCACACAGACATGTTGACTATGTGTTTTTCACCTGTGCCATTCAAAATTTAGTTTTCTTCCAAATTGTTCCAAACCCAATGACATTGTTCTTTGTGAAAACTTGTAGGCACTTCAGGCTCCTGCCTGCCATGAGAATCTGGTGAAGGTCGGAGGTTACATCCTGGGAGAGTTTGGTAACCTCATTGCTGGTGATTCACGCTCCAGGTACAAACAACATCCACACAGTGTAGTCCCCTTTTAATCATGTAATTTTTTGCCAGAGTCCGGGGGCTGGGGGGGGCCTGGGGCGCCATAAGTCCCAGCTGACTTATGGCAAAGGCAGGGGACACCCTGGACAGGTAACCAGTCTATCACAGGGCGACACTTAGAGACAGACAACCAAGCACACTCACATTCACACCTACGGACAATTTAGAATCACCAATTAACCTCAACATGTTTTTGGACTTTGTGGGAGGAAGCCAGAGAGAACCCACACTGCACGGGAATAACATGTAAACTCAACGCAGAAAGATCCCAGTGTCCTCACCGGGACGCAAACTGGCGACATTCTGGCTGCGAAGCAACGGTGCTAACCACTGAGACACCTTGCAGCCCTTCAGCAGCAACATCACTTCAAAAAGTCTTTTGTTGAAGTGTTACTTTTAGACCTCACTATTTTTTCCTTTTTTATTTTTGGCTTTATTAGTGACAGTAGAGATGCACATAGGAAATACGGGGGGGACAGATGGTATGACATGCAACAATGGCTTAGCCAACTGGGGGTGAAAGCAAGGATTGCGTCATATGTGAGGGAAATTTTAAATACATTTTGGGTTGTGTTTTTGACTTTGTGACAGGAGCTCACTCAGAATGTGAGGACGTTTTACTGATACTGGTTTGTGTTCTCTTCACCCTCAGCCCTCTGGTTCAGTTTAATCTTCTCCACTCCAAGTTCCACCTGTGCTCAGTGCCAACCCGGGCACTGTTGCTGTCGGCTTACATCAAGTTCATTAACTTGTTTCCAGAAGTGAAGGCTACAATTCAGGATGTCCTGCGCTCAGATAGCCAACTTCGCAACGCTGACGTGGAGCTTCAACAGAGAGCTGTGGAGTACTTGAAGCTCAGCTGCATTGCCAGCACTGACATATTGGTTAGTAAATTATGCCGGGATTAGGCAAAATACACTACAGTTTCTTAGTCTCACATACACAGAAGCTTTAAAATAAGGGTGGGTTAAAAAAAATTACACCCTCATTTTTCTGGAGCAGATATTTGTTGGACCTCTCTGTAATTTCCTGCCCTTACCGCACAGACACATACACATACCAAGCTTTAAAGATAATTTAATAAGATAATATTATACCCTTGCCTGGATCTGTGCTTCACCATAAATGTTCTCTAGAGGTCGACAGAGAATTCTTGGGCTGACATGCTGTGTGACTTGTAAGGTCTCATGCTTGTGGTGTTGTAAACCCCTCCCCACACATTTCTAACATCTTAACTGTGATTTTCAGCAACCAAGAATCCCACAAGCATGTCCACTTCCCGCAACATTTCGTCCAACATTGTACAGAAATGAGAACTTCTTAGGGTCTGAACTTCCCAAATACTCTTTCATCATTCTTCGTACTGCAACATCTGTCACTGCCTGCATGTAGAATTGAATGCTGCAAATGCACTCCAAAAAAGATTTTCAGAAATTGTATGCCAGCATCTTCATCTGAACCATTCTTGCATCTCTCCCTGCTCTATGATGGCATATAACATTTTGAGCAGTCATAAACCAGTCAGACATGTTTGGATTTGAGTATATATCAGCATTACAAGTGTAGCACTAAAGCATTAACACCCAACCACTCCTAAACTGTGAACCACTGAGCTATGATGTAATTTTTAGAGTTGCTTTAGAAACACGTGCCACAGTTGAGAAAAGGTTATGAGAGCTACTCTGGATCTGTGAAACAGCACCTCTGCTAATAATGCAGCAACTTTCTGCATTGTGGAAAAAAATAACGTTTGTGTTGTATGACTCTGTCTCTCTCCAGGCCACAGTCTTAGAAGAAATGCCTCCATTTCCAGAAAGAGAGTCTTCAATCCTGGCCAAGCTTAAGAGAAAGAAGGGCCCAGGTAAACTGCCTGACATAGACGAAAACCGACGGAATGTCAACGGCAGCACTGAGCACAGTGAGAACACTGACACCACAAACAAGGTAACCGGCAAGTAGTGCAAATAGATTATTGTTAAATCTGGCCTGTATAGCTAAAGTTTCTTTATACTTCAGGATATTTTTTACCAGGAAAAACTTTGATTCTTAACAAGTAAAGAAATGTCACTCACAAAAAAGCACATGTAGTAATTTGCTGTAATGTGTTTTATTGTTACATTTAAATATAATCTCAAAGACAAGCTTGTATCGCATAAATATTGTGATAGTTATATTGCGTATATTGTTGATTTGAAGTCTTTTGGCATTTGCCTTTATTTTCCTCCATTTGCTTTTCCTTGACCTTCATCTTCACTTGTGCTTTCTCTGTCCTTCCCAGTTTTCACCCTTCTGTCGTTCTTCTTCTCTTTCTGTTTCTTTCTCGATCAGTGTTCTCCTTCACTGCTAGAAGACCTTCTTCCTACTGACAGACCTCGCCCTTCCTCCTCTAGTCCTGTCATACTCGCTGCTAGGACCATGGTATACTGACAGTTACACCATGAATTACACATTTATTCGTGGAGTGGCAATTACTCTAATGAAATGATTTAATCTTTTGGAAAGATCACACATACAATTATTGCTTTGTTTGAAGTATTTGGCATAGAAGCTGCCCTGGCAGGTACTGTTCTCATTCCTTTTTTTTTTTTTTTTTTTAATCAATGAAACGGCATCGAAGAGGTGTTTAGTGGTTTTTCTTATAGATATATCGATCACTTAAATAATGTAAATGAACTAACCTGATGGATTTTTTCTGTTTCTGCTGCTCCCACCCTCTGGAACTCCCTTCCATCTCCCATCTGACACCGCTCTGACCGCCGCACATTCAAATCCCTCCTAAAAACTCACCTATTCAAGACTGCTTTTAATTTCACTGGTTTACATTTTAGAGCTGCTTTTTATAGCTGCTTTTTTTATCTGCTTTTTCTTCAACTTGTTTGTTTCTGTTTTTATCTTATGCCCTGTAAAGCGACTTTCAGTATCTTGAAAAGCGCTATACAAATAAAGTGTATTTTTATTTTTATTATTATTATTATTATTTAGTGCAACTCAGTGCTCACATTGACGAGCTCAGCTAAGTTTGAAGGTAGAATAAAGTATATTCTGAAAATCATCTCCATTCCACTCCACTCATCCTGAACTTCTGTTTAGGTTGTTTCTGGATGTCTGTGATACTGTAGGGATGATGTTTGCTGTTGTTTCTCTCCTAGGCTTCCACCCACCCCTTTACAGATGTGCTGAATCTTAACTCAACCCCCTCAACAGGACCCAATCTGCTAGTTGATGTCTTTTCAGATAGCTCCAGCCCTGCGTCTGTAGATGTGTCGGAAGACAATTTTTCCAGGTGGGATCATACTGTGAGCTTGGTTGAGCAAATTAGGTCATAGCTGTTTAATTACCTTACGCAATGTGTAGCTGCAGTATTTATAGAGGGCATAAAGGACCAGAGCATGTTAATTCACAGCCTTTTATTGTTATTGTTTATTTATTTCTATCTAGCTTTTGCCATTCATTTATTGCCCAACTGTTTGAGGTACTTTTCATGAGTACACCTCAGTGCAACACTATCAGCGTCTCCCTGAAACCATTGTTTCACAATGTGCACCTTAATCCCTGTTTTTAAAGAGTAACTTGTGTTACCATGCTTTCCTGTGCTCAGGCAAGGGCAGCCATCAACCTGAAGTGTCTTCAGCTGGGACACACTGCTTTTCTTCATTTAATGTTGTGCACTTGTAAATTCCAGGTTTGTTTGTAAGAACAATGGTGTTATCTATGAGAACCAGCTCCTGCAGATTGGACTGAAGTCTGAGTACAGACAGAACCTGGGTGAGTAGCTTTACTGCAATATTTTACTTTCAGAAACTTAAGTTCTGCATCCTTTCCTTTTGGCAATTTTTTTCAACTTAATCAACTTTTCCTGTTTTAGGTCAGTTAGGATTACCAAAATTATTTATATTTGCTAAACAGCAGAATAATGAGAGACACTTTTTTATTACTTACTTCAAAGGCAGAAGTTTACATACATTTCCTTAGTATTTGGTAGCATTGTCTTTAAACTGTATGGCTTGGGTCAAATGTTTTGGGTTTCCCTCCACAAGCTTCTCACAATAGTTTGATGAATTCTGGCCCAGTCCTCCTGACAGAACTGGTGGAACCGAGTCAGGTTTGTTGGTCTCCTTGCTCCACACACCTTTTCAGCTCTGACCACTAATGTTCTCCAGGATTGAGATCAGGGCTTTGTGATGGCCACTCCAAAACACTGACGTAGTTGTCCTGAAGCCTCTTTGTAACTAATCTGGCTGTATGCTTATGGTCATTGTCCATTTGAAGACCCATTTGTGCCCAAGCTTTAACTTTCTGGCTGATGTCTTGAGATGCTGCTTCAATATTTCCACATAATCTTCTTTCCTCATGATGCCATCTACTTTGTGAAGTGCAGCAGTCCCTCCTGCAGCAAAACACCCACAACATGATGTTGCCACCCCCGTACTACACAGCTGGGATGGTGTTCCCCCTTTTTCCTCCAGATGTAACGATGGTCATTATGGCCAAACAGTTCAGTTTTAGTTTCATCAGACAACAGGACATGTCTCCACAAATGAAGGACTTTGTCCCTGTGTGCATTTACAAACTGTAATCGACTTTTTTGTTTCTTTTGGAGTAATGTCTTCTTCCTCTCTGAGTAGCCTTTCAGCCCATGTCGGTACAGGACTGGCTTCACTGTGGATAATGACTCTCTCTTACCAGCTTCAGCAGCATCTTCACAAGATCTTCTGCTTTTGTTCTGAGGTTGATATGCACATTTCAACCAAAACACTTCATCTCTGGACACAGAACCCGTCTCCTTCCTGAGCACTCTGATGGCTGGACACTCCCATGGTGTTTATAATTGAATATAATTGTTTGAAGTGATGAACGTGGAATCTTCAGGCATCTGGACACTCTACCCAAGGATGAACCAGACTTGTGGAGGTCCACAATCCTCTTCCTGATGTCTTGGCTGACTTCTTTAGATTTTCCATGTTGTTACAAAAAGAAGCAGTGTGCTTGAGGTGTGCCTTAAAATACATCCAAAAATGTGCCTCCAGTTAACTCACATGTTGTCAATTAACCTATCAAAAGCTTCCCAAGCCATGACATCATCATCTGGGCTTTCCCAAGTTGTTTGACTACATAGTAAGCTTAGTGTATGTAAACTTCTGACTTTGAAGAAAGTAATTTTAAAAAATCTATTACAAAAATTCTCTCTCTCATTATTCTGGCATTTAGCAAATAGAAATAATTTTAGTAATCCTAACTGACCTAAAACAAGAAACGTTTAGTCTGATTTAATGTCAGTGAGGAAAAAAATGATATATGTCTTTTTATACAGTGTATGCACACTTCAGGTTTCAACTGTAGATCGAAAGATAGTTAACTCGTTCTTGTTCCCCAGGTCGCATTTATGTGTTCTTCGGCAACAAGACATCTACTCAGTTTCTCAGCTTCTCCTCATTTGTCACCAGTAGTGACATACTCAAGAGTCATATCCTTTGCACAGCTTGACAGCTTCTTGCATCAATTCCAGCTCACTAGAATTTACTTACCTCAAATCAGCATCGTTACTACTACTTTTCAGCTAAGAAATATTTTGTACATCAGTCCTGCAGGAGTGCTGCATTTGCATATCACTCAAACAGTTAAGAAAAAAAAAAAGACTATGCAAGAGGGTAGCCTGCTAGTCCCTGCTATAGGAGAGCTAACATGTATGTGTCTGTGTAATCCTTGACCACTGCTTCCACAGCTGAATGTGCACACTAAGACAGTAGACCCCATAATAGAAGGTGGGGCTCAGGTCCAGCAGATCCTGAACATTGAATGCGTGTCAGACTTTATAGATGCACCAGTACTCAGCATTCAGTTCAGGTTTGTATCCGAAAGCAATATTTGTTTTTAATGTTATTTGTCCCTTGCGTATATGCTAATTTCTGACTCTGTGCAAAACAGATACGGTGGAGCTTTGCAGAACATTGCAGTGAAACTCCCTGTGATGCTGAATAAGTTTTTTCAGCCCACAGAGATGACATCCCAAGATTTCTTCCAGCGCTGGAAACAGCTTGGAGCGTAAGACTTAATTTATCGATATACCAATATATAGCAATGTTCAATGGTTGCTGTAGGCCGAAACACCTTCAGATTAAGTGACAGTATTTTTAATGGTTTAAAATGTTGATCCTTTTCACTGACTCTACATCAGTCTAAATATCATTGTACAATATAATAATATAATTGAATAATAATAATAATAATCAATATAATTGAATTTCCCTTCTGGGATAAATAAAGTATTTTTCATTTCACATGTTGTCTATTTCATGGTTAGAGATTTATTTAAAAAACCAATTCGCATTTGACTACAGTGGTCGTACTGTTAAGTGCTTTGAGGTGGGTTTAAGTTGTGGATAAATGCAAGTATCATGAGATATTCACAGAGTAACATTGAAATCGACTGGTAGACTGCAGTTCTACTAAGAGAGAGCTTTTTGTTGTGACATGTTACTTTTTTTTTTTGTCGGCCCCCCGCTATGGAATAATGTGATTATTTTCTCTCACTGCTGTGTCATCAGTCCTCAGCAAGAAGTTCAGAAAATCTTCAAAGCCAAGCACCCCATGGACACGGATGTTGCCAAGGCCAAGGTAATAAATCACTTCCTGCTTAACTACGGACATTAACCAGCTGTGTGTTAAAATTTCAGGGCCCATTATGACATGCTTTTGTGTGAGCATAACCACTAAAATGAGACACATTTGTATCGTACAGAAAACCTGCATGTATGATTAGATAGTATGTAGTGCTGACTTTGGCTGTTAGTACTGCACTTTGGAACTTAACCACTTTTTTAATTGGTAATAAGATCAGGATATGGCATTGTTCATTTCTTTTATTTCTTTTATTTCCTTTTATCATTCAAAAAGTATACATCATACTCCAGCATGATCTTCCATGATATTTTTGGTCCAAAATTACAGATTATAGCAACTTTTCTGACAAATGTCAGTGCAGCTTTTTGACTTTATTGATACCACCATGCTACACTTTGCAGCCCCCTCATTCATTTAAAATAGAGCCAGTCAGTCAGTGGTGTGTCAATGCAGGGGACTTCAGGAGAACAATGGACAGTCATCCAACAAAAAAGCTAAACCTCAACTTTTGTTGCAACTATGTTGCTCCCCATTTCAAAATGCCTTGAACTCCCCTGCTTCCACCCCATTCCGCTGCCTTTGTCCACAAGGAAGAAAATTATTATATAACAGTTTAGATAGCAGGGTTGCAAGGTGGCTCGGTGGTTAGCACCGTCACCTCACAGCTAGAAGATCCATGGTTCATGTGGAGTTTGCATGTTCTCCCTGTGCAGCATGGGTTCTCTCCACGTTGTCCAGCTTCCTCCCACAGTCTGCGGGGGCGGCGGCGACGAAGCTCCCCAGAAGCTCTGGCAATCCGATTCCTCATTGACATGGTAGCATGAGTCTGGAGACATAAAGTAGCTGACATACGACCTCCATTCTTTCCGAAACAATCTCATATCATGATGTGCACATGGTTGTTTCTTTTAAAACAAACATACACTCTTTGTTAGCAGTGAAGACAACGGTAGAGAAACAAATTTCTTAGGAAAATTTGCACGTTATACTGGAAAATAAGTCAAATTTTCCAATCACACAGCTTGAAAGACAGCATAGTGGGCCAAGATACAGCATATTTGTTCGGCTAACGCTGGTGGGAACCCTGTTGGGGTCTATCTCAGCTGACTCAGGGCAAAGGCAGGGGACACCCTGGACAGGTCACCAGGGCTACACTTAGAGACCGACAACCAAGCAGGCGTCCTAACCAGGACATGAACCAGCGACCTTATAGCTGTTAGGCGACGGTGCTAACCACCGAGCCACCTTGCAGCCCACATAATAACATATAAATAATAAATTACTAAACAAGAAAGAAATCAGTCAATATTAAAGGCTGTTGCAATAACTATATAACATCCCATCCTCAGGACATGGGACCAGTACAGATACTCACACACAGGAACATGCAAATACTAAGCATATCTGTGCACACACTTCTCCTTAAGGGGGCGTTGGGTGGCAGGCAGCAGTTCACAGACAGACCCAGAGGACAGCTGTACTGTGAAATTGCACATTCGGGCAGCCCCTCAGAAAAACTGAACAGTGGGAATAGAGTCTGTCTAAGGAAGCTCTTAAATTTTCTCCAATTTTACTGACATGATATAACCTGACAACTTGCCATAGCTATCAGGTAGCACACTTCTTACTTCTTTCTAATTGTGTGTATCCACTGGTCTAGTTTTCTAGTTCCGTTTTTTTCTAAGCACAAGAAAGCCATTTTGTTGAAACTAGGTTTTTTTTTTTTTTTTAAACCACTCTTTTTTTCCTGAGCCTTTTTTTCCCCTCCTTCTTCTACATTCTTTTAGATCTTAGGCTTTGGTGTAGCTCTGCTGGAAGGGGTGGATCCCAATCCTGCAAACTTTGTTGGAGCCGGAGTCATTCACACAAAGAGCACACAGGTGGGCTGCCTCCTCAGACTGGAGCCCAATGATCAAGCACAGGTAAAGACACACACACACACACACAGAAACTGAGGCTCATTCTGTATTAACCCATCATATGGATTGTGTAACTCTGTGTGTTTTCTTCTCAGATGTTCCGTCTGACCCTCCGGACCAGCAGGGAGTCTGTATCTCAGAGACTGTGTGAGCTCCTCTCCGAACAGTTTTAGACTCAGCACCAGCATTTTTACACTCTCACTCTCTTAGCCTCACTTTAGAGTGGAATCAATGTATTGTACAGTGTACATTGTTTTTTTATTTTACTTGCTTTACATTTAAATGAATTGAAATGAATTTTGCACATAGCTTTACTAATATGTCACTGCTTTAACCTGCCTTGTATACTCACACTGTGAGCGCCTTAGCCGACATGTTGTGGACGGTGCGAAAGGCTCTGAACGCTTCTCTTTAGGGTTCTGTTGCTCCAGCATTCAGAACAGTTTAGAAACTGTGTGCTTTTGGTGCTTTGGTACTTCATATTCAAATATTTTAAACAGTTGACTAGCGAAGAAGGAAGCACGACGTGGCTCTGTTAGCTGATCCGACAGGTGCTCCTCAGTGGGGCAGGTGAAAATACAAAACACAACAAGATTCAGGAAGTCCTACTTAGTATTCAAGTGTGCAGACAACCCTGGTCGCAAACCAAGGCACTCTACCGTCAAGTGAAATATTAAGTTATGTTTAAGCGTATAAGCAAACAAACAGATCAATACGTATCGACTCTGGGTCTTCATCTGGGTCTGACAAATACATGTGACTGAATTACAACATGTATCAGCCAGGAGCATTCAGACCAGCTAATGTGGTACATGAAGCCCATGCTTTCCAAAAAGTCTCTTCAGTAATTGTTTGTTTAAGGTTGTTTAAGGTTCCAACATTTGTGTTTATGTTAAGCTGAATGTGTCTGCCTGGATGCCACTGGCTGGTGTCATTTGGTCTGATAAAGGCCAAGTGTTGATATACGTTTGTTATGTGCTTGGAAAATAATATTATTACATCACTGGAAGATGAGGTTCTTTGTTTGTTTTCATGGTTGTCTGCACCATTTAATAGTAAGCAAGACTCCCGCATCTTGTTATATTTTGAAGACTGTTACGAAGCATTAATAAGATTGAGTTAGCTGAAGATCTCAGTGGGATTGTAATCTTGCCAGTGGTCTCAATTGCTATTGAAGTTGTTCTGTTTATGTTTAAATGAGATGTTTATTCCTGTAGGGTTTCAAACAACTGTTGCACAGAAGCATTCTGCACTTCTGCACAAAATTAGAATGCATCGATAGATCACATAAAAAGACAATTCTGACTTGTTTTACCAACTTTTCACCAGTTTTACACATCTGTTATCTCAGGAGGAAAGCTGTTGCATTGTGTGTTTTTTTTTTTAAATTTTATTTTATTTTTTAGCAAAAACAGACTTTGGACGCTACAATTGTGTTTCCATTGTGAAAAATTTGGAGTTACTTGGTGAACAGAATTCAGACACTCATAAAGTCAATATAGAACACTAGATAGGAATTTTGTGTTGTATTGGAATTTGCTGTCTCCAAAGAGTTTTGCCTTTGAACTTTTGTTACTCAACAAGAACAGAAACGGCTTCAAATAGAGTAGAACAGAGGGTGACGTTGTTAAACTATACAGCACTGCCAAATGCCTTTATTCACAGAGCACTGCCAAATAAATGATTAATTATATTTCTACATACACTTGTGTATGGTGTATTTTCTTTTTTTGTAAAATGTATCTTTATTAATTAACAAAATTTTAAAAATCACCACCTCTAAATGAGTGTAAACCCGACGAGCTTTGGTTTCACAGGTTATGTATGTGAGAAGAAGACTCCAGGTCAAGGCCTGGCCAGGAAATAGCCATAACCCACTCAATAATGAAAGATAACTTACCTTTTTACACTGCTGTTTTCATAACATTTTGTATAGGCAGCTTTCTTTTTTTTTTTGCACAACTGGACTATTCAGTCTTTTATGCTAAGCCAAGCTGCCCCTCGCTTGCTAGACCTTCATATTTAATGACAAAGCATGAGAGTGATAGTGATCCTCCACTGATTGATTCTCAGCAAGAAAGGAAATAACATGACTTTTTTTTTTTTCAATAATTCTAAGATTGTGTGAAAGAGTTCATGAATAAAAGTGCCTTAATCAAGGCCTGAGAAACGATACTGTGGTGTCATTTTCAAAGATTTTTTTTACCATGTTTTCAAAGCCATGGGCCTGTAGCTGACTATATGAGGCTTCACGTCAATTTAAAACCAGTGGACATCGACCTTTTGTATGTCTTCAGATTATCTGTTTACTTTTGTGAGGCCCAGAAGGTCCCAACAGGTGTGGGTGCTCCCAGAAGATCAGCCTAGGCAGTGTCACCCTGAGGCTTCTGTTATTCAGTAGCTTCCTTTGAAGGTGAAGGCAGCAGGCAGGATTGCAACGGTGTGCCTTTATGCATGTCAAGATGAGTAAAGCTTCACATTTGTTAACAATTAATAGAACCAAGTACAGCTATAAATGACCTCTGGACTTCATGTTTGAAGTGTCCATCAGCAGGATAGACCCACCATATTGGGCTTTTTGCATCCTTAACTCTTCAGTTCAGTTTACGCCTGTTACTAAACAGTTATGACTAAAGGAGACCACTCTCATGCAGCAGGCAGCATTCATCAGCAAAATGTTCTGACGATCCCAAAACATGCTCCCTATCAAGTGTCAAGTTATTAAGTTAATTAACGAGCAGGTCACATGGAGCATTTTAGGTACATACTTTCCTCAGGAGTTTCTGTAGAGCTCCACAGAGTCAATACGGGAGTGAATGTTATACTTTGATTAGTGATGTTGACAGAAACACAACTCCAAACAAATACTTATGTTGCTCAAAATGTAATATCTGTATCCAAAAAAAAAAAATCTTTGTTAGGGTCTTTGTAATGTCAGTTCTGTCAGTGTTTGTCCAGCAGATGGCCTCATTTATTCCAATAGTGAACAATAGGGTTGGTAATCATGGATATTAATACCTCCCAGAAACTAATTGCACTGGCAACATTAGAGCAGATGGCCTGCCTAGATGTGTAACATACAGTAGCTTCACTGATTTAGAGTCACACAAACTGGTAGCACTGGGTATTTAAACCATAAATGTACAAAAGATGGATGCAGCCTCCAGGTCTGAAGGGTGAAGAGTGGTGATTTGGTCAGATTGCATAGCACATGATCCTACTTCTCCCTTAACCCATGGAAGGACTACCATGTGATTGACAGGTCGAAGAGCAGAGCCTCCAACAGATGTGTAAAGTTCTGCAGCCAGACACCCTTTTCAATAATCCAGGTTTATAGCAATACTGTTGTTTTATAACCTGGTCTTGTTTTCATATTTTTCTCCAGGCCTTTTGCACTGGGCTTACTGCCTCTGTTACAGAGGGCCCAGCTTTACCACAGGCTCCTAAAGGTGGCCACTAAAATTCAAGTTATGGATGGTTTTTCATCAAGTTCCCACAGTTTCGTTCATGCACTGGGGTAATGATAGTTTTTACTGTTCACCTTTCCTAAAACCTCAAAATAAGTCTATGATAGTTTACTCTAAAGGTAGCTGAGGCTCATGCTTTTGTGGACTCACTGTGTTCTAATGTAAAGTGATGTTTAGGTGGAGGTTATGGTCCCAGCTTACACTAAACAATCCTGTTGATATTTGGGACATTTTGACCTCACCACAGTGCTGTTTTGTTTTTCTGCAAACGCTTTCTCCACCTTCAGTGCCAGACAAAGGATTATGGGATTGTGAAACGCTTTGCAGTTCTTTGTTCAGTTTGCAACACCAAAATAATTAAAATGAAAAATGGGTTTAAACTTGCATTATTCATTTCTTTTAAATTCTTCTTGAAGTAATAAAAAAATGTTTGATGGAGAAAATAGAACAAAGAACTTCAAAGTGTTTTTCCTTTAAAGAAAAGGATTCATTCTTGCTATTTAAATGTAATGTCATTTCAACATCCATATCCAAACACTGTTTTTCAAATAATATAAAATTGCAAACAAATTGAAACTAATATTTCTTGCTTTTAAATGGATAACACATTACTACACTGATAGCGCTGTATAATTATGCACTACGTTCAATATAACAAAATCCTACAATGTACTTGAAACCTTCCCAAGGCTGACTGCACCATGAGCCTTACTAATGTTTATTTTGCTGTGTGAGATATTGATTTAATGACAGCTGCACGAGTGAGTTTAATTTTTATGCTGTGTGCGATCAGAAAGTACAACACCACGAGAAAAGTGCAGGGTCAGTTTTAATGTCTAAACCACAGCAACAAAACTAATTTACAAAAAAAAGGCACATTTCTATAAAGTAGTGGCAAGTAATTAAAAATCTAAAATAAGTGATTGTATTAGTATTCACCCCCTTTAAAGTGACTCACCTAATTCAACACGGGCGCAGCCAGCTGATGCTAGAAGTCACATATTTAGTGAAATGCAGATCATTAAAGTGCAGTAAGTGTGTTTGAAGTGATTGTGACATAGAAACACCTGCATCTGGAAAGTTCTGTGACTGACGAATCAGTACTTTTGGCTATACTGTGAAGGTAAAACAAAAAACCAAAGCACGCTAATCAAAAACTAAGTGACTGTGCAAGAAAGAGACTAGTGAGGAAGGCCACCAAGATACCTATGAGCTCACTAGTATACATGATATATACTACACTGAACAAAAATATAAATGCAACACTTTTGTTTTCACTCCCATTTTTCATGAACTGAACTCAAAGATCTAAGACTTTTTCTGTGTACACAAAAGGTCTATTTCTCTCAAACATTCACAAATTTGTCTAAATCTGTGTTAGTGAGCACTTCTCCTTTGCTGAGATAATGCATCCACCTCGCAGGTGTGGCAAATCAAGATGCTGATTAGACAGCAGGATTATTGCACAAGTGTGCCTTAGGTTGGCCACAATAAAAGGCCACGGTAAATGTGCAGTTTTATCACACAGCATAATGCCATAGATGGGGCTGCAAGGTTGACCGGTGGTTAGCATCGTTGCCTTGCAGCAAGAAGGTCACCGGTTTACATCCCGGTGAGGACACCCGGGATCTTTCTGCATGGAGTCTCCATGTTCTCCCCGTGCAGCGTGGGTTCTCTCTGGGTTCTCCGGTTTCCTCCCACAGTCCAAAAACATGTTGAGGTTAATTGGTGATTCTAAAAAAACAAAAAAAAAAAAACAAAAGACAAGAAAGAAAAAAAGAAACAATTCATTTAAAGCCCAGGAACAAATGACTGTCCTTAAAAGTGCATCCACGATAGGACCAGGCGGGGGTGGCACATGCCATCTCACTGATTTCAATAAAATTTGGCCAGTTTGAAGGAGTCCACCCAAAACTACTTCAGTCTAAGTTTATTTTCTACCCAAAGAAGGTTTTGTTCTCCAATAGGAGAATGAAACATTGACAATAAATTGTTCTTGGGTAGGATAACATTCACTGACAATATGAAAAGATTTGGTTGAATTCTTACAGCAGTAGAGCTTTACACTTTTGCCCAATATTTTAGGCAATTTTTGGTCATTTCTGTAAAAAAAAAACAAAAAAAAACAAGGGGGTGACCTTCAAACGAGCCAAGTTTCATTAAAATCGGTGAGATGGCTTGTGCCACCCCTGCCTGGTCCTATCATGGATGCACCTTTAAGTCCTGACTGTGGCTGATGTAGTCCATCATTGTCCTTTTTCTCAACATCATGAGCACCATCACGCTTCACATCCAGAAACTTGCTAACATTGTCAGCAGGAACAGATCCACTGGAGCAGGTTTCAGCCACATGCAAAAGCTTCAAGTCTCTCAGACAAAGCATAAAACCTCAAAGATGATGCAAGATAGAGTCATGCCAAAATCCATAATATGGTGTAATAATATGTATAGTAATATTGTGTATAATATAATGTATAATATAATATTGTATCATAAATGAAACAGCTGTTATGTAATATAAGTACTGACTGTATTTTAAGGACGCGCACAAATGAACGTAGTTGTCAAAAGGCCTTACTGGCTGCTGGTTGCTTTGCTTGTACTGTCATGTGTCCAGCAGATGTCAGAAAGCCTCCAGCGTTACAGCTACAGCAGCACAGTCCGAACAAACAACCACAACAGTCCTTTGTCTCAGTGAATAATCACCAGTCCTTTAATTAATGTTATTTGCTACTACTGTTGATTGATTGACTGTTTAAAGATGAACAGAAATTCTGAAGACAAACACATGAGCTTGTCATGCAAAAGTAACACCAACAGACTCTGATATAAACAACGAACATAATACACTACTAATCTTGATGACTTTGGGAGAGTGACGTGGTATATTTTGAATGTATTTAAATTAATCAGGGATGACATGTTAATTAGTTGTCTGATATAACTTTAACTTTTGACTCTATTCTTCTATCTAATATGCTTTACTTTGGCTGTCCTGTTCATATGGCTGTCTTAATGTGTTTATACTTGAATTTTCTGTGCTTCTTGTTGCTCCCTCCATGCAGTTATACGTAGTCATGCATTTTAATAACTTTCTGTATTCTCTCTCCTGTAGCATGCGTTTTGTCCACTCTCTGCAGATATCTGTGGAGCTGGAGCTGCACAGATCTGATCTGCAGTTACTGGTCTCACCAATGTGCCTCTGCTCTCTTTTCTCTCCTTTACCCTCAACCTGGTGGAGGCAGATGTCCACCCTCCCTGAGCCTGGTTCTGCTGGAGGTCTTCTTCTCCACTGTCACCACTATACTTGCTCATGAGGAATCCTGAGATTAACCCTCTAAAGCCTGAACCAGGAAACAATTGCCAGAAAATTCAGTTTTTATTTATTTATTTTGGAAAATTGAGTGTTTATTGAACCTGTTGACAATAAATACATAAATAAATTAAATATCAATTTTCATATATTAGTTTTAATTTGTGTCATTTTTGCGACATCTGGCATTTTTGGTGCATGAATTATGATCCATGGTGGATCTTCTGTGCACTGAATGTGTCTGATTGTATACATCAGGTTTTCCAGGCAGAAAAATATCACACTGATGATGTAGAGGTCAAAATTCAAGAGTCAAGGCCTTTATTGGTCACAAATACAGTTATACATGGTATAACGTGCAGTGAAATGCTTTGTGCACCTGTTCCACACTGAAACAATATTAAAAAGATGAATATGAATAAAGAATAGAATTTTGTAGATTCTAGATTCTAAATCTTCACATTTTTATTAATCAGGTAAATTTGTATTTTGTATAATATTGTAGTATCTCAACCATAATACATAAATAATTCAGATTTACATAATAATATTGTAGTCTTGACCTTAATATTATAATTTGTTAGGTCAATCTCGTGACGCCCTTTCTGTGCTGGAAAGCAGTTTGGATTAACATCTGTTACTTTCAGTGTGCTACATAAGTAAATACGCGCGACTTGACTATTTGTAAAAGATGACATTTATTGCATATTTCCAACATACTTTCTGTGTTGCCTTATAGTGCTAAATCCAATGAGCGTTCTGGTGTGTTTTCAATAGTGTACTTGTGTGAGTCATAACGCAACGACACTAAACTGAAAGTGAAGGTAACTGAGCTGCATTTAGTAGCTGGTGTGACACAACGTGAACTACTGGATTGAATTACCAGCTTTTATGTTGGAAACTAAGGAAAGACTTGAGTTATTGTGTGTAACTTGACAGTGGACAGAGGAAGTATCGCGTGACTGACTGGGCTCCCGAACACATCTGGTAACCTTTTACGTTTTACCCACAAATTGGTGACATTATTTGTTATCTTGTTTGTTCCCCTGTATATGGTGTACAGTTATAAAAGGACTTCGCACCGACCGAGTCAGCCCTGTGGCCGCCGGTGCTGCCCTGCTGCTAACGGCTCCCGGCTGTACCGAGGCAGGAAACCGCTGAGTGACGACTCAACGTAAAAGCACGAGCGTCAGAAAAGGCTCTGTGAACATGTCTAAACCTACAGTTCCAACAAGTTTAAACTAAAAAGTACGAGCACAGAAAAATAATCTGATGTGAAGTTCGCACTTGTTTTAACGTCGCAGTGGAGGCAGATGCTAGCCGGCGATTGGCTAATTTCGATTTTAAGATTAATTACCGACATTGAAGTCACTGAGACACGCGTGTAACCAGATGGACGTGGACTCTTGACAGTGTTCTTATGAGACAACACAGCGACAGCACTAAGTGGAATCACCAAGCATTGTTATAGCAATACAGTTGTACTAAATGCCGATCATTTTCTCAACAAAGCAGCTGTCCCCGGTGTGTTTTAGTAGATCTTTTTGACAGCTGAGTTGCGCTTCTATTGTGAAGGTGGAGCTCGGGCGGAAGGGCGGATGCTGCTCGCTATTTGCAGCTCGACGCGGAGGAGACCAGCGGATTCCGTTGGGAGGCTGTCGCTCATCGCCAGACACTTTTGTGTGAATCTGTCTCGGTTGTACTTTTAGGTTAACGGTGTCACCTCTGGCATGAACCCACCGAGGTACGTAGCTCGAAGGCTGGGTGCTGTCCCTGGATGTTATGCAGTCAGATGGAATGAAATGGCCAGAAACTTGCTCCTTTTCTGCTGCTGCTCCCCTTCAGTTTGCCTGGCAAATTAGCTGGCTAGCCCGTTTTCCTCCCTTGCTGATAGCATATGCTTGCTCAGTCACAACCCCCAGCTGCTCCAGTATCTTGCCTAATTTCCATTTCTTTTTTGCCTTCCAGCCGCCACTCCTCTATGGATCTAAACTGGCCTGGAATATGAACAGGAGAAGAAAATAAGCGGCGGCTGGCTTCCTGCGGGATCTTGGCCAGGCTTTTTGTTTTTCCGTGGACATGCCTGGTCTATGGAGCGAAGCTGAGAGAGGCTAGCTGGCCGACAGTCCGGCTAGCGCAACAATTTCAGGATTTTTGATGACTGTTCAGCCGAAAAGCTGATTTATTTTGGATCGGCGCTGCATTCCCTACCCGAGTAAGGAGTCAGCATGGGGGAGCCCAGCCTGGACGACTCCAATGTCAAGGTGGCTGTTCGTGTGCGGCCCATGAACCGGAGAGGTGAGGGGGCTTCAGTCTGCACAGGCACTCGAAAACATCCTGTACATGGACACCGTGTCCGCTAAATGTTAGGGGACAATATGATGCATGCACACCAAATGCCAGATTATCATGCTGTCTCACACTTGAATGATGCATAGACTAGTCCAGGTTAACTCTACACAGTGTCCACAGCAGACCGGCCTGACTCGAGGAGTCTGTCTGATCTCCTGAGGATGGGACAGCAGTCAGAAATCACCACCCATTAGTGAAATGAGCTGCTGCAGATTAAAAAAAAAGAATCTGTTGCCTGGCTCGTCTGGATGGCACATGTTTGCAGAGTGCTGCCATGGGGTTTCCCTGACGGCTGCCTGCCATCCAGACAGATTTACAGCCGAGCTGCTGTGTGAGATCCACATTAGAAGGTCTAGGAGCTTTGTCTCCTTCACTGGTGACAGAGATGCCAGTAGCTTCTGGACTTCATTAGTTACTCACTGTAGGCATCAGCAGAGTCAGTAGTTTAACACGATGGTTTTGGTTGATATGATTTAAGGAGGACAACATCAGTCGGTCAAAGTCTGACCAACTGATGCTGGAGCATCTGTGCACTCCGTGTCATTTGGTAGAAATAAAGCTGCGCAATGATCATGTCTTTTGTCAACAGAATCTGTCCTCTGATCCTGTCATCACTTTGTCACAAATATTATGCTACATCCTTGTCTTCAATATTAGAAAAGCCTGGATAACAAACGCACAGTTTTACAAAAGCTTAATGCACGCTCAAGTGCTCTGGTCAATTATATTGCAGATTTCCATTGCAGCACACAAGAAGGCACAGATGACATTTCCTGGTCGATTGCCAAGTCGTGTTTGTGCCGTGGGATAGCATGTGTCCAGTGAAAGGAGGAGGAGGGCTGCTGAAACAGAGTGGTTGACCGACAACCGGCAGAATGAATCACATGTTCCTCTGTCTACTTCCTCTGAGCTGGAGATGTCGGTCACAAGATTAGGGCAGTGGATTACCACTCTGTTCCCATAGGCAGGGGTTTACCATGAACTCTGATGCAGACAAACTGTGGACGAGAAGCTATTCTCAGGCTCTTTGTAAAGTCAGATGTTTGATTTGGACATACAAATATATGTTGTATTTCTGTTTTTGACCAACAGCCATGATCTAGTTGACACCAGATATTTTTGATTTACCAGACTTTTGATCTGTGCTTAGTGAAACAAAGAAGGTGTGATACAGATGAGCTCTGAAGGGGATTCTGTCTCAGATCAGGTACATTTATATTCATAGTGGTAGGGATTTATTGTGTATACATTTGTCTGGTCACATCCCATTTCTATTTTTGTATCTGAGGATCTGACCAAATCCCAGTATACCCTTGTCTACTTCTTTTCTCTTCATTGAGCTCCCTGAATTGACAGGTAATGATAGGAAAGTGTCAGCCTGATTCATTAACATGAAAATGCCACTTGCATTTTTTCTTTCTTTTTATTAAACTGTGTACAAGTCCTTATGCTGCCATTCCAAAGTGAACACACTTGCAGTGTAATTTATCAGCCAGTGTGTCGCGTTTAGTGACTTGTAGCAGTGAGATTGTAGATTGCAACCAACTCCATCAACCATCCCTTTTGTTGGAGAACGACAGTCACTGTACTTCATTGTACAAAATGTAAAAGGCCCTTTCTGGACTCCGGAGTTACTATTTGGTTTATCCTTGCTGGGCTACTGTAGAAACATGGTGATGCAACATTGGCAGACTCCATGAAAGAAGACCTGAGCCCAATGTCGATATGAGGGTTTCATGGTAAGCTAAAAAAAAAAAAACATTTTTATTAATAGCTACCAATAGGATCGTTATCAGGTTTCTACAGAGCTTGCTGATGAGCTGATCATTTGAATCAGGTGTGTTGGAAGAGGGAAACATCCAAAACATGCAGGACTGTGGCCCTCGAGGACCAGGATTGGACACCCCTGCCCTAAACCTTTATAAACCGAGGAGCATTCTCCCTCATGTCTGAATGAGAATTCTTTGTAAATTGTTCAGTTTTCCAAACACTAAAAGCAAAAGTCAGAGTTAGATGGGAAGCTAGTTCAATGCCACTCTGCACCCTGTCTGCATGTATCTTTCAATACACAGCAAGAAAAAACAATCATGATTTTGAGGAAAGGGTGCAAATAGGGAAATTAATGGCTTGCTGAAGGCAGTGGGAATGATGTTGGAACCAGCAGTTCCATATTTTCAGTGGCGGCTTTCTGACAGTTTCTCTATCTGAATTGGGCTTCTGTCCAAATCTACCAGTGTAGATACATTTTTTTTTTTTATCCACCCGAAAACAAAATCAACTCTGAGTGGGCAAAGAAGTACTCCAACATGTGTCACTTCAGCAAAGGTACAAGCAAAACTCAAACTAGACTTCAGTACATTTGCTGCTATGCTATTTTTTGTTTCCATTATTTGTTATTTAGGTCTTCACACATTGACACCTTAGAGCTGCTCAGTTCAGTCACAGCTCTTCCTCTTGCTCATACTGTACGACCGTGTCTTCAGGTCACAGTGGCTGTAGCTAAGGGAGAGCACTTTCCTCACTTATATTTCCCCAGCTGGTGTGCTGATTCAGACTTGCAACTCTGAAATAATAAGCAGGCTTCTTTAACCTCGAGGCCACTGTCCGCTTGTATCCCAGGTTGAGGAGGAGAGGTGGTGTAGCTGCCCAGCTGGACAAAAGCAGGAAGGGAGTGAGTCTGAATGAGCATTTGCTAACGTTGCATAATGCTCTATGTTACCATGGCTGTGGCCTTCGAAGAACAGAGCAACCTCAGGCATAGCAACAGCAACACCACGGCCAGTCAGCTTCCTGGCTGATGTCAGGCCTGTTGTGCCAAACCTCAGCACCGACAGCCCAGAGAAGGGCAGGAGGAAAGTCCAGTGGAAAGTGGGAGCTGGTTATGGAGCAACGAGAGGCAGATAACTCTGGGTACATGGATCCTCTCAACCACATTGCATCAAACTTTCCCCTGAGCTGAGCAGGAAGTACAGCTGTACTACTTGTGGCTCATGGGTAATGTAGTAAGCAGTGAAAGAAGAGAAGGCAGAACAGAAAGTTTTCTCACTCAGTCCCTCTATGCCTGTGTAAGTACCCCTGTTTAACTTTATTTTTTTGCTCTCACTGTCTTTTTGTCATTGAGTCTCTGTTGGCTCACCCCACATTTTCTTCTTTGTAGTATCCCTGACAGCAGAAGAATTGGAGGGTGATTCAGGTCCTCTGACCTTTGACACCAAGTTTCTATGGCTTTTCCTCTGTGGTCCTGCTAGGAACAGTAGCGTTCAGGCTCACAAGCAGATGGTTTTAGTTGAAATAAGAAAAAATTCTGGTTTGAACAGCCACAGCTATACTCCAGTGAGATGTTGAACTGCTCAGGTTGGGATTCCCTTTTGTGTCCTCAGGAGGGAAATGATTTTGACTGTAGCTTTTAAGTTCCACTTGTCTGCTTTAGCAAGGGAGAAGCTTGTAACATCCAAATGAAATATTTCATTCCATATGTTTGGTAGAAAAAGAAACACATTCCAATTATGTAAAAATAGATATGTAACACCATACAAAAGCCTGTTGACCACCTCCAAAGCAGCTGGAAATACTCTTGGCTGAAACAGACAGCTCACGTATGGCCAGGTGACGTTTAGCAAGGATGCTACACACTCATACCTAACTATTTAAGCAATCTGGTGAAGTCATTGCACAGTGAGGAAAGGTATATATGGAACTGCTGTCTGTACAGTCTAATCAAGCCTGGGTAGTGCATTGTTTGTTGAAAAGCTTGAAGCATTTGGCACATGGTAAGCAGCTGTCTTCGTCACCGCCACTAGTCGGTTGTACTGTATGTGTACATCCCTGCTCTACAGTGGTCATGTCTTGGTTGGAAAAAAGCTACTGAAGGCCTACATATTATACAATGACACTTGTGTAATGCTGCTTTACACAGTTCTTGTTGAAGAGGGGAATTGAAACCACTAAATGTTTTTCCTGTCCTAACACATTTGCTGATGATTGACATCCTTGCATGTTCTGACAAGACTACTGCACAATGGAAAAAATGATTATTAACTGCCATCTGTTTTATGTCATGGTTGTCTATTGAAAAATCTTGCAGTCTGTATGTGGCCTACACAGTATCAGAAAAAAACTGGCATTGCGATATTTTGTTTTTCTCTGATTTAATTTGCAATATGAAAAAACAATTTTTCCACCATATGATTTAAATAAATCTGTAGTGAAAGACTTCAGCATTTTAGAATGATTGGGGTGATTTTGTACACTATGAATACATCTGCATTGCCAAAAATAAATGATCAGAAAAGCATAAAAAATTTTTGGGAATCATCTCATGTGTAACAACACTGCCAGATATAAATTTGAAGTTGTTAAAAATTAATTTGGTAGTTACTCTGTATGTGTCTTTTTGTTAGTATTTGTAGTAATGCATACATTGCATCTTTTAGGAAAGCCTGGGAAATCTTGGTATATATTCTGGTGCATTTTTAAAGGTCGGTTGAGCAGGATGGATGCTTGTTTACATGGGACCCTGAACAAGGTCCCACAGTTGAAGGACAGTATTTATTATCAGTAAGTGTGCTTGAGCAAACACAGATTTAGAGTTGAAGGAGCGCTGCTCCTCCTGATCTATGAGGATATACCTGCCAGGGGGAACACATGAGTGCAACTAATTGTGATACCATCTTTATCTTCTCATCCAGGTTAAAAAGCAAGAATTTATCATTGAGTTTTGCTGTGTGGCCTTAAAAAAGCTTCCTGATGGTAAAGATAACCATCTGTTCACACATGGATAGTGACCAGTTTTGTTAAAAACAAACTGTTTTATACTTGTGGTTATTCAGTATTTTGTAGCCCACAACCACACAATTGTATTGTAGTTTTTATTACAGTAAAAGTGCATGAGCAGTAATTGACTGTTAAAAACAATTAAGATGCCGTGGCCGGTATTCACCAGTTAAATACTGGCATTCTCCTACTGGGAAATGTTTTTTTAAATGCATGACCAGCTGTGCCAGACACTGGATGCCTTGGACATGCTGGCAGCACCCAGCCTGTCTGTAGACAACCATCATAAGGTCTCTGTGGCAACACAGATGAATGGACAGAGTGAGCAGCCTCATTGCGGTTCATGTTATTTTCCAGTGCTTCGACTGGTTGCTTTCACATCAAGGCTCCTAACAAACCTAACCTGACCTCACATAATGTTTAACAGTTTATGCTAAAAAAAAAAAAACTAAACAAATTCAGACATATTCTTTTCTTTGGTTATTAAGTGTCTTTTTGCATTTTGTGCAAAAGGTAATGACTTCCATTTATACATACAGTTCTTTTTGCTTTTTTTAAAATGAGGCTGTAGGAAACTTGTGGAAATTGTAGTTGGCAATACTACAATCCTAATGAAGTAGCCTCAGTGGGCAGCATTGTATGCTGATTTTTTTTGCATCCTGTCGCGACAAATACCTGACTGGGCAAAGCATTAGGACCGCTCCTTACGCTGAGGTGGAAATAGCCGGTTGGTGTTCCAAAGACCAAGTATTGCATCATGACACAAACGTGTATGTCTTTGTGTGTCAGTGTGTGTGTCTGTGTGTCAGCCTGGACAAGACTCGTTTTATTGATTAGCCCAAAGCTTACGCCAAGGTAAAAGGTCATTTTCAGAATCTGTCTTTACCTCCTGCTCAGACAATTGTTTGAACTTCATGTTCCACAGAAAATTATTGCTGTTTACCTCCTTCTTGATCCCTAATGGAAGGAAGACATAACCATCAGACCAATGATTGTAAAAGGTTTTTTTGTTTGCAAGTCAATCCGACTACAGGATATGAAACCATTTTAGTAATTTTCTAGACATCACTTGCTCTTGTAAATATATGTGATTCGGATGTTTAGGTTGTGGATTTCAGCGTTCTGACCCGTGACACTATATTCTGTCTGATCCACAGAAAAGGAATTAAACACAAAATGTGTTGTGGAAATGGTGAAGAACCAGACGATTCTCCATCCTTCGGGAGCTAACCTTGGAAAGGGAGACTCCAGGTAAGTCTATTGGTAATGTGAATAAGTTCTGTGTCCATCACTGATTAATTTCATTTATACACATCTAATTCCGCAGCTCATGGTTTTCATGAGAGAGACAGCATACATTCTTGTGCAGGTCTCAGTTGAAATAATCGTTGGGCAGTTCACATCGAATTGCTTCCTGCTTGTTTGACATTCGAGTTACACATTTTAACAGATTATCTCCAGTTACCATTATGAATGTACATCTAAAAACCTAAACAGTTAAGCTTGTAACTTCAGAGCTCAATGCATTTGAACTTGTGATGGTTGTAGTTTGTGAGTTGATTGAAAGCAGGAACTATAGCTAATTTGACATGAATGAATGAATGAAATGAAATGAAAAATACTTTATTTATCCCAGAAGGGAAATTCAATTGACATACTTTCAATAGTGCTGCTGTGACAACATGTAAATAGATATAGGCTGGAAGAGTTCCACTATGGCAAATTTTTAATAACTGCGATTATCATACTCTTACCGTTGAACTGTAGATTCTTATGAGCTGCCAGTTACACTCCTTTCTGCTGCTTGCATAGACACACGCAGTTTGTAGGCCGATTTACAGCTGTCATTAATGTTTTGTACTTCCTGTGATCTGAGATCTGCAGTGCCTTTTGGAAGGTTCTTGTGTCCTTCTTGTACTTGGTATCTTTCAAAAAGTCTTGTCTCAGATTGGTTTGGAATGTTCCTTTGTCCTCATGATGTATTTTTTGGCAGAAAGCTACTAACCACCTGTTGTTCATCCTCGGGACAGGTGGATTTCAGCTTAGATCATTTAGTACTTGTTTCCTTTTCTTTGCCTTTAATCGGTCTCATCTTGTTAACCAGCTGCTGTTAGTGGGCAATGCTAAATTGTATGTGGAGTTTGGAATCTTTCAATCCATGCAATGAAGGATGCATTAAGATGTATTAGATTTGGTTGTACTGGACTGAACAGGAGTATGTGTGTGTTGTTGAATATGTGTCTGAGTAAGGGAATGTTGGTGACGTGATCAGACATCAAACTCTGCTACTACAATAACTCTGGAAGTGCAGGTTGTGAAATGAACCATCTGAGCTGAAATGAAAGGGCTGTTATAACTGTAAAAACTTCAAAGTCTTTTGTTGAATGTAATTATGTAATGGTTCAAAATCTGCGATTGGGCCATGCTTGGCTACTGACCCGCCATCTTGGAGGAAGCCAGCTGTGCTGATGTCCTTGTGACTGGTGGAGTTCACTGCAGACTGCCAGATCAGAAGCAGTGAATAATGTTGGCTTGGGGCTGAGCTTCAGCAGCAGCGAGTGTGTTGTCTGTGTGTCAGAGGAAGAAAGACACAAGAAAGAGACGCACCAGACAGAGACAATTATACATGAAACGACAGACTCCACTTTGCTCCTCTCTTTCCTTACTCCGTCAGGTCGTAACTCCCCGCCGCCTGGCTTCCTCCCTTTTTCTCAACTCTTCCGTTTCCACGGCAACACAGGGGGAGGTTAACTGCGGGTCGCTGCCAGTGACCATGAAGCCCCTTCCTTGAGTGAAGAGACGATGCAAGAGGGGGAAAAAGCCTCATTTACTTGAGCATCTGTCGACCATAAACTTTCCCCAGTGACTTTTATGGTGGACTGAACAAGAGCAGAGCTGTAGTTTTGCTGTCTGTCTCTCAGTGACAAAGGGGCGGGGAAGCGACAGGAGGATGGGCTGAGTGACTGCTGCACTCAGTGTGCAGATGCTGTTTTCATTTTGTTTGTTTGGGTCCAGTTCACAGTGACATGGTGTTTACACTGGAGATTATCTTTAACTCAGCATTTTAATTGGCTGTTAAGCTTGAGAAAAACTGGAGTGGGTGCATAGAGAATGTATGCAAAGTTAGGCTGTTGCATGTGCGTATTGTTTGCTTAAACTAACTGAGTTATTAGGACTTCTTTTCTATAAAACTGGGAAGATGTATCTGCAATGGATAATCCATAAAAAAAAATGAGTGCAGTTTGCTGACAATCTGAACCTCGTCTGTACCTATTTGATTTATCTGCAAAAACGACATCTATAGATGTTGAAATGGAAGATGCCCATTTTTAATTGATTGGCAAAATTGCTCGGGATCTCGGCTTAGTAAACCAACATAACTCACCAAGTTTCAATGAAGCCACATAGAATGACTGAACGTGAAAGAAGTATTCTTATGTCACAAAACAGTGAAAGTGGAAGAATTTGGTTGCTAACATTACACATATTAGGTCTTTTATAATGATTGTATTCGCCATTTTTGAGGGTTCCCTACTATTTTGAAAACTGATTTGCTCATTTAATACATTTTTGATTCCATCAATCTATTTCAAAGTATCTGATGAGCTTCATTTCTTAGATTACCTTCAACTGAAAGATGCACCTGCCTTGCTTGTGCTCCAGCGTGTATTTCTACCTCTATTTGAATTTATTTTACGTCATAAATCTGTCCTAGGCTATTAAATCTGACTATTTTACAGCCTGATACAACCACCGCAACAGGGCCGAGGTCGATAGCTAGACTGTCCTCCTCTGTGGTTCTCCGGTGGCGGAACGAGTTACCAAACTCTGTTCGAGCTGCTGATTCCCTCTCAGTAGACTAAAGACCAGCTCTTCACTGAACACCTTTGCACTTGACAGGCCGAAAATAAATAAATAAATAAATGTTTTCCTATTACCTCCCACACAGCCTGCTATTGGCATCAATATCCTATCACACTTGAACTTGTTTTATGGCACATATCCAGGTTGTTCTCTCCTGACTAGATCCTTGATCCTTGCTTGTGTTGTGTTTACTCTCAGATGTACGTCGCTTTGGATAAATGCGTCTGCTAAATGAAATTGTAGAATTGTAGTATTTATCTGGTGATAGTTTCAGTTAAAGTTAAAATAATTGCCAACAAAGTACAATTCCAGAGTTGTAGCTGTAACAAAACCCTGTGCAATGTTTGGCAACTGCTTCACTTGAAAATCAAATCTGTTGTGATGAAATAAAATCTGTTCATCATCTGCTATGGAACCTTTACTTTTGCCTTGTATATTCACCGTCTGCTGCACTAGACTTCTAATCTCTGCAGTGAGGCAGTTTTCAAAAACATCTACACTGGTGTTTTTGTGAGGACTTGTTGCCGAAGCTCAGGATTAGCTTTGTTTAAATACAAATAAAGGATTTGCTCCTCTTGGGCTTTCAGACACTATTTTCTACACAGGTAAATGGGGGGGCCATTCTGATCTAATATTCTAATCAGATAGTTAGTGGTAGCTGGGAATCAGAACTTCCATTTGAAAAAGTTCATGGTTTCTGCTGTTGGGCTTACTCTTGGTGAGTAAGTGCATTCAGACAGACAGACAGACTTCTTGCGTGTGGTGGTTCCCGTGGTTCTACAACAGTAATACCTGAAGTCTGCTGTCAAACAGACAGCAAGGTCCTGCAGTGGAAAACATCTAACTGCCTTTCTACCGCAGCCTGAGCTCCAAGACAGGATTAAATAATGACATAAAATTATTGGATTTTTTAAATATGTTCTATTAAAACACAAAGTTCTTTCTGCTTTCAACATGGGACTCAAGTGACATTCTGTGCTTTACATAATCAAACAAACAGTGTAATTCCCCACCACAAATATTTTAAAGAACCTTTCCTTATTTTTATTCACTTGTTAGCTGTTCGTTGTGGCTCTGATTCAGTTTTTCCACCAGCAGGATATAGTGAGCAGAGCAGACTTTATTCTCTCACACTGCCACCCTCGGTGACTCACTGTAGTGGTGATCTTGTCTGTTGAAGTTTTAGCATCTGCTGTCTTTTTTTAAGGCATATAAATGACCCAACAAGAAAAAATAATGATATGATGTACTACCTCTCGGTGCACTTTCCACCAAGTTTTTCATAGGTTTTGTTTGAGTTTTTTTGCCATCCTAAAATGCATCTCATTTTTTTATTTGGCATTCTATGTGCTAAAATTGCACGTGTAATTTCTGAATCTCTTTGGTAGGACAAGGGATGTCCTGACCACCAGAGTTTACATTGCAGGGCCAGCGGACTTTGAACTCGTTTGTCTGATAAGCTGACAGCTACCCTCTTCACAGCCGTGTGATCAGACACTGTGGTTTACATGATGACCTGACGCTGTTTGCGTTGGACTAGTGAAGCTGGATGTTGACACACTGCACACTGTGACAAAGATCTGTCTTCTGTCAGATGTCGGCGAAGCAAACACATGCAGCTTGGTTTCCAAGACGATACACAAAAGAGGCTGTGTGGCCCCATACCTTGAACTGATGTTGGATCCTTTGTGTGTGTGCATTAGCAAATGGTTGAGGCCAGTTTTCCTTGCTTATGGATGTGTAGTTTGATTGTGCTTAATAAGATCTGTTTTATGAAGGGAAGGATCTATAAGGTTTTGGTTCATATAGAAGGGTGATATTTAAATGTAAAGTGATGTGAAATGCCAAAACTGTCCAGTTGGTACCAACCATGTGATGGGAGTATCTCACAGTCCAGTAACATAATGACATGGTTAGAAGTGAAGGGGAGAGTCGGTCATTAATTCACAGGCTATACTGACTACTGACTGGACTTTTCCTGCTCTGAAGTTTTTCTGAACCAGGGTTGAGGTCAGCAAGTTGACCCAGGCATGGGAATGTCCAAGTCCCTTAGTCAGACTCAGGTGGGACAACAGTTGACACCACCAAGTTAACGTCAGTTTCTAAAATTCAAATTAAAAATTGTTGAAAAGTATAGACGCACATGCTTGTAACATTGTGTGGCAATAGCTTGGACATCTAAGACTTGTGAGTCAGGTGCTGAACAAAATTTCATTCATAAGCTGTGGTGTCAGAAAATGAGTCATGAGTGAAAATGTGAACAAAATGGGTGAGAAGGTGCCTAATTTTCTTAGCTTGTTGCTGTAAAGCAGTTGCAGCTCAGGTGCAGAATAAATATTGGACTTTCCCATGAACATCATGGGCAGTAATTGAGTTTGTCTGGACTATAGCGGGGAGGTACTGAATAAAAATGTAAACATATCAATAAATCCACAATTCTTCAGCTGTACGAGCCCATCTCACAAATATGTGAAGAGGCTACCATAGTCACCACTGCCCATGTAGTAGGCTTTTCCAACCATGGATTGTAGTCCATCGTAGTTGCACAGTAACAGACTGTTCAAATATGCAATGGTAAGCTAACCTTGACTGTGTGAAATGGTGGAAGCCTCAGTCTGTGGAACTGGCATTGAGCTCAGGTTTGGCATTATGAGTTTTATGTCTCTGGCCTAAACATCTCGAATAGGGAGCAAGAATGCTAGAGTTCATATCAAGGCATTTCAACTAAGAAGTGAGTCAAATTTGCTCTGCTTTTAACTGGCCAATGATGGCAAGATGGCTAACATAAACCATTCCAATTGTTTTCAGGTTCTCTGTTAAATTTCTGGATTTGATTCTGACAGCAAGCACAACAGAAAGACTGGGTGAAACAGCCGACTGCTCTGTGTCCTGTCTTGACATTGTGTCTATGGCATTCAACAGTTTGATTATTGATGTTTAGTGTACATTTGTCAATTGCACAGGCTGTTTACCATGTAGCCATTTTCTCAGTGTGAGGACCTATTGCACTAGCATGTCATGTGTCATCAGTATGTACTGTGTTTCTCTGATGCCCTTTGTGCTTCAGCTTAACATTCCAGTCTCAGGCCCAGCTTCTCTCCTCCCTAAACCCTCTGGCTACCTTCAGCCTTCTTTCCATCCTCCACTCCTCGCTCCTCCCTACATAGCCGTGGATGGTACAGTCTAAGAGAGAAAGAACAAAGAATGCAAGAACAGAGAAAGAGAGGGGGGGGGGGAAGCAACCATGCATTATGTTATTTTTTAAATGACGGCGATCAGAGTAGAGGAGCAGGCCGAAGAGAAGAGGGGCGAATGGAAGTGTTCGAGGACCGAGGGAGGCGGGTTCACAGCTCTCCTGACCGCCTCATTCTCCCTTCTCATTGGTCAGTGGAGCCTCTAGCTTCGTTAATGGTCGTCTGAGTGTACTACATGGGCGACCCTCCTCGCCTGCAGCCTTTGAAGCAACCATGACAGCTGTCATCACTGTGTATGTCAAAACCAGCCACGCTAGTTTCATCCCTGAAGTGGAGATGTGGCTGCGGGTAGATAATGGGCATGTAGGATGCTCTAAAGGCCTTGAGGAACAGTCAGAGAAACACAAATATCTGGAAATCCGGTTGTCTCCAACTGTTTATTATTATATATTGATATATTTTGAGCATTAATATATGTAGATGAGGGATTGTCGTTTGTACCCATTATCTGTAAACATTTTTGTTCATGGAAGCATTTGTACAAAAATAGAGAATCGACTTACTGCATCTTTTACTGTTAGAGAGTAAATGCAATAAACACATTTTAACTTTCTTCTAGCTTTTAGATATTAAAATCTCTCACCAACACTGACTGCTTTGGGTTCTGTGAAGTCAAAAACAATAAGGTGTAGACAAGGTCCTAATTGTATCCTGATTTGATTAGCTAATGGAATCGGTTAGAGTGCAGGTAAGAATTACTGTGCATTTATCTCCTCTCACAGTAAAGTAGTGGAACATCAGCAGTGGAACGTCACTGAAATATGAAGCGCTACAGATTGCAGGCTGGTTTGTGCAAGAACTGCAGCTTTGGTGGATTATAAAGAATGTGCATGGGTAAAAGGAAACAGGTGTGTGTGTGCGCGCGCGCGTGTGTGCGCGCACGCGTGTGCTTGTGCTTGTACTGTTGGCTTTATGAAGGCCAGTATGAGTTTGAAATATTTAGATTGGGGACATTTTTTTTCAAATAACAGAGCTAAGGGACAAGGACAGATTAATAGGTAGGGCAAAGTTATGGTATGAAGTTGGGCATTCAGCGATATGTCATCAGTGCAGGATCCTCTTAAGGACTCTGTGTGTGTGCGTGTGCGTGTGCGTGTAGGAAGAAGAAGAAAATGACAAGGGAAAAAGTTAAAATGAATAAAACGGAAGAAAGAATTAAGAGAAATGCATACCCGTTCAGTCTTTGGACAAAATGTTTATGCCAAAACATTTGACTCTTTTTGCCAGAGGTTGTGTTTGAGTTAAATGTTTGAATGAATCTCTAACACTACCAGGGACTCTTTTCCCTCGGCGACAACCAGTCCAGTCATCCTGTGATTGAAAGGACCCACTAATGACTGACGCTTACACTCACTATTTAATTACAAGTTAATTACAAGGTTTGCACGCTAATAAGTAGGCCTGTCATTAGCATAGGTACGTTGTTGGTTGACAGCACACAATGGCTTAAAAATAATGCATCTCCAGCTGGTCTCACTTTTTCCTCTTCATGCCTGGAGCTGATCTCAGAGGTTTGACTGATTGGCTGACTGCAAGTACATTTACTCCAGCCTTGATTCACTAGCATTGGATGGGTCAGATCCTATTTATGACCTGTGTTGTGATGAAGATCACAACTGTTGATGTGGTGGTAAGGTTTTTTGGATGGTGAGGAGTTAATCTATAGGGTTATACACACTTCCAAACGGACACAGATGTGGGCAGTGGACATACATGAGGATCTGTGTGTAGTATGGGCAGCAAAAATGAATCTCTAATTTATGCACATACTTAAACAAGTGCAAACTTTGTGTAAAGCCATGCTGCCTTTCCATTTATTAAAGGTGTATGGTCACAGTTAACCACATCCAACTAACATGTCTAGGCTCCAGGAATAATTTTGTTGCAATAGCTCAATTGTAGGTGGGATACTCAAGACATGTACAGTTCTCACACCAGCAAATCTGTCAGAGAATATATACAGTAATGCAGTAGGTTGAGAAAGAATTTCTGTTGTGTGTAGTGACAGTAAAGTCAGTGGTTTATATTTCTATAACGTTATGGTTTCTTATAATAATTTGTCTTTCATTTTCATGAAACACTCCTTTAGATTAGCTCACTCTGGCTGCTGTGACATTTCGTCCTAGGCTGAGGAAACCAGATGGCAGTGGCCGTCTGTGTGCTGAGGAGATCACATTTAAAGGACATGACTGTTGGCTAGATGTTCATAATACTGATATGTTTGTATGCTGGTTCATGTGTGAAGTGTATGGCTGCTTACGTAATTTTTCTGTAAAACATCACGCAGATATTGAGAGCAATTCCCTCTCTTTGCAAATGTCACTGTTTCTTGTTTTTTTGTTTTTTTTCCTTTTTTCTTTTCATCACTGGCATTTTCCCTTCACGTCAATTTCTGTGCGTGACCTTGACCCAGTAACCTTTTTTGCCATCATCTGATTCTACCACACACTATTTTAACCCTCTGCCAGCTTTAGCATCAACCCCCTCCACCCCCCATCCCACACACAGACCTTGACTGGAACAACTCTCCAAGCCCTCAGAGATGAATGCAGTGCCTACCCTGACACCCACAGACACACCCTTAACCAGTGCCCTGAGAAGTTGATTTGACATGTGACAAGCAAGATGTAAACAAGCTACATACACAAACAAAGACGATATTCATTTGTGCCTTAAAGTGATTGTGAAAACAAGGAAAGCCTGTAGCCAGTGGCTCTAATTTGGCTTTTGTGTCTGTCCACTCATGTAGATATTTTTCTTCCTGACTCTTCCTTTCTCATTTCTGCTTAGGGCACAGAAAAAATGTTAGCTCTGAACTACCAACATACTGCTAAACACACTACATAAACTAAATGTCACCTATCTGTCTTCCCACATGTGCCCGTGGACCTTCACCCTCCCTACATCACCAGGAGTCAGTCCAAGGTAATGGCACACATGCAGACATTTTCAGCACTGAGCTAATTCCATGGTTATGAATCATCTCTGTGTTAAACAAAGACGCTGCTGTTTCTTAAACTTAGTTTGTGAACTGTGTGGAACCATACAGGCAGCAATAAAACATAATGATTTTCAAAGCTTTTATTGCCAGGAGAGTCTTGTTTAATTTGCTAACTTTAAACCCTTAAGCAGTTCTTGTTCCTCAGAAAACTTTTATTGTTTTTAGCCACTTCACTTTACTGTATGTCATTATTTCCCATGGTTTTTCTCTGTCATCTAAAAAAAATCACATAATGCCACACAAACTACATGCTATGTTTACACTATTTTCAGTGATAAAAAAGTAATTTTTATCCAACTTTGTTTTTCCAGTGTTAAGCTAATTGATACTAACAATATTAATTGGTAACTGTCATAATCTCTAGGTTATTGCCCTTAACCAACTGTCAGTTAAAAAGAGATATTTAGCTTTTGAAAGACTCATTCTGTCGTAGCTTGTTTGCATGTAAATTTAAATATTACATGCACGAGCATTGAGTGCCACAAAAATATATGGCAATTCAAGGTGAAGATCTGTGTGCCTCATGCTGCTGCTTTTTTCACTGTTTCCTCAGGTCTTTGCTTATGATTATTGTTTCTGGTCTATGGACGAGACGGATAAGGAGAAATTTGCAGGTCAGTTCATGAAAATGATTAATTTATTTTAAAAAACTTTCATCACAGAAAATGCCACATCGTTTTACAATTTAGGTAATTCCTATTTGTAAATGACTAAATATTTCATAGACTGTTATGGAGAATGATTCTCTGTGTGTGTCACTTGATTCCAGGTCAGGAGGTGGTGTTCCAGTGCCTTGGGGAAAGTCTTCTCCACAATGCCTTTCAGGGCTACAATGCCTGTATCTTTGCCTATGGACAAACTGGTAATTTGCAGTGAGACATCTCACTATTCTGTGGTCAATTACAACTACAGGGTTGGATACAAAATACCAAAAAAAAAAAAAATCTGTCTACTTAATATTATTATGATTATTTTGATAGCAACTTGCCTTTAAGCTTTAAAATCATTAAGAGAGGAGTGTTATTGTGGATGTGTTGTGACTGGAATATTGGACAGACTCTCTTCTAAAGTTAAAGTTAAAATACCCAGAAACAGTGTTTTTCCCATCAGATTGAATACTGATAAACAGGACTGAAACACGTCCAGTGTTGACAGGGTGTAAAAGGAAAATATTTTTCTTAATTCTCATATAATCTTGACACCAACCCAGTTGGATCTGAAATCCACTGTATACACAAAAGTCACAATGACTTGCACAGTGTAAGACTGACTTCCACAGTATCGTAGCATCTGGCACCGACAGTCTAAAGCTGGNTTATAATACTTGCACACCTGTGGAATATTAAATTCACTCTGATACCTTTTTTTTTTTTTTTTAAATTTACCTTTGATTATACCGGTTTCAGTTGGTCTCCTCAATATCTGTGTGCATTTCCAGGTTCAGGAAAGTCTTACACCATGATGGGTTCAGGGGACCAGCCAGGATTGATTCCCCGCCTGTGCAGTGCTTTGTTTGAACGAACCCAGAAGGAACAGCGGGAGGAGGAGAGCTTCACTGTCGAGGTATCCTACATGGAGATCTACAACGAGAAGGTCCGAGATCTGCTCGACCCCAAAGGGTATGACCCCAACCTAATTTTCCAACCTTTTTACATACAAAAGGATGCTGTTGTCTTCCGCAGGGCGTATGCCTCTCTGGTCAATCTAAAAGCGAAAAAACTAAATTTTGTTAAGCTGTTGCAATTTTATTTACTCACTCCTTCATAAGCCAAATTGAAATCAATTTTACACACTATGCTGTTTCCTTTGTGATGTCAGTATCTTTTCAATGCAAATGATGTCCTCACAATGTCAGCATCCTGTTTATGCAAATACAGCTCCTTGCAGCTGATTCACAGTGATATCCTTTGACATGACATTACAGCAGCAGCGTCAGGAAGTGGTGACTCACTTAGGGGTTGTTTCTGATTGCAAATCCACTTGAACAGGGATAATGTAGGCCCTAAATACAATGGTAGCACCTTAGACCCTTAGAGCTAGGTTCTAGAAAGTGCTTTTTAATGTGTTTCTCATTCATCAATTCACACACCAATGGTGGCAGAGCTGCGTGCAATGCTCACCTGCCATTGGGAGCAACTCTTGGTTCAGGGTCTTGCTCAGACACTTTGGCACATGGAGGGGCCGAAGATTAAACTGCCAACCTTACAATTAGTGGACAACCTGCTACCATGGCATTAAACACTGAGGCATTAAATGTAATTTTGAGCATATGTTTTAGAACTGCAATGATAAGTCAATTTGTCTATTGGTCAGTTGTCATCAGCAAACATTTTGACAATCAAGTAATTGTTCTGCAAAAATGCCAAAAAAAATGCTCCAAAATATGATGATATTTCTTTTCTCTGTGTAGTATTATTGTGGATTAAATGTCTTTGGGTTTGGGCCTGCTGGTTAGAAAAAAAAGAATTTTTGGCATTTTGTGGACTACACGGTTAACCGGTCAATGGAGAGAATATTATATGGTCTACTTTCCTGCAGCTACACTCTAACCGAAACTCAAGTTAGCTGATAAACCAGAGAAAGTTAACTGTGGATTTTGGTACCACCAGCTGCTGTGGTCAGTGGATAAAAAGATTAGCCTTCTGCCCTGCAGTCACTGATGGAGGCCACTTCATGTCCAGCAGGTCAGCAGTAAATCAGCTTCTAAGGTCTGTGTCTGCTGTCCCAGACAGCATAACCTTTGACCCTCATGCACCACATGACCTTTAACCTCAGTAAAATCAGGTCAAAGAGAAGCAGACCATCTGACAGCCATATGCGCTTTGCTGTGGATCAGAGAATGATGAAGTTCTCAGGCCAGCAGCAAGTTAGAAACAGGAGTCCAAGTCATTGAGCAAAGTGCTAAATAAGTCTGTATAAACTGTGGGAAGTTCTCGTGGTTACAAAAATGAGCAGAGCCTTTATTCTCGCCACCAAGACATTCCACAATTAACATTTTGTCAAGTTTACACTTGTTACACTTGTTGTTTGTGTTTTTATTTTGTCTCATTCAATATCCAGGGGTAGACAAACTCTGAGGGTAAGGGAACATAAAGTTTTGGGTCCCTACGTGGACGGGCTGTCTCGACTAGCGGTGGCCAGCTACAAGGTAAAAACTTTTATCTAACTGAAGTGATATTGAATTTTCACTTTGTTTTTGTGATATCCAGTGTACAGCAGTGTCACATTCTGACTGATGACAGTCACTCCATCTGCTGTTTGAATGTGTGCCAGACCCTGAGCAGAATGTCTGACTTGAATGTGTTCCCACTTTGATCTTTAAACTTTGAGGATTTATAGCTGTATCGCTCACATATTTGCTGCGCTCTGCTCAGAAGTCCTACCAATCCCACTGGAAAGAGGCTAGTTATAAAAGTGTCAGTTGAAAAAAATAATAGTACGGTTGTGACTTGACATTCTGATCTTTAACAATCCGAAAACCTTGCTGTCTGACAGGTTTTTAGGAAAAACGAACAGAACCCATAAAAAAATAGCCTTAACATACCGACAGCCTTGGATTCTGACACCAACATGACATTTTATGTCACAAATAAGGATAATGGCATATTATATGACTTAACAATCTGGCAGATTTACTTAGCTTTGATGTTAACCAATGGGCCCATGCACAAGCGCACCAGTCAACTAGGTGTGAAATCCAGCGATGCATAGTGTTCTAACAATACACTAGTTATTATAACAACTATAGACAATAAATATTAACAACAAATCACCCTTCACGCATCAAGCCCTCCTTGTATCTCGACCACCATCTTGACAATTCGACAGCCTTGCTATCCGACATAAAAGAAGGGTTTACATTTAGTGTCGGATTATCAAGTCACGACTGTATTTTGTAGTTTATATGACAGTTGTCAAGAGACTCAATGGCACTATTATCTTTTTCAGTTATAATGGTTGACAAATATAGAAATAAGCATTGGATGTACTGCATATTATTCCTGATTTCTTTAAAGAAGATGACACACAGACTGAGTCAAATTAAGAGAATAATACAAATTTTTCATGTAATTGTTTTTTGTTGTCTTTTGTTCTATCAGGACATTGAGTCTCTGATGTCAGAGGGGAATAAGTCCCGCACTGTTGCTGCCACCAACATGAATGAGGAGAGCAGTCGATCACATGCTGTCTTCAACATCATCCTCACACACACACTTAAAGATTTGCAGTCTGGGGTAAGATATTTCCATACAAACACATACACACAGCTGATTTCTTTTTAACATTATGAAGGAAAAAATAAGGTTTGAAATTGCTGTGGCAGATTTTGCAGTCTCACTATAAAAAGAGGAAAAAACTGAAAATTCAAGAAAAGGCTGTGCTAATGGCTGTAGGTGTAACTGGTGTTGGTAGCAGGTGTAGTAGAATTGCCATTTGTATTTGATGTAGAATTGCTTAAATTTGCCATCACTCATTTGTTATATTGACTATTGGAAAGCTGACTAGATTATTTTTGTTGTGGCTTCATAGCCAGTGCAGAGGGTTGGAGCCTGCTGACAGCAACAGGGTTGGGCCATGGTGCTCACTTGTGTTGCAAGAAGCAGTTCGTGTCCCTGAAAGGTGCTTTGATGTAGCACTGCCTCAATGTTACCCTTAAACTTTCAGGCTTCTGTATCATCCACCTTCTTTTAAGCTCTCCAATATGCTTCACTCTGTTGGCCGTATCAAGCACACATAGACTGTCTTTAACAAGCCTGCAGAATCTGTCTGGCAATGGAGTAATCATAAGCACTAGAAATCACCAACATTTCGTGGGGAATTTTTAAATGCTAAGTCCTTGTTGAATTGATTTTGGACGTGATATTGCTTCTGTCATTTTTGTTAAAAAGTTATTACCAGAATTTACCACAATATTGTCTTTAGTTATACTGTAATAGTGTGATTCCTGTGTCAGCAGAATCCAAACATCATTGTCTGTACCTGCGCAAAGGTACACTGTTTGTGTGATTGTGTGTACACTGACTGTGGAAACAGTATCTGGCAAGGTTTTAATCAGTCAACTTATGCAGCTGGCAAGTGAAAAGGTAGTTGCTAAATGGGATACGTCAGTTCAGCTGTCTGACCAGGCACTCGAAGACCTGAATGACTGAATCTCCATCCTCACTAACCCACTTTGTCTCTCCCGCTCCTAGCTCTTCATTCCAGACAAACTTGCTCCCAACGAGTCCTGTTAATAATTTACAGGCGTGACTGTGAGTGTGTCAGCTGATACTGCCTGCTCTGTTTTCAAGGCACACCCAGAGTCAGTCACTAAGTTTGTGGGACAGTCAGTCAGTATGGTTCATCAAGCTCAAAAAACAGCTAATGTGTAAACTTTGTAGTCAGTGAGTGACTCACATAGCTGATGTGTCCTTCTATTGTCAGTAATGCCCACTAGGCCTGATGCCACTCCATTTCAGTGCAATTGAGTAACGTTCTGTGAGTTTCTGTCGTGTTGGTTGTAGCATTTATATGAGCAGCAGTCATGAAGGATGTTGGACTAGAAATCGCAGTGTGGAAGACAACAAAGTGTTGTTGCGCACACAATATGCAAAAATACGTTTGGTGCTGCTAAATACTGTTTCTTGGCCCAAAAACAGCATTTACCAAAGTCTGTTGTGGTTGTACTAGAATGTAAGTGGTATATATCCCGTCAATGAAGAAATCCTCATTTAAACATATTCAATATTTCACATGCAGTTCAGGATTATTGTTTCTTCAAGTTAAATAACTTACCACCCTCCCCAGCTTCAGACGAACAGTGACTGTAGATCAGGGAGCTACTGTCCTGCAGGTTTTAGACATTTCCGTACTGCAACACACCTGACTCAAATGAATGGATCTCCAACAGCTTGTTGTCAAGTTCTAAACAAGTCTGTTAATGATCCATTAATTTGAGTCAGGTGTGTTGCAGTACGGAAACGTCTAAAACCTGCAGGACAGTAGCTCACAAGGTCCGGAGTTGGAGATCCCTGCTGTAGATCATCACAAGGAGTTCATCTCTGCCCCCTAATGGCCCAACCAGTGTTGGTGGTAGGGGAACTGCAATGAAAGGATGTTTAAAAAATAAAAGCAACCTTTGACAGGTAGAAAAGTCACTCATCGCCGGATTAGTCATTCTGACTCATCACAGGATTCAATAGCATGTCCTGCTCAGACCTTCCAAACTAATGCTCCCCTCAGAGGTTTGCACTTTGACCTTATTTGCCACCAATTCTCAGTTGTTTGCTGTGCTTTTTTCCCTGCATTGCTAAGTGCGTTTGAAACCACAATTTAGTGTATTGCAGATTTTTAAAAAGATATTTAAGGAATGACTTTTATTGTTCTACTTGTTGTCTTTTTTTTTTTAACCTTAAAGCTGCTGCCAGGTAGGCTGATGAACTGCATGTCCTGCCTGCTGGTCTGGTTAAAAAGTCCATTATTAGGTTAATAAATTAAATGCCACATTGACTAGTATTTCTTCCTTGTCACTGCTTTACTAGCCAGCTGTATGTTAAAAATTGAATGGAAACACAACAGAACAGTGTCTGCATACTGTACAGTATAAATAAGAAAGAATCAGAAAGGAAGGAGCTGTAATTGCTGAATTACACCAGACAGCTTCTCATTGGCTTTTGTACACAGTCCTCAGCTCTGTGTCTGCTCTCTGTTTAGCCCTGTTCTATTTTTAAAAAATGTCCTTTTTTATTCTGCTCTGTTCCAGATATACCTGTCTTGTTTTTTGAATAATTCGCTTCTCTGTGGGGAATCCGGAGCTGTACTAGTCCAGCTATGAAACTAGTTTGCAAAAACTGTTTCATTACTGTGAAAGACACATTCTGAATTCAAAACCCTTTTGTAAAATTTTACTGTTCACAATTTTTACCGTACTTGACCTATTGTGCAGACATGTGGGGTGTTATATATCATAACATATCATTGTATTAATATGTAGTATAATATTACATTTTATACAGTAAAAGTATTACATAAAATGCTATTAGGATAGTATATAATTAGGATATAATGACCAATATATTGTTTTTCCATAACAAACACTTTTTAGTTAATTTCAGGACTGTGCAAATATTGTTCACAGCAAACAAGAAGTTACTCCCTGATAACCTACAGCAGCTGTTTAAAACTAACATTGGAAACTATGAATGAACAGGAATTTCAATTTTTAAAAAAGCCATTTGCTTGTACCACAATCAAGTGTAGATGATTATCAGTTCATGGGTAAACTTCCAGAATGGTCTGGACAATGATCTCAAGATGAGTACAACAATAAAACAATTTAAGAAAATATGCAAAAAAGATTGCTTGAAAAATATCATTATGTAGAACAGTGAAGGTGTTCTTGGGGTTTCATCATGGTGATGGTGGCACACATAGATGCAGTGGCCCCTTCAGGAGACAACGAAAGTGAACGTTTTGAGTGTCTTGCCGATCCCAGATGTTCAGTCTGCAAAACTTGCGGCCGTGAGGCTTTGTTGGATGTCAGGACAGTGAACGATGCTGGAATTGCGGCGATCGGTTGTGATTTGGGGCTGCAAGGTGGCGCAGTTGGTAGCACTGCTGCCTCGCAGCAAGAAGGTTGCCAGTTCGCATCCCGGTCGGGGCACCGGGATCTTTCTGCGTGGAGTTTGCATGTTCTCCCCGTGCAGCGTGGGTTCTCTCCAGGTTCTCCAGCTTCCTCCCACAAGTCCAAAAACATGCTGAGGTTAATTGGTGATTCTAAATTGTTCGTAGGTGTGAATGTGAGTGTGCTTGGTTGTCTGTCTCTACGTGTGGCCCTGTGATAGACTGGCGACCTGTCCAGGGTGTCCCCTCCCCTTACCCTAAGTCAGCTGGGATAGGCTCCAGCCCCCTGCGACACTAGTGAGGACTAAGCGGTGTATAGATAATGGATGGATGGGTTGTGATTTGGACATGCTGCGCCAACGCGGAGTCCAATTGGAGACTATGCCGGCAGTTACCCGAGAGAGAAGGAAGCGCAAACAGTGGGAATGTAAACAAAAGAGGGGGAAGAGAGCCGGGATCCATGCTAGGCTAAAGGCTAACCCCTCCAGACCAGCAGGATCCATGCTAGGCTAAAGGCTAACCCCTCCAGACCAGCAATACCGTCGCTCCTACTCTCCAGTGTCCACTCCCAACAAGCTGGATGAGCTACGTTTACTGGGAGAAACCTCCAGAGAGTGGAAAGACTGCTGTGTGTTTGCTTTTACAGAAGCATGGCTCCATGACAGGCAGCTAGCTCTGGGCAGCATCCATGGCTTCACCATCGTCACACCATCGTGTGTGTCTTTGTGTCCCTGAAGACATACCAGGACCTGAAGAGGTTGGCCATGTTCAACGTGATGGCAGTACACATGGGGGCAGCGGCCCCTTCAGGAGACAGCGAGAGTGAACGTTTAGTGTCTTGTTTATCCCAGACGTGCATTCCGCAAAACTTGCTAATTGAATAATCCTGAAGAAACGCTCTTTCATCTTGCCTGTACTACTGTGTATGTACAGCAAAATGACAATAAACTTGATTTGATTTGATTTGATTTTGATTTCTTTTGTGACAACATGGAAAATCGGAAGAAGTCAGCCAAGACATCAGGAAGAGGATTGTAGACCTCCACAGTCTGGTTCATCTTTGGGTACAATTTCCAGATGCCTGAAGATTCCAAGTTCATCTGTTCAAACAATTATACACAAGTATAAACACCATGGGAATGTCCAACCATCATAGCACTCAGGAAGGAGACGGGTTCTGTATCCCAGAGATGAAGTGTTTTGGTTTTGGTGAAGAATGTCCGTAACAACCCCAGAACAAAAGTTAAAGACCTTGTGAAGATGCTGCTGAAGCTGGTAAGAGAGAGTCATTATCCACAGTGAAGCCAGTCCTGTACCGACATGAGCTGAAAGGATACTCAGAGAGGAAGAAGACATTACTCCAAAAGAAAGATAAAAAAGTCACATTGCAGTTTGCAAATGCACACAGGGACGAAGACCTTCATTTGTGGAGACATGTCCTGTGGTCTGATGAAACTAAAACTGAACTGTTTGGCCATAATGGCCATTGTTACATTTGGAGTTAAAAGGGGAAAGCTTGCAAGCCTGAGAGCACCATCCCAGCTGTGTAGTATGGGGGTGGCAGCATCATGCTGTGGGGCTGTTTTGCTGCAGGAGGAATTGGTGCACTTCACAAAGTGGATGGCATCATGAGGAAAGAACATTATGTGGAAATATTGAAGCAGCATCTCATGACATCAGACTTCATTCTACTCATTTTCAGACATTATTTTAAAGTTTTTTGTTTTGTTTTATTCATTTTTGGGATTTGTTTCAATTTCTTGCCTTTATGGTATTTTGACATGTCTGAAATATATCAAATAAATCAAAAGGCACAGAAGTACATGGTTGCACAGATTCACTTTCGAGAGAGACCAAAGTGGGGCATCTGCTGATGTTTGGCACACGTGCTGCTTCGGTGTCACAGCAGGCGGTGACCAGGTGTTACATTCTGTCCTGTCAGCTGCTGATCTGTCAGACATGGTCAGGAGTGGATCCGGCCCAGTACAGATAGGAATGTGATATCCACCTCTTCAACAGCCCTTGGGAAGACACTGAGGGAAGCTGTCAATGAGAAACTGAAAGATGATGGCATCACCTGGATGGCAGAATGACAATAATCAGAGAAACACTTAGAAGATGTGCTGTCAGTAAGAGTGGACCAAATCATATGGCACAAATGCATTTAACAGTAACCTGATGAGGGAAGGTCTCTGACAAAGTCACCTTGTTGTTTATAACTCTAATCCTTGGAAATTGGAGGAGTGCTCGGTTGAAGGCTGCTCAGAATATGGTGGATGATTGCATTGATGTTGGGGCTCCTTGTGAATAATGGCTCAACATTGGTGGTGAGACTTCATGTTATTGCTTTCCGGGCTGTCACCAGGTTTTGTTGAGTCATATGTGCATAAGTGTCCTATAGTGCAGCTCCTGGTTATTTTGGTTATTTAATTTGCAGACCAGCTTGGACATTCCACAGCTCATTGTCAAATGACTTGCTACCCTGAATAAGGCATACCAATGAATAGTCAGAAGGAGAACAGAATCTGGTTACATTTGAATATGGACAGAAAAAAAATCCTAAACCAACATCAGGCTGCAAAACCCCTGCTGGAGCTGCGTCTCCATCCAAACTGCATTCTGGAAGCATTTTCTTCTCATACACAGGAGGTTGCAGTCGTGAATAGAACAATGTTCAGATTTTTTGCCTTTTTCTTTTTCTGTAGACGAGCGGGGAGAAGGTGAGTCGGCTGAGTCTGGTAGACTTGGCTGGAAGTGAGCGAGCCGCAAAAACTGGAGCAGCAGGAGAGCGACTAAAGGAGGGAAGCAACATCAACAAGTAATCAGAAGCAGTTAAACACAGAAAAAACACACACTTAAAGTCTACAGGTGTTTTCACACTAGCAGTGTTACTTTCATAACTGTTTTTCTAACCACAGAACACTGTCATCTCACAAGCCATACCTTTCTTTTTTGATCATTTGCAAATAAAGTTGTAAATTTGTACAAAAGCATATGCCCTAAGTATTTGGTATTTTCATGACTTTTGAACCACGTTTCTTTTTAAAGTGTACACAAATTACTTGCTCGACATGACAAAATTAACACAGCTGTCACCAAAAGCATATAATGGTACTTATTGCATCTGTCTGGAAAACACCTACAAAGAAAGTTTAATGTCAAAGCATCCCAGGATAGAGATGAGAATAAGACTGTGATATAAACCCATAACCAGGTACGTGAAAGGAAATCAAAAGCACTTGACCCTAATATTTTTGTGTGTCTTTGTGTGTACTTGCCAGGTCTCTCACTACGCTGGGTCTGGTGATCTCAGCTCTGGCTGAACAGGGAACTGCCAAGAACAAAACCAAGTTTGTTCCTTACAGAGACTCTGTTCTGACATGGCTGCTGAAGGTAAATACACAGTAGATGTCCACCAGAGACAAAGGAACAAACACCTTTGATTAGTTTGTGCTGTTTTCTTATTTTCTTATATAATATCTATCTTTTCACAATTGGTACCATTCATTTCCCTGTCTTTCTCCTTCATTCATGTTCATGTTGTTTCCAGGACTGCCTGGGGGGCAACAGTCGCACAGCAATGGTTGCAACTGTGAGTCCAGCAGCAGACAATTATGAGGAGACACTTTCTACATTGCGTTATGCTGACCGAGCAAAGAACATTGTTAATCACGCTGTTGTCAATGAAGACCCCAATGCTCGCATCATCAGGGAGCTCCGGGAGGAAGTAGAGAAACTACGAGTACAGCTGACCCAGGCAGAGGTGAGATGTCTTCACAAGCTATGAAATCACAATGTAGAAATATTTGCTTTCCTCTGTTCCCACCAGCTGTCTTTTCTCCAGTCTCTGAAAGCTCCAGAGCTGAAAGAGCGTCTGGAAGAGTCTGAAAAATTGATTCAAGAGATGACCATCACCTGGGAGGAGAAACTCCGCAAAACTGAGGAGATTGCACAGGTAAGACCCACAAACCATGTGAAAGAGTAACTGGTAAAGCAAACATATTGAGCTATTCTACAAAATCAGTTCCTGTTTGTTTATGGGTATTTGCTGGAAGTCTTCCCATTCAAAATGCAGTAGGAAATCGATTCTGTTTGGGTTTGAACATTATGTTTAGATTGGTTTATTCAATTTATAAATATGATGATTTTCTATGTGTGTGTTTGTAGGAGCGCCAGAAGCAGTTGGAGAGTCTGGGCATTTCTCTTCAGTCTTCAGGGATTAAAGTTGGAGATGATAAAAGTTTTCTTGTCAACCTTAATGCTGATCCTGCCCTCAATGAACTGCTTGTGTACTACCTAAAGGTGTGTGCATACACATACTTTGCTCATCATGCTTTAATTAACGCCGCAACTGTGTTATAATTAATGACGTGTTTTATACTACCTCGAGTCCCTCTGCTCTGTAGACATCTGAACTGAGCAGTCATAGAAAATCTTTACAAACGTTTAGAATATAGAAACTGACTTGTTTTGTTTTTAGAATTGGCTGAGTTGGATTTGGTTGTAATGTGACGGTGCTTATGAAAAAAAATGTGTATATATTTACATATTATTTGACGTCAGAAGCACAAAACAGCTTTGATGAAAAATAATCACGTTACTGCTTGATGGGCGAGATCAAAACAGACAAATTTAAGATCGTCATTGCAAGGGGTAACTAAAGTTTGTCTGTTGCGATTGTTTCTTTCATAAATCACACACATTTTATAACCTGGTAAGCTTTGCTCTATTAGATGTGACTCTGTTAAAATGTGTCTGTCTGACTCAGCTGATAACAGATTGTAACATGTTGAACACTGTGTCTCAGGAACACACAAAAGTGGGTTCAGCAGACTCTCAGGACATCCAGCTGTGTGGGATGGGTATCCAGGCAGAGCACTGTGTCATCGATATAACGGCAGACGCTGCTGTCATCCTTACCTCGCACCGCAATGCTCGGTAAGTCATGCCAGTGTAACAGAGGGAAAGCTCAGCATGATGACGACCAAGGCTAAATGGAAAATGTTTCTGTCTTAAGAGCTCTGTGGGAGGAACAACAAACGAGCACTACCAGCACTGATGTCATATTACCTCTAGAGTTATTGTTGCCATCAGTGTGTTCATACTGCTTCTTTTTCAAGTTTTAAAAATAAAATGTCACTGTGAGCTAATGTTACTGCTTTGTTTGCTGGTGTTTTAGGACATGTGTTAATGGTTCTCCAGTAACCAGCGCTTTGCAACTTCATCATGGCGACCGAATCCTCTGGGGAAACAACCACTTCTTTAGGTAACCTTATTGTTTTTAGATTTTTTAAATGACTCTGATCTTTTTCAAATTCATTCATAGATTCCATGAATATGATGGAAAATATTTGTCAGTGCATTGTGTTGACATCATTTACCATTTGACATTCATTTTAGATTTTCTTACCTCTTTTTAATACACACAGTTTCTCGTCATTATCTCCAGTTTTTATTCATATCCAATCATCCTGTTTTGTATTATTCACTCTTGGAAGTAATAAAGTTGACACGTGCTTATCCCACCTCAAGGATCAATCTGCCTAAGCGCCGCTCTCGTGCAGTTGAAGATGAGGAGGGTGAGGGAGGTGTAATGAAGAACAGTGGTAGCAATGAACAGCTGGATGCAGACGGTGACACAGCCAGTGAGGTGTCCAGTGAAGTCAGCTTCTCTTATGAGTTTGCTCAGACAGAGGTCATGATGAAGGCCTTGGGCAACAATGGTAAGCTGTGTTAAGACGATGCAATGTTGATTTCCTGCTAGGCAGAACATCAATCCTATAGTTTCCTGTCTATGTCTAATGACTCCTCTATGTTGTGTCTGGTCAGACCCCATGCAGGCAGTCCTCCAGTCTCTGGAGAGGCAGCATGAAGAGGAGAAACGTTCTGCTCTGGAGCGACAGAGGCAGATGTACGAGCAGGAACTCCAGCAGCTCCGCAAGAAGCTCAACCCAGACCGTCTGTCCACAGGCCAGTCTGGAGGGCTGACGTCTGGCCAGCAAGGTCCAGGACAGCAGTCTCACTACCGTAGCCTGGAGAGACTCAGTATGGGAGGGATGACCCATTCATCCAGCGCCCAGAGCAGACTGAGGCAGTGGAGTGAGGACAGGTGTGTGTGTGTGTTTGTTTTTGTTTTTTATGTCCTCTGGGGACTTCTAACTGGCTGCACACCAACCCATGGGGACCTCCTGGGACCATGGGGACCAAATTCAGGTCCCAATAGATCCAGACTGCTTTCTAAGAGTTTAAATCTGCTTGCACATTAAAGGTTAGCAGTAGGTTAAGGGCAAGTGGCTAGGGAATGCATTATGTCAACAGAAGGGACAGAGAAATTGTGTGCATGCGTGCGTGTGCATGTTGTGTTAAAGAACAAATGCAAACCTAACATTTCCTCATCCCTCCTCTGTCTCCCCTTTTTGTCTGCCTCTTCCTGTCCTCCTGCAGAGAGGTGGTGTTGGTGAGGAGTCTGCGGAGGTTGAGGGAGCAAATAGTGAGAGCAAACCTCCTTGTGCAAGAAGCATGTTTCATTGCTGAGGAGTTGGAGCGACACACTGAATACAGAGTCACTTTGCAGATCCCATCAGACAACCTCAACGCAAACCGCAAGGTCTCACATGCAAACATTACCACCTCATGCATGGGTGTCCTGTCTTCTGTTTTTCCCACTGCCCATAATCCAAATACATCTGTTGTGTGTGTGTGTGTTTGTGTAGAGGGATGCAGTGCTGAGTGAGCCAGCAATTCAGGTTCGACGACGCTGTCGAGGGAAACAGATCTGGAGTCTGGAGAAGATGGAGAACCGTCTGGTGGACATGAGAGAGCTGTACCAGGAATGGCAGGACTATCACCTCCATCATCAGGACGACCCTGTGAGTCAGCTTAACACAAACTTATTTAAGAAAGAAGAACAAATAAGTTAGGGTTTATTATGTTAAGTGTACTGTGACCTCAGTGCAAAGTGTTTTCAGCTATGGGGAGAATATGAGGTTATTAATGTACCCTCCCTCAACATTGTCATGGTCCTGAGCTGAAAGAAAAATTGTAATGAGAAATCTGGGTTTCTGATTCATAAGCTACTAAAATCATAAGACCGATTTGCTGTTAAACTCTCCTGTTTTCCATGTCCAGGTAATGCGCTCATACTTTCGTCGAGCGGACCCATTCTTTGACGAGCAGGAAAACCATAGTCTGATAGGTGTTGCCAACGTCTTCCTTTCCTGTCTGTTCTACGATGTCAAGTTGCAGTATGCTGTTCCCATCATCAATCAAAAGGGAGAGGTAGAAACACCTTTTTCAACATTTCAACTCCTCCAGACCTAGCTCTGTTAGTGCTTTGTTGTTTGATTGTTTTAGTGCTTTTAATCTTTTCATCGACACCTTTTTGCTAACAAATTACTCAATTTTAAACTGCACAACACAACTATTGCTTGGGTCTTAGATGATCTCTTATCTTCACCTAGTCCATCAGGTTGATAACAGCATGACATTATCTTAGCTAAACCAGGAGGCCCAATGGAAATGGATACATCTCCCTTTTCTACAATTCTACAATTTCATTTAGCAGACGCTTTTATCCAAAGCGACATACATCTGAGAGCAGATACAACACAAGCAAGGATCTAGTCAGAAGAAAGATAAGTGCCATAGAAAAAATTCAAGTGTGATAAGGCGTTGATGCCAATAGCAGGGTGTAGGGAGGTAATAGGATTTTTTAATTTTTTTGTTTGATTTTTGTTTTTTGTTTTCGGGCAGTCAAGTGCAAAAGTGTTCAGTGAAGAGTTGGGTCTTTAGTCTTTTCTTAAAGACTGAGAGGGAGTCAGCAGATTGAACTGAGTTTGGTAACTCGTTCCACCACCGCGGAACCACAGAGGAGAAGAGTCTAGCTAATGACCTCGAGCCCTGTTGCAGTGGTTGTATTAGGCGGTTTTTGTTGGTTGAGCATAGTGAGCGAGAGGGAGTGTAGATCTGAATGAGAGAGTTCAGGTAGGAGGGAGCTGTTCTCATTGTGGTTTTGTAAGCAAGTGTCAAGATTTTGAATTTGATGCAGGCAGCAACTGGAAGCCAGTGAAGTGATCTGAACAGCGGGGTGACACGTGCTGTTTTTGCCTGGTTGAAAACCAGACGTGCTGCTGCATTCTGGATCATCTGCAGAGGTTTGACTGTGGATGCAGGGAGGCCTGCTAGTAAGGAGTTGCAGTAGTCAATGCATGATATTATTGGAGCTTGTACCGGGAGCTGTGTTGCATGTTCAGACAGGACAGGTCTGATCTTCCTGATGTTGTACAGAGCGAATCGACACGACCGAGCAACACAGGCCACATGAGCCTTGAAGGTTAGTTGGTCATCAATCATGACACCCAAGTTTCTGGCAGATTTTGTGGGTTTGAGTTGGGTTGAATCAAGCTGGATGTTAATTTCTTGTTGTAGAGAGGGACTGGCTGGGATGACAAGGAGCTCGGTCTTAGAGAGTTCATTCACACTCTACACCACTGACTATGGGCAAACTCAGGTGTCTTTTTATATTCAGAAGTTTTTGGACGACACTGCCGTATTGGGTTTACTTAACCAAGACAATGACCTCTTCTGCAGAAGGGAGTTTGAATTATTTGTCAGCTGGTGATACAAATTTTTAAAAAATGAATGTGGGGAAGACCATTATTGATTTTAGACAGCAAAAACAGGAGGTCTTCCTAGTGATGATTAAGTGTCAGTACATAGAGATAGTCCAAACTAACAAATACGTTGTTTTCTGTCTGAACAGTGAAATATACTGGAAAAAGAACAGTGAGGTTGTAATAAAAAAGACTCAACTGACTATTCTTCTTGAGCAGGCTTATATCATCCTTTTATATTAGCAACAAGCGTCTTCATGCTTCATGCTTTATGTTAGCCAGTGTCCTCTTTTATGCTGCTCTCTGCTGGAGGGGAAAGCATCACTGTGGATGACAAAAGCAGGATCAATAAGGTGATTAGGAGGCTGGCTGTGATTGGCCTTAATCCAAACTCACTTGAGATTACTGTCGAAAAGAGAGCTAGGGCTAAATTTAAAGATGGTTTTGTGTCTTGGAAGCCATTCATTACACAGTGTTTTTAACAGACTCAAAAGCTCTTTCACTGAGTGACTAGTGATGCCTCAGTGAACAATTCTGAACAATTCAGACGGTGTTTTGTTTTTCTAATGAACACTTTCAGATGTGGTATAGGTCCTTGGCACCATTCAGCTTTTAATTATGTATCCAGTGGCTTTTTTATTTAGTTTTTGTGTACTACAGATGTTATGTCTGTTTCATTATTATTTGTTCTTTGAAAGAGTAGAACTGGTGGCAAGTATAGTTGGGGTAAAGTCTGTTTGTTCTGTTTTAATTTCTGATCTTCAGGTTGCTGGGCGCCTGCATGTGGAGGTTGTGAGGGTTGGAGGAGGCTTAGAGGACAACATGGCTGGAGGAGATGAATCTGACAACAACCAAGACAATGAAGTTCAAGATCGCAAACTGGTTTGCATGGTGAGACACACAGCTCATCAGACAGTAGAACACTGTGTTATTTAGACCTGGGGTATAGTGGTTTGAAATCATTCTCGGTGCTTTGTTTCATACCACAAGGAATGTTGAATATATTTAGTTTTCTTTATAGAAGAGAATCAGTTTTTTTCACCTGTGTATCTTCTGCAGATTAAGATCCTGCAAGCCACTGGTCTTCCTCAGTACCTGTCCAACTTCGTCTTCTGTCAGTATTCATTCTGGGACCAGCCTGAGCCCATCATTGTAGCTCCTGAAGTTGACACATCATCCTCGTCACCCAACACCAAGGACCCTCACTGTATGGTGGTGTTTGATAGCTGCAAGGTGAACAGGGTGGCGTGGATAAGAATGTTAAAAGACTTGTAACAACAAACCTAAAAGCCTTCACGAGATGCATTTGGGATGAACCATAGTTGTGTGCAAATATGTATAGCAATGGTGAAGGATGGGTCACTTACATGTTGTTGATATGACATTGGTCTCTTTGGATATTGCAGGAGATGGCAGTGTCAGTGACTGAGGATTTCATTGAGTACCTCACAGAAGGGGCAGTTGCCATTGAGGTCTATGGACACAGACAGGCTGATGCAGGGAGAAACCCTGCCCTATGGGACCTCAGCATCATCCAGGCCAAGACACGCACACTACGAGACAGGTAGATACAACCACAGTCACCTTTGACTCTTTTATTTTTTTATTTTTTTAAAATATTTTTTTGGGGCGTTTTGCCTTTATTTTAGAGCAGTAGAGATAGACAGGAATAAGGGGAGAAAAATGGGTAGAGACCTGCAGCAAAGGGTCGTGAATGGGAGTTGAACCCACGACCGCTGCGTCGGGGAACTATAGCCCCTGTTCATGGGTCACCTGTTCAGCTAGGTGAACTATAGGGGCGCCCTACATTTGACTCTTATTCAGCAAGATGCCAAGGTCCTTTGTAGAAAGCAGGCTTTAAATGCAGAATTTAAACCTGGAATTCGGGTTGACTAACTCTAAATTTTCAATAAACCTGTTTTCTGAAATGGGGCCCGTGTGAAAAACGTGTGTTTTTACAGGTGGAGTGAGGTAACACGTCGTCTGGAGTTATGGATTCAAATCCTGGAGATAAATGAAAACGGAGACTTCGTCCCTGTGGAAGTGGTCCCTGCTAGAGATGTGCGGACTGGGGGAATCTTCCAGCTTCGGCAGGTAAGGATAAGCCCTGACTTAACCACAGCCAACCCATTTGCATCAGGGGGAATTAGCAAACTTCAGCTGGAAATCTAGCTACTAAATATGCTAACTAGTGGCTTGTCTTCCTGACTTCAATGTCTGCCCCACCTTCTCCTCCCTGTTCATGTCCAGGGTCAGTCGAGGCGAATCCAGGTAGATGTGCGTTCAGTTCAGGACTCGGGCACGATGCCTCTGATAGCAGAGATTATGCTTGCAGTGTCCGTGGGCTGTGTAGAGATCAGAAACACCACAGCAAACCAGGAAGGAGACGAGATGGACAGTTATCAGGTAAACCAGTTTAATACACCTCTGTCTACTGTCTCTTTACCCTATATCTTAAACATTTAAAATTAACTTAAAGCTGAAGTGAACCAGAACATTCAGTATTTAACTGAGTGGTTTGTTGGACAGGAAAGAGATCTGGAACGTTTGCGGCGGCAGTGGTTAGCTGCTCTCACCAAGAGACAGGAATACCTTGACCAGCACTTGCAGAGCCTGGTTAGCAAAGCAGGTACTTTCTGTTTCTCATTATTATAGTAGTGTAGAGTTTGCTGGTGTCTTCATAATCAGGCCAGGTAAATGGCCAAGTAAATTTTTGTGGTTTACAGTGTAAAAGGTGCCTAAAGTATGGGTGTTGTGTACAGAAAAGACAGAGGACGACATGGAGAGGGAGGCCCAGCTGCTTGAGTGGCGCTTGACTCTGACAGAGGAAAGAAACGCTGTTATGGTGCCCTCTGCTGGCAGCGGCATTCCTGGAGCACCCGCTGAATGGTGAGCATGTTGCAAGATGTGTGTCTCTCTGATTTCATTTGTTACATTTTTCCTTGTGATTTCCAGATGTTACCACTTGGAGGCACAAATGTGCAGACAAACATGTACATATGTGTTAATGACAATGTGTGTTTGTTCACAGGGTTCCTTTGCCAGGCATGGAGACTCACATTCCTGTCCTCTTTCTGAACCTCAAACGTATGGAAGTTCTTTGCTAAGTACTATATGCTTACAAATAGTTTTTTTTCTACTCGAGGGTTAAATTTTTTATATTTTTGTTTGTCTCTGTATTGTTTCCCCAGCTGATGACCTCAGCTCCCAAGACCAGTTTGAGGTCCCTGAGGCTGGAGGTTGGGATGCCACCTTGAGTGGGGAGGATGAAGATGACTTCTTTGACCTACAAATTGTGAAACACTACGATGGAGAGGTAAGCCTACAGCAGGCATTTTTGGAGGCACTGTTGGGCACACTAAGGGAATATTTTCTGTAACTTTCTTGGTATTAACTGTGATTGTTGATTCACAGGTGAAAGCAGAGGCATCATGGGACTCTACTGTCCATGACTGTCCTCAGCTCAGTCGTGGGGGAGCATGGCCAGAGCAGCGCGTCTATCTGACTGTTCGAGTGGTGGTTCAGCTCAGCCACCCTGCCGATATGCAACTAGTGCTAAGAAAGAGGATCTGTGTCAATGTTAACCCGGGTCGCCAGGGTTTTGCCCACAACTTTCTCAAAAGGATGTCAAGCCGCAGCACTATACCTGGTTGTGGAGTCACATTTGAGGTGGTCTCCAACATCCCTGGGGTAAGGCATTGGAAAAATACCTGGCATCCAGAGTCCTGCTTAGCAGGGTCAGTTATTAAAGACAAATCTTCATGATGCTTTGTCTCAGCAGGACACTCCTGGTTCAGAGGACAGGGAGCTGTTGGCCCGACTTGCTGCCAGTGCGCACAAAGGCCAGTCAGGTGACGACGAGGCTGCCATTGAGAAATACCTCCGCAGTGTCCTGAGTCTGGAGAACATCCTCACTCTGGATAGACTCAGACAGGTAGATAAAGAAACTCAAAGAACTGTACAGAATCTTCAGTAGATAGTAATCCACAGGCCTGCAGTCACACACACCATTTCTTTTCTTTTCTTTTCTTTTTTTTAATCAGATAAAAATGTGCTGTGTGTGTGTTTCAGGAGGTGGCAGTGAAGGAGCAGCTGACAACCAGAGGGAGGAGTAATAGAAGAAGCCTAAGCTCTCCTTCTGTCCACAGGGTAAAACAGAAATACATTATTAATATGTCAGAGCATGAGATGGTGGCACATCATATGGCAATATGACAGGATTTTCTCAATTCATCCCATCCCTCAGCTGTCTGGAAGCAGACAAGACCTGTCCACAACCTGCCTGCTGGATGAGAAGGTACTACACACTTTGAACAACAGAGTTCTGTGTTTAACTGTGGATCCACTAGCAATGTGTCACATCATTCTGTTTATATGTAGCAGTGACTTATTTGGTTTAACATGTTGACTCTGATCGTTTAATAATTGCCCTGTCATCTCTCCTTTGTCTGCTTCTCAGGGTCGATGGGAGAGTCAGCAGGATATCTTTATGCACTCTCAATTTCACCGCACCCTCCCCCGGCCAGCCTCGTCCCCTTCCACCTACTCCACCTCCCCTTCTTCATCCCCTACTCCCTTCGCCATGACCCCCCCACAGAACCAGGAACCAGAGCAAGGTAGACATACACCTTCAGTACTCCATCTTCTTACTCTCTTTGCCATCCTTCTTTTTTCCTCTTTTCTTTTTTCTACCTGGGTTCATCCATCGTTACAACAGTCCTTCATTTTAAGACATGCTCCTCCCTGCCTTACCTCCTCTGCCCTTCCATCTTGTCTCCTTTCGTGTGATGTTCCCAAACACTTTACCATTTTCTTGCTCCCATTAGTAAATGCATGGTCTTCAATCTGCTCCTTTCTGTCCAGGCAGAAGTGTTCCTTTGTGTGATATTTCTGTCTATCTGCTCATTTGCAAGTTATTTCCATTCATTTTGCTTTGTTCTTTGCTTCTCTCTGCACGCTCATCATCATGACCAAAACCTTTTAATGTCTGCTGTGATCAATCAGAATATTTCACTGTCAGTGAGCTGATTCATAGTGATTTCTTGTCCATGTCAGTCAGGATACATGTCACTGTGACATTCTTCAGATTAATTCTGTTTTGAAAATGAACAGAATTAATATTTTTTGACTAATTTCTGCGACACAATCCAGTGTGAATGTTTTTTTTAATCATATCGTAATAGATATATCTACCATCTCTGTGTGTGTTTTATGACCAGCTTCTTCTGTCAGTCTATCACTGTGTTGTGGGGTTTTTGCCATTTTCTGGACACGCTTTCAAATCCTTGTCTAAATCTGTCACACCTCCTCTACCTCCCGGACCTCCTCTTGTTTCCTTGCTTTCTTCCTTCCTCTCTTCTGCCTCCTCCTTGTCTTTCATCTTTCTCGCCTCGCCTCCCTCCCTCCCCTCCCCAGGTCGTTTAGGACTTGCTGCCTCTTATCTTTCAGTTAAAGCGCTGGTTCCTCAGATGCCCAAACTGCTCAAGTCTCTGTTTCCAGCACGAGATGACAAGAAGGAGCTGAGACCTTCACCACACAACCAGCAGGTCAGCAGAGGTGCACTAGTCAAGTATAATGTATCCCTTGGTTTCATCCAGGGAAAGACATTGAGTATAGGCCCTCTGTCTTGCCTTGGCAATTAGTCAGGTGCCAGAAACTTTGACCTGATTTACTTCAGAGGCATAAATGTCAAAATCTTACATATAACAAATTTATATGATATACAATTGTGAACAAACGCTAACGTACACTTACAAGACCATGTACTGTATATCATAGTGGTCTTGTGTTTTCTATGATGGAATCATACCTACGTGTCTGTGTCGCAACAAACAACCATATACTTTGGTTCTTTCATTGATTTATGACAGGTTCTCTGGAAATATAAAATCTGCTCTGTCAAAAACATACTATTATCAGCGTTGGTGATGTAAAAAGCTGTGTTAATCAAACTTTGTTAGTGCCGTGGCCTGTTAGCTTTTCATGAGTCATTACAATTGACTACAGTACTTCTCTGAGCTCATTCAAATAGGGCCCATTTCGTACACTTTTTAGATGCAGCCATAAACACAACAATGGGGAAAGTCTGAGGAGCTCAGCACAGATCTTAAAAAGCAAATAATGACTTGAACGAGTAAGAAAAGGGGCTTGGAGCTATTACAAAGCAGCTTCTGATCACAAAATCATCTGTGCATTCAACTGTAAGTATAAAGTGCATGGCACGTTTGTGTTACTGCTAGGAAGAAACGCCAACTGTCACCTGCTGCTGAAAAAAAATCGGTAAGAATAGTCAAGAGTCAACCAAGAATCTCCAAAAGCAGGTTTGCAATAAGTTAGACGCAGATGGAACAGTGTCGGTGTCCACAGTCAAGCATGTTTTACATCAGCATGAGCTGAGAGGCTAGAAAAAGGAAGACCTAGAAGCAGCACCTGTGTTCACACCGGACGCGAGTAAAATCATTCGCGCGAATGATTTACATGTAAAGTCAATGTGAAGACACGATTAGACGCGTACGCAGCGAGCGCGTGCAGTTAGTATCCTGGAGGGATATCCTGGTACCGATCCTCTCCAACAGGTAGTCAAACTGGGTCCGGATCAGCTGAAAACAGAGCTGGAAGCGGCCGTCATCCAGGCTACTCTGGAGAAGGTGGAGGAATTCCCCGAGCTGTGTGCATCTCTGGGGATCCCATGGATCCGGCGTCTGGATCGCGTCATTCGCGCGAGACACAAATCTTGATGCCTCATTGACGCGATTTATACGCGCGAATGAAGCAAGTAAACTCAGTGCACACACGCGTCCAAATACGCGCATAACGCGCGATGAATTCACGTCTGATGTGAACACAGCAAACACAGCATTCCACTGAAGTTTGCTGCTGATCACATGGAGGAAGAAAAGGCCTTCTGGAGGAAAGTTCTATAGTCACATGAAACAAAAATTGGGCTATTTGGCCACAATGACCAGAAATATGTTTGGAGGAAAGAAGGTAGGACCTTTAACCCCAAGAACACCCAACCTACCATCAAGCATGGTGGTGGCAGTATTATGCTTTGAAACTGTTTTGCTGCCAGTGAAACTGGTGCTTTACACAAAGTAAATGGAATGATGAAAAAGGGGGATATAGTTGGATGTTCCAACAAGACAGTGACCCCAAACACACATCAAAAGTGGTAAAGAAATGACTAAATCCAGTTAGAATTCTGGTTATAGACTGGTCTGCCCTAAGTTCAGCCTTAAACCCCATCAAGGACCTGTCGACTGATGAAGAAACAAGTCTGTCAGAGAGGCAGCAAATTTAATTGAACTGCACCAATTCTAAGAAGAGGAGTGGTCAAAGATGCAACCAGAAGCTTGTGGACAGCTTCCTAAAGTGCTTAGTTGAGGTGATAATGGTCAAGGGACACTTTTCCAGTTATGAACTTTGCTATATGTATGTTTTTGACCCAGCAGTCATGTTTCCAGAGGACCATTGATAAATCTAATATTAAACCAAAGTGCATTATCATTTTTTGTGACAAAGACACACATGTTTCAATTATTACATTATAGACAATTCCATTCTCAAAGTCATTGGAAACCTAAGACTGCTATGATATACATGGTCTTTACAAGTGTATGTAGACTTTGACTTTATATTATGCTATAATAGGTATTAAATTCTGCAAGACTCATCCCACCTGTACATTTCCAGTAGAAAGAGCAAATGTGTGTGCATGTGTGTAGTATTTTTTCTTGTCATGACCTTTTTTGTCACTCAGCAGCACGTGCCTCGCATTGTGACGTCATCAGGAGGGGACGACAGCCGAGTTAAGACTGAAACGGTGAGATTTTGCCCCGGCCTCCTTCTCCATACTTGCTCACTGCTGTTTATTGCTTCTGTTGGTTTTATTGAAGGCTTACAGGCAATACAAAAATCTTTAATATTTTTGCTGATATGCACGTTGTAAACACTGTTGCTTTTATTAGTTCCTTATGTACATACATGTTCCAGCATTTTAGTCATGCACTTCCAAAAGGTTGCAAGAGTCAGACTAGTCAAAGATGGGTCAATCATCCCAAATACTGACCCCTACTATTCCAGTAATGTCTGTCATTATTTTTCAAACTAATAATAAATAAATAAAACCTTATGCAGCCCTGTCGAAAAGAAGGCACTTAACTAAACTGCTTAGGTTATTATGTAACTGAACGTAATTGAGCTAACTAAGACATTAAAATGGTTAATTCAATTACATTTTTCATGTAAACAAGATGGTTATTTACAAAAGAAAACCCAGACTACTCCTTTAATTTCTAGTTTAGCTGTTTATTGGTCAGGGGTTGAAGGTCAAGTTGTTTTGCTGTGTGGGGATTGGTCAGGGATAAGGAAGAGACCTCAAAATAGTGGACTGCCCTTTTAGAGACCTTATTTGTGAGTGATAGATGATAGTGTTAAATTAAAGTTAATTTAGAACCAAATTTCCAATTTTTTTTAATACTGTAACTACCACAACTCAGAAAGCTTCAGCTTAACTTGAGAGTTAATGTTTACAACAAAATGGAGATGGATTTTATATTTTATTCCCTATAACGTAAAGTACACTATGGAAAGAGATGTCTTCGTGTAGTAAGGAGTAACAGTAAAGCTAGCCAAGAACCTCTTTAATGCACATGCAGATATGTTAGAATTATTGGAAGGTGGGTTCATATTTTTCAAGACAATCTTTTAAAGTTTTACCTGGAATAACATAAAAATTGCCTACTGCAACCATGCTGTAATTTTTAAAAAATTTGGTGCCACATTGGTTTTTGATCTGGTCCGACTTCAAGTTTTGATGTGTTTCACTGTATGTGTAGTTTGAGACCTCGTAATTTACTCACACCTTATTTGTACAACCAACCAATATGTGGCTGCAAATGTCCAAAGAAAAGTTTAGAAGGTGCTGCAAATGGTGCCCCAAAAACCACATAAAAGGCCCCAGACTCTGTCCTATTAGACAAACTGGGACTGTAACATTTTTGGAGCACCTGATTACTATTGTTGATTATTGTTTTGTTGTTTTGCCTTGTCTGCATGCTCTCGTCTGTCCTTCTGTTCCTGCGGCAACCATGGTTTCCTGTAGACTGCTATTCTACGGCCCCCAACCAAAGACAGACGAGCAGAGTTCCCAGAGGTCCCTCCTCTTCCTGTGCATGACCCGCATGACACCACCCCCCTCAGCCCCCTCAGCCAATCGTCGAGCGGCTACTTCTCCACTAGTGTTTCAACAGTTACCCTGTCTGACGTTCTCCAACCCTCCTCCTCGTCTTCCTCCCTCATGGCTGCTGAGACTACGTTACTCACAAATCCCCAGCAGCAGGGTGCTGACAGGGACGATATTGTGACCTCTCCTTCTCAGTGTGGCCCCAAGATGGCCATCATGGCTCCGCCTGTTTCCCACAGCTCAGCCAATCACAACAACATCACAACGGAAATGTCCTTCTCCGAACAGAAGCAGGTAAACTCAGGAGGAAGAGGAGAAGGTGAAGGCTTTGAGAGGCTAGAGATCTTGGTGGATGATGAAGAGCATAGTCATGACGACGTACTGCCTGATTGGCTGACAGAGGGGGCGTATGTTACAGTAGGAAGCAATAAGGCGGGGACTGTGCGCTACGTGGGAATGACGCAGTTTGCTGATGGAGTGTGGGTGGGGCTGGAACTGGACACTCCTGTAGGTAGGTGTACAATTTAAAGGGTCAGTGCATCAAATGATACAAATATATGAGAAACCTTTTGGCAGTGTCCTTTATGCAGTACGGTACTCATCATGCCTTTGATTGGTGGACCTGACTCCACCATTGTGTTAAATGGCTTCTGATGGATGGTGATGACCTTCAGTGTTTTCTGTCTGCAGGTAAGAATGACGGCTCAGTCGGAGGTCAACGGTATTTCCACTGTAAACCAGGTTACGGGGTGCTGGTCCGCCCAGACCGGCTGTCCTGTCGTGATCAGACCAGTCGGCGGACAGGAAACTTTGCCCCTCCTGCCCACGTCCCCATCCTGAGAGGAGAAGCCATTGTTGCACGCCGGGGGGAGAACCGCAAGTCCTGGAGCAGCTGAGACAGGAAAACTAGGAGCTGGATAGGAGAGATGAACTCCCACAGTCCTCCTCCTCCTCCTCCTCCTCCCCCCTTCCTCTCCTCCCAGCTATGCAACAGGCTCACACATCAGAACTGACCTACTGCCTAACCTCCTGTAGTTGGAAACTACTCTCACTACATCCGTTCACAGGGAATGGATGGACACAGAATGAAGACAGTGAAGAGACCTGTCAGAACAAATGCAAGTGAGTTGATGAAAGACTATGCAGAGTATGTAGAAGTCCGTGGAAGGACTGTTCATCATGTGGGAAGATAATGCTAAGTAAATAGCGGTCTGTGGGAAGACTGCTGAGAGTGAACAGAAGCATATTTGGGAACATATTTGGACGCGGAGCTGTGGATTAGACACTACAGGCTGGATGATTTGCCTCAGAGGTGCTTTCTGAACTGATATACAGGGATGCAAACTAGTCACTGTCACAGCCTATTATTTGTTTGGGAAGGGAAAGGCACCTTTTTTAGAGTGAAAAAGTCTGTTTTGTCGTTGGACAATGGCTAATGGTTTTTCGTGCGTCCTCCTTTATTTTTTGTCCAACAATTTCTCTCCATTTCAATATTATTCCCTTTGATGATTCTTTCTTGAGACCCCTCATATATACATGGGAAAATCAAAATGAGGTCAAACAGATTTATGGCCACAATTTGACAAGCTCAAAACAAAACGGAAAAGACCGAATAGTTTTTAAATTTAATTTATTTTATCTGTGTTGTCTTGATGTTATCTGGATGTATGTCATGCTGTGACAGAATGCCTTTTCACATGTGATGTGTTTGCATCCCTGCATATTATGTCTTTACTTTGTGTCCCTGAGACTCCATATGTCCCAGAATTCACCCCTACGGCCGCCACTCTCCTGAACTCTCCAGGTCCAGTTTGCAGACTTACCCTTGACTCGCTGAGACTCGTCTCTCCCTCCTGGACTCTTTCTTTTGAAGATAGAGCCTCCCAGAATGTGCCTTCACCATGGCTTGGTTTGCATTGGTTTTTCGGTATATTTAATTTCTGTTAGCTGTGTTTGTGTTGAAAAGAATGCCTTGTGCTAAGTTTGAGGTGATCTCAGGGACTGCAGAGGGGAAAGGACAAGGTGGGGCGTGCGTGTCTGTGTGTGTTTGTAATTGTTGTACAGTGTTGCACAAGTAAGTTTGTATTGTTGTTGTATTGGTGTTAAAGATTAGCTGTGTAGAACTGAAAGAGTCTTGTCCTCATCGGACAAAGCCACTATGGGAGCAAACTGCTCGTACTGGGAGGCTTTAAAAGTCAATTTGCACTGGAGACGTTGGATTTAAAGCTTCTGTATGTGAACAGAATGTGTCTGTAGTTATGATGCAGCGAGACAGAGGGCTGTTCTACGAAGCAGCTGAGGTAATGTGAACATATTTGATGACTTCTGTTCTTGTAAGCAAAGTCCCTGGTCATCCTTTGTAAGTGAATGATGGCATTTGGACACCTGGAGGTGCTGTTTGAGCAGCGTGTTGGTGGCAATGGGCCTGAGTATGTGTTAAGGTAAAGAAAGTGACTTTTGTGTGGGATATTTCAAACTTGAGAAGAGAAATGATTTGCTTCTATGCATTTGATCTTTTTAAAGATAACTGAGTTTCTCTTTTGTTTCTAAAAACTGACACAACTGGGAGATGAGCTCCAAGTACACTTTGGGAAAGTAATAAACCCAGCAGCAGTTCTGCCTGATTGAATATCCCTGACACATCTGCTGAAGAAAATACAAGACCATGTGGCAAATGTTGGGATTGTTCTGAATTAGTTTTTTAATAAGCATTCCACAGGACTGTAACATTTTCACTGACCTTATCCCTGTGCATGAATTTATGGAAATTCAGTTCAGCACACAGCAGCACTGTTTACTTTCATGTAGATGTACACATGTGCTTGCAGTATTTTTCCATAAGCTAAAGGGACACTTCACCTCTGCCACAAATGAAGCTCAGTTAATTTCTCGTACTGTGAAAACTACTGTAGCTCAGGAAGGGCTTTTGTAAGTCTGAGAAACAACAATGTCACCATGGCTGTCTCATCGTGTACGAGGTTGCATTGTGGGAGATGTAGGTTTAATGGTTTTGGAGTGAGACTCATTGTACAATATGAAAGTTTCTCAGCTTCTGCTGTTTTGATTTGAACAGTTCTTGGAATTGTTACATTAAATCTCTGGACTTAGCTAATATTAAGATTAATGCATTAGACTGAGGTCAGTGGAAATGTGCAGTGTGAGTGTTAGAGTGATGCTGTCTCACCGAGTGAGCAACAAGCACGAGATGAGTTAAAGGTGGAAAATCAATATTTTGTCTTTGCTTGGGACACTTTACAAATTGATTACAGAAACTCTCAGTTTATATCCTGTTGATGACAAACCTGAATACAATAGTGGACATGTTACTGATGTCTGTTGATGGAGGTTTTGCCGTCTGTAGCTGTTTTTCTATGGTGACATTCAGTTTATCCATGTATCCTAAGGAGTCACTGATGTAACGATGCTTCTAAATACATCATGTGGAATACTGTGTATGTTAACACAGTCAATATGTCCAACACTATCGTCTTTATGAATACATTATGCTTTTCATTCATTTTATCATGCGTCTCCTTAATTTTAGAGGCGTGACTTTACTATTTATATTAAAATGCTTGTACACATGCCTTTATCGCATGAAAATTGATAAAGCCTTTTTATGTTAATAAGTATTGCACAAATGATTTCATGAAAATTGCTGCTATTAGCATTGTAAATTTAACTGTAAATGGATCAATTGATTGAATCTAACACTCTCTATCTCTTACTGTGCACTAGATTGGATTTTAATAGTTTGTTTTTGAGTCTCAAATGGACAAACTGAAGTCAGAACTTTTGGTTTAGTGGCAAATATCATTTTTACATAATGGTAAAATTCCTACAAATGAGGCACTTTGTCATGTAAGCCTTGAAGAAGAGATGGCTAGAATATTTTCTGGGTGAAAAATCACTTGTGTATTGATTTCTAAAGAGAAACAAGGAAACTTTAATATTGGAGTTGCAGTAAATTAAAATATGAGACAAGGCACAATATATCACCATAGTCTAGTTTATTATCTGTGTATTTATTATCTGGCCTTAAAGCCCAGGACCCTGGAGTCCTCTGACTGGTTGGTGGCTGTCTGGTATGTTATCGATGGGCAGGTTGTGAAGTGTTTTGCAGGTTGGTCTCTTGTTGGGTTAGTTAGTTTTTATATATATAAAAAATCTATATAATATCGTGGTTTATAACAGTTATGGTAATGAAGGAAGGGAGTGAAGTTTTGTTGTGTGTCTGTGTGTGTGTGTATATGTGTGTGTGTATATGTGTGTGTGTGGGTTGGACCTGGCTCTGATTCAGTTGTGTCTGTGAGTCCTTGCCAAGATGGGAAATGACCACCAGCTGCCACTTCACTTACAGTTCTTGGGGCTTTCACTGAGAGCAACAAACCTTCAACATCCCTGCTCTTTCAAAAATAAAAAAGTAAAGTCCCAGTGTTTGTGGCCAGTGGATTTTCCCGTCCTGGTCTCTGCTCAGACACTTTTTTTTCTTTAGGGGTTTGAGATCACTTCAGGCTTCTGGATGTTCCTTTATGTTATTGTGCCTCAGAAACCATGTGACCATGTATCCTCCACACACTGTTCTCATATCAATGCTTCTATTAATTTGCACAACAGTCTCCAGAGGGAATTGAAGAGTTCATTACTGGAACACATGTATATAGAATAAGAAAATATAACCTTTTTTATGTGTTCTCAAGTTACCTGTTCTTTCAGTTTGATATTGGAGGTTTTGGAGCAATATTCTTCAACTATACTCCTTGACTCACTGCTTAACCCTTTATTAAATCAAAATAAGAGAAACTGGTTAAATTTTAAGGAAGTGTTCTACATGACAGCAGAGCTAAGCTCAAATATAGTGGTAAGATATGACAATGTGTCTTTACTTCCAGCGCACACCCTCTCTGTAACTCTCCTCCACAACATCTACAGAGCAACAAGAGCCATTTCAACATGAAACTGCACAAAGAGAAGAATACTACTCACTGTTTGGATCAGGATGCATCTAAAGTCATAATTCATTTCAGTGGTCTCCACTTCTGCTACTGCAGAGGTCAGGGCAAAGTCAGCAGGGTCAGTTATCTGACAACAACCATCAGAACCACATTCACAACTCTGTTTTTTATTTCATGTGATTTGGATCGAAGCATGTTCAGCCTCGATTGATCTGTAGGAGTCTTCAGCCCTTACAGTGCTTCTGTTTTTTTTGTTGGTTTCTATTGTTTTCTTAAGTGCTTTTATTTTTCTTCTGATGCCACCTCATATCTTTGCGCTGCCTGTTGCATTTTTGTAGTTCTGTGTAACTACAGCGTCGCCGGTCCAGAGCAGCCCCTGCCTTAACCTGGCCTTCCCTGGAACCAGACTGGTTTTAGCAGGAACAATCTCAGCTCCCTAACAGAACATGCTGTACTCCACAGTAGCCCTTCAGTATACTGTGTTTTTAAAGAAGGCCATTCCAAAACTATAGAAACCATTCTGGTTTACTGTATATATTTAAAAACGACTGAAAGAGTCTCTACTGAAAGAATTGTTTTATGGCTCACAGGAGCTGTCAGGTTTTTTACTATCTGGATTTCCATATCATATTTTTATGTGCATTTTAAAGTAATGTCTTAGAAAAAGTTAACTGAAACAACAAAATACAAACTTGGCTCCCCAACATTGTTTGAACCAAATGGAGGTATTTTGAACTTTTTCAAAAAAGAGGTAACGTGCACAGTGGGACATGGAAATACCTTTTCTAGATATGTTTTGATGTCGAAAACATTTAAGTCATACAGCTGATCAGCTGTTTCCACCTTCCTAGTCTGCACTGCAGCCATACGTATCGAAGCCTGTAGCGCCACCTTGTGTCCACACTGCACAGCTTAGTTTATTTGTTCCAAAGAGGTTAAACAAGCCTAATTAACTTTTAATTTAGATTTATTGCAACATTTCTAAAGTTCTGTTTGAATTTGCTTGACAGTTGCACAGATAAGTGGCTGTTTCAGTTTAAGGAAGGCTAATGTGTTGCCCCCTAATGGCTGCTGGGAAACCTGTACCAGAAAAAGTCTGACTTCCACACAGTTCTTGATACATACAAGACAGCTGGAAAATCATTGAAACTATAACCCACCACCTTCCTGCAGCAGCGTGCAGAGCAGATACCTGGGATCGAATCAGATCTTCTGTTCGTGTCTTTGGATTTGTGTTGGACTAGAATGTATTTTCCTGCCCTGGTAGTGAATTTTCACGCTGTAACTACCTCTCTCCTGCTCTGGGTCACCTGTTCTTGGCTCTACCACCTTGTTTTTTTTTTGCCGACAGTTACACGTGCTTCACTACTGACCTGGCTGCAACCAATTCTTCTTTCTGTGTGTTTTCAAATACTAGAATAAACAACACAAACAAGCAATATGTAGCCAACAAATGACGCCGTGCAGCCTTGTTGCAGGTGCATATTATTATTTTTATTTAATTTTTGGCAGTGTGGTGTGCTTTCCAGGAACACTCAGATACAACTCCTCCTGGTGCATTTTAAAGCCTGTTGATATCAATATTCCTTCGAGGTACCAGCAGCCATATTTAGCTGAGCTGTGTAATGATGGAGGGCTAATAGGAGCTTAAGGAGAGGGTTTGGTGCTTGCTAAGTCAGGGAGATTACTCCTGCTGTTACTTCTGCAAAAATAAAAATACCCTCCAGTCCTGTAACTTTCAGCTGAAGAAATGATAAGTTCAACATGGCCTCGGCCTGGTCAACAGTATTACTATTGGTCATCCTAACTAATCATTTACAATCACTGTCATCTGTATGTGTGAGTGCACCATCAGAGTGCTGGTTCTATGTATGTATGTATGTGTATATATGCGCATATAAAGACTTATAAAGAGAAAAATCTGAGCACAAGTTTGGGTTTTGATTAATTTAATTGTTTTATGTAAATCTATGCTGCAATCCAAAGAATAAATGTGTATTATAATACATTTATAATTTTCATTTTTTATCATCTGAACAGTAATCTGGTAAGGAAAAATAAAAAAGAGGAATATTAAAGGAGTATTTGTTCTTTATTTGTGCCAAACAAATGTGAAATCTATATGTTAGAATGAACTAAATGAGTGCATTGTTGTATGAAGCACTACAGTAGGATTAGTTGCACGAACTTAAAGGATCATTCAAGTGGATTTGTCATTAATGTGGCTGTTGTGGCTCAATGGGTCATGGTAACTTTGCTCTCACCACCACCTCCTCCATCAACAAAATAACATCAGTGGAAAAGTCACTGCAGGCAAAATGATGAATGAAGATAAATGATTATAAACATCAGCTTTTTTTGACTGCATCTATCTTTTGTATACAGTGATTTTATACAGTCCATGGTGTTGTCTCATGGTTGTCTTAAGGAGACCTGGGTACCACACTTAAAGATGGTGCCCACTCCCTTGAATAAAAAGTGCCTACCTAATGCATAGGTTTAAAAAAAAAAAAAAAGGCAGTTTAGCTTCCAGCATTGTGTAGCCCACTGCACATGCTCATCAACTCCATACACTGTGCATAGTAATGACATCATCAACAAAGTTCAGCTCCTTTAAAATGGTGGTGTGTGACCTACTTTTTGGCCAAAGGGAATTTTTTTTCGAGGTTCAAAACTGCAAGTGACCACTAAGGAAAATTGGTGTGACAACACTGCAGTTTAACTACACTGCTGCTAGTCAGATTGAGCATTTTTCCAGTATGTTTCAAAATTGTAAATTTGATTGGTTGCTTCATGAATATTTAATGTTTGAGGAAAAACATTTAAGATCTGCAAACATTGTCAGACTTTGAAAAGCCTATATTATGCACATTTACAAGTTTATACTATAATTTTTGTGATCCATGTGTATATATATATATATATATATATATATACATGTTTACCTGCTTTACTCTTCAAAAAAAAAACAACATTTTTCTCATACTGTGCAACACTGCAGCACCTCTTCTCCCCATCAGTCTGCTTCCCTTTAGCTCATGTCTCTTTAAGGTCCCCAGTCTGCTCTGATTGGTCAGCTGGCCCAGTGAACCCCAGATCTGTGAGAATAGGGATGGAGCCCAGCAGACTAGTAATGGTGGACTATGAGGCAGACAGCTGCTCATTCTTTGTTTGAGGGCCAAACCAGCTGCTAGGCAGGGGTTGAATCAATGTGTTATATCAAGACAGTAACAGAAGAAAAGTCTGGACTTTAAATGAGGTCTTTCCTTGGAGCAGTGTTCTGTGAGAAACACTGACTTGCTTTAGTGTGGACTTTGTACCTCTGCTGACCTTTTTATATGCACAAAAAGCACCTGCATAACCCACTAAGGGGAAGGAAAAACTCCAAAAAGCAGAAAATGGGCCTCTTTAAAGTCACTAATACAGAACAGCTAAAGGACACGAACAGTGTTTGCTGCCTGAAGTCAAGCTGAACGCTTTCGCCAGCACTTTGTGGCCTTGCTTTGGCCAACGGAGCTAGCTCAGGTTTTGAAACGATCATTGCACGCTTCTTTAACTATTCTGAACATGCACAGGAATGACTAGATGTTGGCCGAAGTATAAAGAAAACACAGTGACACACTGCATGATCAGTTTTTATTCCCTTGTAAATAGAATATCAATAAAAACACACCTTAAAAATAACAAATAAGGTTTATCCAACAGATGAAAAAGTAACAAAAGGCATATGTAGATTTTCTACATAGCGATTACAGAACAGTCTACCGTCCAAAAAAGGCACTAAATCTTGAAATAGAAAAGAACAGGAGGATAAAAAAAAATCAAACTGATACAACATCCTGCTGAGGTTTGACACCTTTTATTTTACAGAGGTTTATTAAAGAGTTTATTGGCAACCACCGTTTTTAACTACTAAAATGTTTAGAGATGATGTCCATTATGAAAGTAGTGTGTCCAATCCCTGGCTGAACATCTACATTTTATTGACTACATGAATGATGCATTTTTCCCCCACATAAATAAAATACAGCATTTCTACTCTTCAAATGTCAGACTGCATCGAACAACACTGACTAATGTAGGAGGACAGTATCCAGTTCTGAGACATGAACTGTCTGAAACCACAGTGACACCAGATCCCTTGTGCTTTCTCTTTGTTCAGACAGCAGGTCTAATATCACATCAAACCTCTACTACATGCACCACGATTTTTGTCATACTAGCAGCCCAGTGCCGACGGAAGCATCTCACATCCAAACAGTACTGTTACATCACCACTATTGCCAGAAGAAGAGGTGGTGGGATTTGGCAGGGCAAAGACAAGCGTGATCAAGGTGCAGTCAGTGCCACAGGTGCACGTACAGGTAAGTATTCCAGAGAAGTAGGCCTGTCCTTTCAAAAACAAAGCAGTACAAGAAGGCAACAGAGGACTGAAGGCAGATGGTAAAACTGCATTCTAACCAATGAGAAGACACATGAAGAGGCTGATGCAGTCCTGACAGAACTGGATGAGCAAAAGCTTTCCTATTACTGTTTTCATTTCATGAGAACTTTGAGTTATTAGGCAACTAAAATACTTTGTGGCACAAAAAGACACTTTTAAAGTCAAAGTCAAGATGCAAACATGTTTGGTTTCCAATCATAAACGTGTGGTTTGCGCACCCTCTTTTTTTAGCTTCTAATTATATTTATGGTTTTAGTGCTGTTTCTTTTTTGTTTTCAAAATCCTGAAAATGACAAACTAACACCAAATAGCTGCTTCAGACCTCCAAAATACATTTTCATGAGAAGACCTTGAAGACAGCACTGGAAATGGCCTAACATCCTGAAACAATTTCAAAACAGCAAATTGTCTCAAAGGAAACCTAATACGCTCATTTCCTGCTACGTGTTTATATTCTGAGACTCTTGTGGAGTAGCTTTGTATGATTCACAGTTCAAAAAAAATCCTTATTTATCTTCTACTGGCCCTTTTTCCAGCCCCTCAGTTCATCCACCATATGAAACAAGCTGTTTTAGCTCCTGTCTCTTTAAGGCCCCCAGCCCTTAAAAAAAACACTTTGTTGTGATTGGCAGGCTTTGTGGAAGCCTTTGCTTGTGAGCACCACCCATAGACTATATGTAAAAGATGGATGCAGCCACCGTGACATCAGCTATTGGTTAGTGAGCGGCCACTTTGAAGCATGAAGTTTGGAATTTGACTATCGCCATCTTGCTCTTCTGAAATCGACACACTCTGCATGCCCATACACTAATAACATGTCAATCTCTAGGTAGCCTTGCCCCAAAACAAACCATCCTTTATCCTCTGTTTTACTCCAAATGGGACCATCATTTACAAAGCGAACATCATCTGTGTTGAAGATGGCTTGAAACTAGCGACTGACACCATAAACTCATGAGGAAAAAGCAGATTCAAGTCACTTTCACATTGGCTTCACTTTTCAGACCTGGAGGCTCGGTCCATCTTTTACACAGTTTATGGCACCACCTCATTCTCTCGCTGAAGTGTAGGTCACTAAAGCAAACGGTAAAGCCTAAGTCCAATCTGAGGTATGAGTAGACAGCACGAACATCCAGTAGAGCAGAACAACTGGTAAATATTATGCTTATTTCCTGCTAATTGTGTGAAATAACAATGGATTTAGTCTTTCAATGAGAAGCTGTTTATAAAGATTTTTCTATGTGCCCTGTTAATATCTGTATGTGTGGCTAACTGCAGTGGAAAACATCTGCTGCCAGAAAATACTCGCAAAATATTATTCTGCTGTCACCAAATGACTGTATAGTATCTCCCTGCACCATTGGTTGTTTGCATGCTGGAGCACACTACATGCCTATAATACTACTTCACCTTGTGTATATTTGAGAGAAGGTGTACATACATTTACCAAGAAGACTGTAGTTTAACTTCGTGGCTGTCCTGTAAGCTTGGCATATGTTACACGTTTGCCGCATTTTTTGAAACTTTGGACATATTTAACATGTATATCCGACAACGCAACATTATATATACGTGACAGAAAATATGGAAAAGTAAAATAGGTCCCTTTCAGAAAGGCTTCTGCTTAGCAGATTAAAAAGAAAAGAAAAAAAACAAACAAACATGTAACCCTTTGTGGGATAGTATATTTTGAAATTGTGGTGTAAATAACTCAAACAAATAATAGAAAGCTACATAACAGACTAGTGATTTCTCAAATGCTTAAAGCAAATACACCCAGGACAGCTCTGCTGCCAAACATTTAAAGAGACATTCCACCACAAAACTTCAATTTTCTCTGACATTTAGTCTGAAACACTGCAGACTTTTGTTTAATACTCCACCAGATTGAGTGACTGATGAGGAGCTTTTGGACCCTGGTGGAGCGTATAAATGAATAAATTCTTTCCTTCTTTTTTTTTGGAGTGGAAATTCCCTTTGCGTTCAAACTTAATATTTATTAGCTCTAGTTTGATGAGGAATTTCCCTTTAAAAAAGACACTGACACTTCTGTAGTCCCAGATCAGTCAGTGTGAGCCGTCTATACAGCCTCATCACAGTTTGCCATCAGTCTCCTCTGAATAAATCAGCTCTACGGTTAGTTTTTCTCTGGACAGTTCAAACTCTGATTCACATTGAAGCAGCTGTGGAAAAATCTGCGGGGTGTAGCTTATAGCTGAGGGCAAGGGAGTGAGGTAATTGTGTTGACGTTTTTCACTCTGAACTAGTAGCTTAGCCTGTAAAGCACCTGGTAAGGAACAATAACGAAACGGTTTGACTGAAGCCGCTTTAGTGTGGGCTGTAACAGAAATTCATAGTGATAGCTTTCTAGCATTAGTAGTGGTACGGTGGCACATGTACAGCCATTGTAGAAGTCATCTGTCATGCACTAAACCTGTGTTGAAATACTGCAAAAAAATAAGGCACTTGAACATAAAACCTTACAGTACACGGACATACTAAAGCTGAACAGAATTCAACGCACTGTTTACTTTTTAACTAGTGAGATTCACCCGTTTCTCTGTAACATGTCAGCAGCTGACCACACTGATGCAAACACAAGAGGTTCACTTTCAGCATCAGGTCGTGGTTCGCGTTTCACCCGTGATCACCCACTACACTTTTGAACACCAACTTTTTGTCTTGTTAAAAATGCAACTTTCGATCAGAACTTCTTCAGAGCTTAAAGCTGCACACATTTCTTTTTACATTTTAAAAAAACAAATGTCTATGTGCACTATGAAAGAGGTGCTTGTTGTGGCGGACCCACACACAATAATCATGTGACTCTCATCAGTCCCCTCTTTTAGCTCACTGTTTTGATTTCCTGACCCACAAACATTACTATTCATCGTGTTTCCAGCCATAGCAGACTGCTGCTTTCAGTCAAACAGCTGCACTAACTCCACTGTCTCCATGCTCAGCACCAGACAGCCGGCGAACAGACTGACCAAGCAGCTAGTTCTGTGTTCGTACAGGCACACTCCCAGGCCAACACCTGTAGAGCACAAAACCATGTGTTGTCGTCTACCAGTTGGAGGATGCTAGCAGGGCTAGCCTTTTAAAGCTTAACCAGGTATCATCTCACACTGAGCCCTGCTCACTTTTGTCAAGGGACAAGTCCAACACACTTTATTCAAACAAATGGTTGTTTGCTAATTGTTGTGGACAACAGGACAGGCCTGTTCTGAAGCTGAAAGTGCACCGTTGGCGTTAATGGTTAACGTGGGGTCATTCTAAATATACTGCTTTTGTTTGACTTACATTATTTTTGAGTGTAAACTCCTTGGGGTCTTTTTGACATTACTATTAAGACATTTAAAAATAAATCAAATTAAAACTTGAATTAATTTTGTTAATGTATGCTTTGTTGTTTGTCTTCTCTGAAGTACAGAAAATGAGAAAATACACAAGAACCATAAATTCTCTGTAGTTTTTCCCCAAGGGGAAATCAAACCAGAGCTACAAGAGGACAGATAAGTGGACTTGCTGTCATCACATGTCGAGGAACAAGACTGATTGTTAATGTTGTGTTTACATCTGTTGGATGTGTAACTAGACAACAGTTTGGTAAAATATGCACAACAACTTGATAAAGTGGTCATCAGCTTGTTCCACTGATGGCCAAACAAGAAATTATTACCACTTTAAGATGCACATCCAACTGTTGACTAAACCGCAAAACATTTCAGAAGAGATGAACAGAATACAGGACCGGAAACTAGAACAAGCTAACCACGTTTAGTGATAAACTACAGAAGAAGCACTTGGTGGTTTATAATATTTAAAATTAAACAGTGTTTAATATAGCTAGGTATCCCCTGGACAACAGTTTAAGAAAGTGAGCCCTGACTTTAAACAATTCCATGTGGAGAAAACAGACTTCTACAATGGCTGTAACTGACATACACATCCACGATTAGACTCTGATAGAACATTTAGTTTTCAACTAAAGAAGCTTCTTGCAGTAGTTGTTTAAAGAGAATTCATTCAACGCGAACTACTTTTTGGAGGAAAACATTGTTTTCTCTCTTCTTACGGCCGCTGTGATCAGTCACTCATAGTGATCAATTAAACGTTTTAACCACAGGAACTTTAAGCACCATGGTATTGATCCAATAAAGTGTCATTTAAAATACAACTTAAACATGACGGTATGTGTTTAGAACACATGGCATATAGAGCACAAACACAGATTTACCCTAAAAGGAAAATTATGCATTTTGCTTTCAATAACTTGACACATCTGATGTGTCTTTGATTAGCATATCTCTAATACATAGTTCCATCCACGACTATCATACACTCAAAAAATACACAAATTTCAAAACTTAATACTTTGGCTAATGTTTCACTCACCTTTCACCAACAAGAAAGACTCATACTGATAGTTTCTCTCTTTTGAAGCTAATATGTCTATATACTGTATATAGAAATGTATTAGGGTACATATACTGTGTATAAGCGTGTGTGTGTGTGTGTGTGTGTGTGTGTGTGTGTGTGTATGCACACATACACATTTAGTATATGCATGTATTCATCTCACACTTTAATGTGTAGTATCTAAACAGCTTTGATAAACTGTTTAATCCCTCCCAACTGACTGATCTGTACTGATATGTTCTCACAGTGATCAATCATTCCACCAGGTCACTGAGCAGGTAACTGGGCACAAAGGAACAAACTAAACCAATCACCTGGATATCCTGGTGTCTAGCTTTTATACACCTCTGTCAACAGTTTCAGCGACCTTCGACATTTATGTCATAAAGATTTTTTTTAAATTGCTTATTTTTGATATGGAAGCAAAGACAGGCTGTAAGGATTTGAATCCTATTACAAACTGTAGATCTAGTTGTGAACTTTTATCTCGATTGAACACCACTTGGTGATGTTTGAATAGTACAGAATTCATTTTATTGAAATACTGTATTTAGAAAATCGATAAGGCTTAAACTCCAATTTCAAATTTCCTTTGGGTAATTTCAAGTAGTGCATTTAAAACTATTCATAGATTTAAAAAAAAATAAATTATGTTAAAGTCAAAGTGACTGAAATCCTAAAATCTAAATTTGCGACTCTGAAAAACAAAACAAAGTTTTAAAATTACATCATATTATATTCAGCAATATTTAAACACTACCATTTACCAATGAGTAATGATCAGGTTATATAATTGGTTATTAAACTATTAAAACATTTCTAATCATGTGTATTGGCCTTTCAGAGCTTCCATATATTTAGCTTATGTTATCAGGAAGGGGAGGGTCACTCTGATTTTTTTCTCTTTTGCACATTTTTAAAAACCATCTTGGGCTCACAGAAACATGCTGTGACCTCAAGCTTATTCTACTGTCTAGACAGAATCAGCAGTGATAATTTGAAACATAAAGACCTGTGATGAAATATCCTTTTAAAACAAGCCATTAAAATGAATTTAACTTTCAAATTCATGTAGTTATTATCTTTTGAGGCTGTTCAGTTGTGTTGTGATCACAGTGCAAGACCCTGATACTATTTGAACCCCATGTCAAATACAGTGTTGTCCTGCTGTGAAAAATGCAGTTTCCAAAGAAATCTGCACAATGCATCGTGTTCTGTTCATTAGCCTTTTATGGAAGACCTAAAATGCCTAATATGAAATAAATCAACAAAGACAAGCCACACAGACTGTCACAGCTTGTGTTTCCTTACATGTGCATCATAGTTGAACGTTATAAATGATTTCACTTTCTTCGTTGAATTTGTTCTTATGTACACTTTAAGTCTTCCATAGATGGGGAACACTTGAACAAATAAAAGTTTCCCGTTATTATTAATATTATTATTATACACTAATAATGCCTATAAGAGCGTAGCAGAGCAGGTTGGTGGTTGGAGGTAGGGTTGGGAGGTATCTCAGGGTTGGAGTTTACACGACTTTTGGTCATTTTTTTTTCACTTATTACATTCCTATAAAATCTGGTTGCATATAATGACACCTGTTCATCGCTCCGACAGCTCTGATATCTGCCGCCTCTTTCAGTCGTCCTCCAGCGTTTCCGTCTTGATGTCATTCCCCATGCTGCACCCAGCGCCATCCTCCTGACTGGCCAGGGCTGGGCTGCTGTGACTCCCTGCCGCTTTCTCCAAACCGTCCTGAGGCTCGGACAGTGCGCTGTGAATGGTGGGCTCATCCTGGAGGGAGGGGGAAGGGGGGGACCAGGACACACCTGTTAGTCTAGCACCTTCCGCCTGAGGACCCACCCCCGACATTAGGGAGCGACCAATCAGAGAAGTGCCCCTCTGTGCAGCCACTCCCCCTCTACCCAGGGCAGAAAACCAGCTTGGAAGCAGTGTGGGAACCTGAGCAAAGAGAGGAAAAGGGAGGACGGGTTAGTGGATATATAACTCATCTAGATTCTTGATTAATGCTCGTGTGATGTGGAGACAGTCGCCTTGTACCTGGGTGGGAGAGGACAGGTCTGCTCGACTGAAACCAAACTGCCTGGCTGAAGCTCTCTTGTCAAATAAGGACACCTCACAGCCCTGTGGCAGAGCAAGGTATACAACAACAAAGTTATTCTACTGTCACATTATTGTCATGATGCTGTGAACCTGACCTGTGACTTCCTTCCAACTACTTCTGTGTCTATACGTAACATGTAAAAGTTGTTATAATATCTTGCTAATTAAGTCTCTCTAAACTCATGGATTAAATCATTTAAATATGTGAAACAGAAAACTGAACTAATTTTGTTAAGTTTTATACACTATACTATCCAAAGGTTCACTGAACCCATCTGCTTGCTCAGTTTATACAAACTGAACTGAGCTCAGTGTGAAAAGATGTGCAGATGTGGATTAGCTCAAGTTTATTTGACGTCTACATCAGCATCACCTGGTCAGGGAAGTCATTGCCATCCACTTCATCACTGTTGGACTGACCACCTGGACTTTGAACCTCGATGCCGTGGCTCTCCAAGATGGCTGCTTCTTCAAAAACACAAACTTCATCATAGCATATCAGCTCTAGAGAGCAACACATTCAGATGCAAGCAACAGGTGATGCAAGCAGTCACAAGCTGCTCTTGTAGAAAAACAACTTCCTGCCACTGTTACTGGTGAAAATGAAACAACTGCAAAAGGAAGGAGTGTGTGTTCCTCACTGTTGCTCCAGAGGGGTGTAATGTGGAGCAGGTTCATCAGCCTGGCTGTGTTTCTGTTTGCTGACTTGACAAAACCTAAAAGTTAATTTATTTATTTGACCACTCACTGACTCTCTTTTTTCTAACATGACAGCTGCACATTAGAGCATTCAAAGTGTGGACTTCCTTTATTCAAACATGATACTCAACAAGTGCATTTAGGTTTGACACTGTCTCTTAAATAATGGATATGTTGAAATCATTTTGGCCAAATCAGAGGGAAATGAATGTTATTGACTGGATACTCTGTGTTATGAATACCAGCAAACTGATCAATTTTCTAATCTGTGTTTTATTAGCTGCAACACCAGTCGCGTGAACAGACTGGGAGGCTAACCAGGACAAAGCATAAAAACACATTAATGCATTTCCTGCATCAACAAACGAAGGCATGTAGGTTATCATGGCAAAGCAGCACACACAGTTTGTGCTACTGTAACTGCACAGCTGCATTCAGTGGCAACATTAACTTACAGCTCAACAGGTTTGCAGGTACAAAATGTCCCCTCAGCTGAGAATCTGTTCACTTCTAGAGAATCACTAAGAAAAGGACTGATGGTGCTTAGGCTCAACATACCTGCTAACTAATTCATCTGGTATTGTAGTAAACCCCTCAGGCGTGTGTGAAATTCTACAGAGATGATGATGACAAGCAGCATGGTATGTTCAGATTAGGTGTTAGAGAAAAGAACACTGAGCTGGCAAACCAAGATGTGAACTGAACAGTAAAAGCTCTGCCACTGACAGACTGTGAAACCAGTGGATATAAGGCTGTTACCTTCTCACACCAACATCTCCTGTATGTATGACTATAGTAGCATCCAATGCTGTACAGACAGACAGACAGACAGACACAGACACACACACACACACACACAGAGGTAGACATTACCAATGTTAGCACGCCTCTTGATGTCTTTGCGGCGGTTGGCAAACCAGTTGTAGACTTTCAGCGATGTTACCCTCTCTAAATCAGACAGCTTTTTTCCTGTAACAAACACACACAGATCAGACATCTGAGGGGTATACTATGAAGCAAGTTTGACAGAGCCAGGCTTTCTTTGTGTAAGCCGAATTGACAAAACCGAAAGAGATTACGGGTATCACAAACTTAGTTATAAACTTTCTTTGTCAACTCAGGCTTTCTGTTACAGACTCTGTGCGCGTTCACATAAAAAGGGGCGTTTAACGCATCACGTGACTCTTCTTTTGCACAAAATGAAACGATCGTGTGCAGCTGCTTCAGTCAGCAGGTTGTTTTAATGGAGAACAATGAGGAATATATTAAAAAATAAAATCGACAGTAAAAAGCGTCGCTTCGGCAAGTGGTGCAAGACAGGAATGCTGTCAGAAAACTGTTAAATGTATTAATATATAATATTTTACCGCAGCCACTTATTTCCAACTGACAGCTGCATTAAAGTTAAACTTTAAACTTCATACATTTAAACATGATATTGTATTGAAGTGCATTTAGGTCTGACACTGTCCCATAATGCAGGATATCACTTTAATTTATGCCCAATCAGAGTGAAATTAATGTTATTGATTGAATATTCTCTGTAATAAATACCAGTAGAATAATCCATTTTCTCATCTGTGTTCTATCAGCTGCAGTACCAGCAGTGTAAACAAACTTGACAGCAAATCAGAGCCAAACATTAAAACATATTTATGGGATTTCTGCACCAACAACTTAAGATGTCGGGTTCCCATGGCAACGTGATCTTTACAGTTGGGCTGGACTCAAACATCCAAATATCCGAATATTCGGTCGTTGTGATGGTATATGATATAATTTCGCCCACGACCTGCCACCAGCCTGCACACCTGCCGCCGATGGTGGCAACAGAACTGTGACCGCCAAGCTAAACTGGCATTAGCAGCCAAATACATGGGTGGAGCGCTCCGTCTCCAGTGTGTGAGATTGTAACTACATGGCTTCATTCAGTGATACTAGTAACGTACATCTCAGCATGTTTGTAGATAAAACACATTCCCTCAGTTGAGAATCTGCATCGCTCATAAATAATAGTCAGGAAATTATTTGGTTAAAGGGAGACGCTTCTTGCAGCTGATTTAAATCAGAAACTCGGAACATAACCTGCTCCCAAGCAGGTTAGCGCCACAGCATAAGGTACCATGGAGATCTAGCCAGGTAATAAGAGAGTCACCTTCGTGATACTGAAAACTCTGACTTTAAGCTCAACATACCTCGCTAACCAACTAATCTGGCTTTGTAGTAGAGCCCTCTGGACTGCTGCTCCTCTGCCCTTGGCTCCTTCACTCTTTCTCTGTAGTTGTTTTTGAAAGCTCATTCAAGCAGTGTATATCTTTGAGGCAATGCTAAGTTCTTTGTTCTTTGATAAATTACACTTATTTTAGTTTACAACAGTTAAAAGTTTCATTGCTGCTGCTGAATTATCCAACATATTCAAGTAGTGCGTTGGTCACGATGTGACTCTTCTAGTTACCATATTTCATTATATAACAACACCAATATACAGTTAGCCACAAGTATAGTTCACCTCAAATAAAACCACTTCAGTATAGCAAGTTGCAGCATTGATAAGCAGACATAAAAACATGATACTAAGTATCAAGCACTATGAGATGACTTCTTGTTGTAAATATGCGCTATACAAATAAAATTGAACTGAATTAAGCACAGAGCAGAGGGTGCACCGTTGTTTCTCCTATATAATGCCTTTTATCATTATGAGGCACAGTGAGGCACACCTTACACTGGAATATTTTGCTGTCTCGAAGGCTAAAGAAGGTGCACCAGGTTAGAAGTGCAACAAGAACATGCATGTTTCCTCTCATGGCTTGCTGTGTGCCATGAAATCGTCCCATCGTATAAGACGATGGTGAGTTCTGCTGATCCTAAAGATCCTGAAGCGTCTGAGGTAAACAGTCACCACAAACAACGTGAACTGTATTTGGGCATGCTACAACACCTGCTCACAATTCACTGGTTTTTGGCCAAAGTAACACAATCACCCTCCCGACCCACTCACCAGATCTTTCTCCCTGTGGCTTATTCCCATTCCCCTGAATAAAATTCAAGTTGCTGTTTCCAGCACACATCACATATGGAGCTTGATGCATTTCCTGCATGGCAGTAGTGCTGGGAGCAGTGTCTCACTGCACAAGGACACTACTTGGAAGGGGATAACCACCAGATTTCAATTAGTTACGGCTTTTGCTTTTATAGGCCCAGTCAGAGAGTATTTTGATCGCACCTTGTAATTGTAAGATCATCATTTATTTCCACTCAGTAATTGACTAGGATACAGTCCAGAGCAGTCATAACCATACCTGGTTTCTGAATGACGGCATTGCAGGCAGTGGCTATCTCCTCTCTCTTGGCCTCATCAGGGTACTGGTTGTCACTGAAATAGCTGCAGATACACATTATACTTTATTTTCAGTTTCTTCCCATTACCTGTTGTCTCAACCCTCAAATAGCTAAACACTCATACTCACCTCTCCATGACAGCCAGACACTCCTTCCTCCAAGTGAATCTGCTCCCGCGTCGCAGACGGAAGCCGCCAGGGGCTGAACCAAAGGGGGGCGGGGCTTGGTGCCAGTCCATCATGTCCTCCAGTGCCAATGGGGCCGCTCGCATGGCTAGAGTGGCACCTAGAGTCCCAGACGTCACACAGCGTTACTCGTTGTTTCTCAAAAAATATGTTGGACTATTAACGTCATCAGGTTGTGAGTGCAGAGAGTAAATCATTCCTATCAGGGCTGGCTTTTATTTTTATTTCATGGCATTCAGCTAAATAATCAAATCAAGGTCGAGATATTCTGATAAAAACATGATACTTTTTCCCTCGAGGAATTACAAAGACATTACATTATATTTTTTCACAGTGCATTCACTATGTTTACCTCAACTTCACACATTGTCACCTTTGTTCAATCAGTACCATATAGTCTTTTTTTCTGTAATTGAAGCCATTTCATGGCAAATACATGTCATGGCTATTTTTTGTTTCAAAAGGCTCTTTGATGACAACTTACTGTTACATCTCCACATACTCACAGAATTATAGCAAAAAAAAAAAAATATTCACCTCCTTTTAGTTCATACTGAAATCAGTCGACAGTGTAAGTCTTTGAGTCGGAGCATCTAAATGGCTACTGAAAAACTTTTCTCCCCATTTATTTTAGGGTATTTCTTCCACAGGTAGAAAAGTGAGTTGTTACATAAGAGGTGTGGGCCTGATGGAGGAAGGTGGGGTTACCAGGGTTTGTCTTCTCCAGCTGGTACCAGCGGAAGAAGGCTCGTTTCTTCTGCTCACTGAGGTCCGATCCTTGCTGTAGGAGCCAGTGGGAGATCCGACTCTGACTGATCCCTGGAGGAAAAAGAACCAGAGTCAGACCTGTGTCTCTCAGTGGGTTCGAGTCTTGATGAGAATGGCAACACTTTCTGTGTCTGTGTCGGCCCAGCTGAAGAAGAGATGAAGTTATTGCTCACCTGTTACCTGAGCAACCACAGCCTGGGAGATTCGCCTGTTAGCCAGGAAGGACTTAATCTCTTCTTTGATCACAGCACTGTCCCTCCTACAAGCAGAGTACAATGCATATCTCTACCACTTGAAGTCAAACAATAAATAACACATATAACAACACAGGGGTTACACTAATAACAGATGTAACTCTGTCTGCAGTTCACATATATATTTATGGCTGTTGCAGCTGAATGTGTGAAAGAACCAGAAGCCTGATCCTGCTGTAATATTCTCTGCTCTCCTTCTGGTTTGATTTCATCTTCACACATCTTGGAATCAATACTGCTCTGATTGCTGCTGTCTGGCTGCAGCCCTCAGATGAGAGGCACTAGAGTGCATATGTGCATTTGTGTGTGTTTCGTAGGTCTGACTGTATGTTGCACAGTAATCCTCGCATCAGATTGCAATTCAGAGCGAGCTACAAGCAAGCTCTGGGCCTTCGCTGCAGCAATCTACTGTATATATCGTCACTGGGTTCCAAAACCACAAGTATGCAGCCAGTTTTGACGCTCTTAACTACTGTCAAGATGGCAGAGCTGCCTTTCAAACAGATTGCTGAAGTTTCGTAAATGCATGTTGTATCAAATTTTAAATGAATGCTAGTCTGTTTGTTGCTCTTTGCTATTTGTTTACAACTGACTTGTTATGCACATCCATGCTTAACTGTTAACTTGCTGCCATGATGCAACACTGTTGTCACACAACACTGCACCAAATCAACCATTAAGATAACCTCCCAGAATACCTAATCTGCTCTGGGCTGGTTCTGCCTGGTTCTGCCTGGTCTTGTAAGCTCTGCTGTAGTGTACTCCAAGTCACATCAAGTCTAAGGGGATCTTACCTCATCAAGTCCTCCACCTTATCATCGACATCTATGTCCTCTTCACTGGCTTCAAACCCGTAACCCTGTGTGGTCACACTGCCACTAACGACAGCGAGGGGAAAGCGGGGCGGTGAAAGTTTCCCATTGGTGACGGCAACTAGACCATTCTGTGCTACCGTTGCTATGGCAACAGGTGAGGCTACTGGAACCGGCAGAGGTGGGGAGGTGGTGTCGAAGTTGTTGTTGGGCGACAATGTGAGACGGCTGTCTGGAAAACTTGTCTGAGTGGCGGTGGAAGTCATAGAGGAAGAGGCAGCAACGGTATTGGAAGATGAGGGAGGCATGTAGGAAGGTTTATGGGCCAACTTGTGTCCATGTTGCCGGTCCAGGTGGTCCAGGGTGTCCAGTGCATGGAGGACCTCTGCCTGGGTGATACCCGTCCTCCGTAGCCTCTGGAGGAGGTCAATCTGCTCAATGGTGAAGCGAGGCTCCTCACACTGCTGGAACATCCTGGAGGAGTAACGGGGATTTTAAACCATTACTTATTTGACAGCTGCAGGTCGTAATTACTTTGCAGAACAGGATTTGTCAGGTATGTACATAAGCTTATAGACTACATAAAAGATAGCGGTCAGGCTTGAAAAATGAACCTAATGCAGAAGTACCTCAAACCTGCACTTCTTTTCAACAGTCAGCAGAGGGCTGCTCCACTTGTTGCAAAAAGCAGTGCAACTGATGATGAGAAAATGACCCTACTTTTCACTTAGTTTATTACCGCAGTAAACAGTTTCCTTATGACTTCATGGTTTCAGTAGCTAGCTTCCAGTTTACCTCAACACAGCATGATGTTCATTTTGTATATTATGGCCACAATCAGAGCAAAAAAAAGCAATAAAACAAGGTATGTTGCAGTTTTCTTGTGACTGACAAATCGCTACCTCGATAGTGCCAAATTCATTCTGAAGCCAAACTGGAGTGACATCACGCTGGCTGCATCTATCTCTTATTTCAGTCTATGGATCAATTACCAGTGTCCCTGGTTACCATTAAAGCTGTAAGGACTGCCACATACTGCATACTAGACATCAGTAATGTGCTGCAAACAAAACCATTCTTTACAACCAGCATTTTTTTTTGTATATTTTCCTAAAAACAAATAAGAAATAAACTAAGCACAAAAACAACTAAAAATAATTATTTGCATCAGTAAAACTTGAAGATATGCTCTGGAGTTTATGACCACGAGTAGTGCTATGGAACAATGTATGACAAAAAGAAAGTTGCAATGTGCGTGTCTACAGTATCTTCCACAGTCTGCCGTGGCTTTCGTGCTATTGTGTTGACTGACAGCCGCTGATGAACCTCCAAGAAGCTAAGCACCAATGAGGTAGAGAAACACAGCTGGCAAGCAAATGTGAATGTAAACAATGCACAATTTAAATATTATTCACATACTTTTGACCTTAAAAAATACACGCACGCAACTTAACAGTTGCTTGTTTAGAGCAAATCTCCACAGTACCTTAAAACCTGAAATAAGATTTCCATCCTTGACGGCTTTGCAACACCAGTGGTTCTTAGAGGTAAAGTGAATGTTAATCTGACGTGCCCCGAGGTTTGTTTGAAGTAAAACATAGTTATCAGTGGTGGCAAAAAAATAGCTGAAAGCATTCATTATGTAATGTAATTTTCATAAAGAAGACTAACGCAGACAGCCATCAGTGTCATCTGGCACAGTAGCACTATAACTGAGAATTGTCCTCTACAAACCTGCAGTGTCGGAATCACTGGCTGCTATTTTCCACATCACATCCAGGACCCGCATGTATTAAACAAGAAAACTATTATACACTGTAATGAAAGAATGCAAATACATTAAATGACTATTGGAAAAAAAATACCAGTGTCAGTCTTATTGTGGGTAATGAAAACTAGCATTTTCTAATTCTAATTAACTGATACAGTTTTAGCTCATTCGTGACCTTCCTCTGCTCACTGAGCTTCACATCTCCGAAAAAACACCAATGAAACAATCACAGAACAAAAATGGCAGCACAGTCACATCTGTGAGCTTCCTGCCTGCAGATTTACAACATACACACACACACACACACACTGTAAGACATCGCCTCTCAGCAGCTGCTATCCAGATATGAAGTGCATTCCTCCAGATTAAATAAGGCTTCTATTATAGAGGATATGTTTTTCCAACCGCAGAAATGTAACATTATGCAAAAATGTTATGGACCCAGTTCATTATGTACTATTGCCTAGAAGATTTCAGATCAGACACATCCTCACCTCAGTGCAGCTTTAGCATATAACAGGTTAATTCTTTTCTATAATTGTAGTTTGATATGCCATGTATTTTTAAACGTGCAGTGCATTTGTGTCGTTTCTAAAAAAACGGCTATACTAACAGTCACTAAGCTGAGCACAGAGAGAAAAAGGGAGCACACGAAAGGAACATAAAGAGAGAAGAGAGAGATAACACATCTGTCTTGATGCTGTTCTTTTTGACGCAGAGAACAGAAACAGGCCACAGCAGAAAATCAAAGTCAGCAGACATATCAACGCTTATAGATATAAGACAGGGAGGTTGAGGGCAAGTGTGTATGTGTGTGTGCACGTCTCGGGAAGAATGCCAAGAAAAATTTACATCTCAGGCAGCCAAGCTTCATACTTTCTCTCACTGCTGCAGAGGATGACTCATGCTGTATGAAGTTAGGCTGATACACAGGATCGATACTAGACTGCTTAAATTATGGCGAAATGATTATCTCAATTATTTACTACACCTAATTTCATTTTATAACTGATCTACATCATCTGTCCTAAGTTTGAAATATTTTGTTGTGCATTGACAATCAATCCACAATTCTACATTCACATTTTACATTCCAATGTTTCTTCATAAAACTGATTTGAAATTAACACGCAAGCAAAAATACTGGCTTTCAACACAGCTGTAACACAAAGGTAAACATTATATAGCATCTGTACTTGTTCCTTGTAGTGTGTTCTTAAACTAAGTCTCATTTGAACAAAGTGGTACATGCAAGTAAACTGAAAGTATAAGAAGCCCTTAAATATTACTTTACTTTACTGTACTAACTATAAAAACTAATAAGACTTAGGCCCATGCTTGGTGCCCCTCTGAGTCTGAGTTTGTAGTAAGTGGTTAAGTGGCTACAAACCACTTCAAAACTGAAGTTCAGCTGAGTTTACTTTTATTCTTTCTATGCAATGTAAACTATGAGGACTAAACTAGCTGTGTTAATTTTGCAAATGCAGTGTTGTGTAAATGATATATTACTCGAAATATATATAATCATTTAAGTTTAAAGAATGAGAATACTTAATCTTGAAGGTTTATTCATTATATGTTACTCATTATAATGTTGATTTATAAAGATTTGTGTGCTTGTAAGGTATGTTGTTCTGCAGGACAGGGTTCTCATTGTTGGGAGGAAACAGATGAGTGTGTGACTGCAAGATAATCCGATAACCGATAACCAGGACGAGCTGTGGATGTGGACAGGATATAAAGATATGGGGCGTACATTCCAGGGAACGAACCAACGGACAGGAAGATGTAAAACAAGTTTGTGTGACATTTTGTGCAACCTGTCATGTGACTGAACAGTATAAGAAAGGGTCAGAGGAAAAGGTCTTAGTCTCACTCTGTCTGATGCTAGGGAGAGTTTGACCCGGAGCTCTGTAATGCAATATTCAGTGTGTGATCAAATTGATTAATTGAGACTGTGCTGAATTTGTTTCGTCTTTACAAACGAACACGCGGAGAAAAGAGAATCTTCTCCAACAACAGTAAAATGCAGTCTAAACAATGTGTGCCTATTTGAAGTCCAGAAAGGAGCAAGATGTGCTGATAGAATGACTTTTAGATAAACACATATATCTAATCAAATCTGAAAATTTCCCACAGATTCTCATATTGTGTAAAATTAAAACAGTGTGGGATTTTGAGACACAATAGTTATTTCAATTGTAAGCAAAAAGATCCAGTTTACACATTTTTTTAAAGCATGTGGGAGAGTAAAACTTTTCAGGGAGTACAATCAATGTTACAAAACAGTCGTTTGTGGCTGCCACAGGAAAGCGTTCAAATTATGAACAGTAAGTTGGTCTCTACCAGCCACTTCTGTCAGGACACCAACCTTCCTTAAAGGTGGTCCTACCAGAGACAACACAGTGGATTTTAAACGCACAATGACAACAAGTGATCAGGAGACACACTAAACGTTTTACTTCCTCTCCTTAGAAAAGAATCAATTTATCATAGCCTCATAGATAAAATGTGCCAACTTTGAAGGAGTGTATCTGAAACTGCGCTGTCCAGATTAGTTTAGAATTATGCTTTTAGGGGACATAAAAACTCACCTAAATTTAACTATCCAGTACCTTCACCCACCTGGTGAAACTATAAACACAGACATGCTACAGACAAGGTTTCTTCCATACATTATCACAGTTGTCCAGATTTTGTCTGGTAGTTTTTGATGTGACAAAAACAGATATGACCTCATGCAATGATGCCATAGAAATAATGTTGTGTGGTTATTTTTGCAACCAAACCAGCAAGTGTCTGATGATGTGATGCTGGACAGAATATGTGAGCGACTAATAATCAAACAGCGCTGACCTGCACTGCTGAGCTCCTGGACAGAACTGCTTAAGCTACAGGAAGGGCATAAACGCACAGAAACACTAAAGGTATAAACAGGGGCTTCAGGAACACTCTCCAAAGCAATGTGGCTCTCCAAATGACAGCCCTCAAGTGTTGTTCAGCAACACAGTGAAGCTACAGCAGAGCTGCTGGTCCTGACCTCGACCTGGATCACTCTGGTCAGCTGAGGCTCCTCACCATCTGATCCCTCCTCACACCAAGCTTGACTGGGCTGTCACTTCATCTAGATTTGTGTTTTTCCAACGATAATTTCAAGTTTTCTGTACTTGAAGGCTTGCTTCCAAGAAAAGATAAACAAGTTAATGATAAACTGCATTATAACCCGTGAACCCGGTGACCTGAGCTCCTACCCAGACGTGGCACCGACGGTACCGGGGCTGCAGACATGTGCCAGAGGAGCACAGAAAACACACAGAGTCCTTTAATTACAGTCTGCAACTTGTTCACTCGACTCCAAACCCAAAGAGAGCAGACGGTCGCGTTTTATACGAGCAGCTTTAATTTACCTGCTTCTCGAAACTAGGTCTGCCCTATAGAGGGGGTCTCAGACGCTGTGAAGATAGTAGAAACCAGCACCTCGTTCCGGCGTATCCCTGACTAACTGCCCGCCTGTGAGCCAGCAGAGCGGTCCGATAGCCGCCGCTCGGCCGGTCCTCCATGAGCACCGCGTCCAGCCGCTAGCAGCTCATAGAGCAGCCGCAGGAAAAGTTGACGTTCTGTTGATTAAGTGTTTGTTGGTCAGCTACACACATGCTACTCTCTGCTGTTCAGACAACACCGCTAATACCAGTTAGGCTCGGGTAAAACTTGACCGCCGACGAAAACGCAGCGAAGCGACGATCTTAGCGGAGTTTGCAGTTATGAGCAGAGAAAAAGGAAACGCAGCGGCTAGCAGGACCGACTGAGGACAGCCGGAGTTGGAGCTGCAGGACTTCTCCTACCTGATTATTCCAGTAGAAGAGCCTCCACAGACGCTGCTTTGACCATATATCTGTTGCCTCGGGCCGCAGGGACACACGGACGCTGACAGTTTTCCCAAAATGTCTCCTCCGATTCTAATTGGGCTTCAATTCGCCGTCAGACAGATTCGCCTTTTGTCCGGCAGACAGGCGCCATGTTGACACAATGACGCAAGGAACGACGGGAGTCGCAGTTTAGAGAGTTTACTGTAAACAGAGGCGTCGCTTGGAGGCACCTGGACGGGCCGGACCCACCGGCAGCACCAGGACCCGGCCTCAGGGGCGCTATCAGCCATGGGGAGGCTTCTATGAGTTTGTTCCCAATAAATTTTTATTTTTTATTTTTATTTTTTCAAATAAGCAGACAATGTCATTATTTCGGGTTTTTAAGGCGGTAGCACACACTAAAAAACTGTCTCAACAAAAATTACAAAAGAATAAGGTCATCTTGCAGAGGTTGAATCTGGGGTAGGCACTATTTTTGGGGATCTTTGGGCAAGAATTCCATATTAGCCTGGACACCTACACCTCCTCTAGACAATATAGAAGCTCTAGTCCATGGTGGGCGACTTTAGCCAATCACAGGGGATTTCACTGATTAAATGAGATGAATAAAGAGAAACAAAGGAAGGCCTAGAACAGAAGTAAAGCTGCAGGAGGGCAGTAACTGTTCAAATTCTGATGTTTTTTGTTCTTTGCATTCTCCAGATTTCCACCTGCTACAGTTTTAACTCACCCCAGCTCAGTTTACCCAGAATCCCACTGATTTGTGAGGAACTGAAGGAACCCAGGCGGCACTTTTTCATATATGTGATACAGAGTCCTGCTGGTTTGCTGTTCAAGCTGCATAATCGGTTACTAATTTACACCAGACAGACCATGGGAGCACAATCATCAACCTGCTCGGTTAGAGACATGCTGGGCTGTCAGTCCTGGCATCCAAGAATAAGAAAGAACAGTAGAAAGTGCAAGATTTTAATGTGCACGATAAGACCCAAATCCTGTAATGTTTTCTAAAGCTGAATCGTTTTTTACTTGTGATGAAATCTGAGGATGATATTCGCGAGCAAACACTTTCTGCTGAATCTGCATGTCTTTAACAGCTACAAAACTTGCTGTACAGCAGTTTTGATGTGAAAGCAGTGATCTACTGTGTTTTTAGCTGTCACTTTAAATCAACTCTTACAGGAGGATGGGCAAACAAAGCATAATCTGCTGCATTAAGCCAGAGTATGATCCCACCTTATTTCTGTTGGCATCTGAAACCTTAAATACCTTAAACAATGTAATTTCGTATATTTGAATAACCTTAAACTGTTTGGGTGACCTTCCACATTTAAATGGTGCCGCAAGAAACAGACAACAACACAACAAGACAATCATAGCACTATTTTTTTTTTATTTTTTTTTTATTGGTAGAAAATAAATGTGAGTCTACAGTATAAAACGTAAAAAGCAGTGTTAGTGACAGCTAACACCTAGACACAGTACTGACAGGTACGAACAGCACACTTGTAAGTGAGAGAAGTGTGTGTGTGATCAGGAGGGAACCCAGATGTTGCCGTGAGTGTCGGGAGCCTGGCTGTACGGAATGTTCCAGATCCAAGGCTGATCTGAGGCAGACAAAGGAAAGAGGTCACTAAAATTAAATAAATACTGTGACTTACAAAATAAAAGCAACGCTATATCGGACACAGTGGCAGCGTTTGTTCCAGTTACAGTCTCTTCCTTCACTGTCTACATGGCAGAAAACAGCTTTTGAATATGTGGAATCTTACAGATGATCAGATTAAAATGATAAAAATGTATTGCTAAAATATGAGAAAGTGACATTCAAATGCTCTGTTTCTTTATTGGAGTAAGACAAGTACGTGTAGTACATTTCGCAAATGAGTGTGGCAAACAAAGAGAAAGACCAATAGACTGTCAGCTACAGTGATTTGGCTTTACTGTACTTTGTTCCATAGGTATTTAACTAATCCTCCATTCAACCAGTCTATCACAAGAGTTATTAAAATTTGCATAATTAAATGCATGTTTTTGCAGCCACTTGTCAACCCAGCAGCAGGAAAGGGTCTGTGAACATTGTAAAAAGTATTTTATCCACAATCACCTTGTCATACCCTTTCACACAGGATTTCAACAATTCACATTAGCAACGCAAAGACATAAATCCAACAATCTAGAGAGCTAATGACACGTGTCAAGATGAGTTCAGCAATAAGCCATATTACCAAGAAATAGTTTCAGTTTGTTTGAAGGCACAAATTATGACACAAAGCATCCAAGGACTGCTGAAGTCAGCTTAATCTGAAGTAAAGTTCAACTTGTCTTTGCTGCTCCTTCAAACATCACTGCTGTGTCCTCTGAAGCTGGCAACACTGGATGTAAACTTACAGTGGTACTTCAAAGTTTTTGAACCCTTTAGAATTGTCTGCATAAATATGACCTAAAACATCACCAGGTTCTCAAAGAAGCCCTAAAGAGAACCCAATTAAACAAATGAGACTAAAAATATTATGCTTGGTCATTTATTTACTGAAAAAAAGGTCTAATATTGCATATCTATGAGTGGCAACAGCAGGTGAATCTCTAAAATTAGCAGCTAGTTTGAAAACAACATTCAGGTGTTTTCTACCAGTGGAATAACAGTCAGTTGTGAGTGGAGTTTCTTTTTTATTTGAAGAACAGCGATCTAGCAAGTCTGATCTGCACCGCATGTTTGTGGAGGTGTATGATGGCACGACCAAGAGTTTTGTGAGGATCTCAAAAAAGATTTGTTGCTCAGCAGACTAGAAAAGAACATCTCATAAGAGTTTGGACAACATCATGTGGACAGAAGGTCTGGAAACAGTGAACAGATGAGACCAAACAGTGACTTTTGTTTCAAATGAGAACTTTTGTGTTTGGAAAAGGAAAAACTACATTCCAGCATCCGCCTTGTGAACCTGTGAAACACGGTGGCTTTAGTTTCACGATTTTTGGCTGTTTTGTTACATCTGGACTGGGACGTCTTTAATAATAACAATTGATCAGAATTATATCGCACTTTTCTAGGCAGTCAAAGACTGTCAATTCATTCACACACATTCATTCCAGTGGTGGTAGCTAAGATTGTAGCCAAGGCTGCCCTGGGGCAGACTGACAGAGGCGTGACTGCCATTCTGCCCCCACGGCCCCTCTGACCACCACCTCAAACAATCCATTCATAGGCATTCACACCAGGCAAGATGGGTGAAGTGTCTTGCCTAAGGACACAACGACCATGACACAGGTCACACAGGACCTTCTGATCATTGACCAACTCGCTCTACCACCTGAGCCACAGCTGCCCCGTCACTGACGGAACAATAAATTGGATTTGTACCTGAGAATTCTAAAGGCAAATGTCTGGACATCTGTCTATGAACTGAATCTTAGCAACAAGTGAGTCCTGCAGCGGGACATTGATCAAAAGCACACAAGTGTTCTGCCAAAGACGAAGAAGAATTAAATTTCTATTCATACATACATAAACTTGATGGTTCACATACTTTCAAGCACTATTTTACTTGTGTGCTTGTAAAAAAATCCATAAAGTATAGCTAAGCATACCATGGCTGAAATCAGATACCATCAACAATGTCTCTATTTTCAAGGACAACAACTTTTAACAAAAACTGCCAATCTACACACAGATAAAAGAAATTTGAGTTTTTTCAAATCAATAAATTAGCCTAAATTAAATCCCAGTAAGGGCCATGTCTAGATTGTAAAATGCTATTATTTAGAGCAAAAATGAAACCACTTTGTACATAAAGGAAAAAAAGAACCCAGAATGGTGCTTTCTAGGAAAAAATGTGCAGCTTTCAACAGTCCTTAACTTACAGCTCTCTAAGTTAGAAGGAGATAAGATCAGAAAGGAAAAATATCGGTACAAAAGTTTGGCTTGTTGGAGAGACAATGTGGCTACAAGGATGCAAAACATTTTCAAGTATTTAGGCACTTCACTTAACTAAGTCTATATTGGAAAGGCATTCACTGAACATCAAGTGCAGTTTTCAAGACACAAATACCTCTGAACTTTAAAATCTTTATCTGGGTTATGTTTGTTTTTTAAAGAGAGGTGCTTAATAGAAACTAGCACATCAAATTTGTAATAATGGATTACATTTATAACACCTATGCAAGCAGATTGGAATGATTCCACTAAAGTTTCCTCTTCACAATGGAAACAAAAATATAAAGCACCCTTGTTTCCCTTGTATATTTCTACGTGCAACAGAGTGTGGAAAGAGCACGAGAGGACATAATTATTGGAAAACTGGAGATAAAGTGAACTAGCAGTACACATTTGCATAGAGTGTATCCATGGGTGTGTGTGTGTGTGTGTGTATGTATGTATGTATGTGTGTGTGTGTGTGTGTGTGTGTGTGTGTATAAACACTTGCATACATGTGATTGCCTAGTTGGGGATCTACATTCTTTCTACAGGTGAAGACAGAAAACTGGACATTTATTGGAAGATTCAGCTCAAGTATACAACTATGCCTCTGTTATTACTTCTTCTTTAGCGTACGCATCCATTCAACCCTCTATTGTGTTCAGGCCAAACCCCAGTGAGCGATAATGGATGTTGAGACCGTGGTTATCAGCTTTCTTTGTTAACCAGGTTGTTTTCCTCAGATTCTGTACACACTCACATAAAAAAGTGTGTTTCATAAGTCTGACACTGTTCCATAATTAAGGAGACGTTGAATTCACTTCAGCTATTGGCCAAGTTAGAGTGAAATTATTATTATTGACTGAATATTCTCTGTGATAAATACCAACAGACTAATCAATTTTCTAATTTGTGTTCTACTAGCAGCAGAACCAGCAGTGTCAACAGACTTAGCAGCAAATCAAGGCAGAGCATAAAAACATTGTTATGCATTTTCTACTTCACCAAGTTGTTGTATGAAGGCAACACAGTTTGCCTACTGTAACTCCTCAGCTTGATTTAGTGAGATAACTAACAGACAGCACAACAGGTTTGCAGATAAAACACATTCACTCAGCTGACAACCTGTATCACTCATAGACAATCGTCAGGAAAAAAAATGGTGAAAAGGAGATGTAATAATTTTGTATAATAAATTGACATCTTTGTTGCATGCCAAGAGAACACATTGACTTGGATTAAAATGTAAAATAGCATGTAGCAAATATGATCCCTCACAAACTCCTCACTCTCTCTTTCAGTCACCCTCACACACACATCTGATGTCCCCCAGGGCTTTCTCACACTTCAGTGTCACACTTGTTGTGTGATTGACCTGAAAGTGTTAAACTGACCTTTATCCTTTTTTTCCTTTGGAACACACTAGTGCATCTCAAAAAACTTGGAACATAGTTAAATAAAAAAGTGAAAATGTAAGATATTCTCGAGTCATTACATGCAAAGTAAAATGTTCCAAGCCTTTCCTTGTTTTCATTTTGATGATTATGGCTAATGAAAACTAGAAATCAAGTATCTCAAATATTAAAATATTTTATTTTGAGTTGAAATAAATTACTTCTCAAACAGTATAAATACTGTGTATCTCTCGGTCTAGCTCAGTGAACGCAACCACAGTCATGGGAGGACTGTTGACCAGAAAGTTGTCATGAAGATGATCATCAACACCCTCCACAAGGAACCACAAGAGGTCATTGCTGAAAAGATTTGATCTATTAAAGCACATTAGAAAGTTGACTGGAAGGGAGAAGTGTGTCAGGAAAAGGAGCACAAGCAACAGGGATGACCACAGCCTTGAGAGGAGCCACAACTGTCACATTCCTAATATCAGGACACTAACCAGAGACAACGTCTGGAGATCTAACCTGGGCCAAGGAGGAAACAACTGGACTGTTGCTCAGTGGTCCAAAGTCCTCTTTTCAGATGAAAGTAAATTTTGCATTTAATTTAGAAATCAGGGTCAAAGAGTCTGGAGGAAGAGTGAAGAGCCACAGAATCCAGGGTGCTTCATCTGCTGCCAAGCTTTATAAAGATTCTGATTTCCTTTTCCAGCAGGACACAGTGCCAAAACTAACAACAAATGGTTTGCTGACCATGACATTACTGTGCTTGACTGGTCAGCCAACTCACCTGAGCTGAACCCCACAGGACCCCTTGTTTTGATTGATCTTAGGAAATGTTCTGATAATTTAAGATACTGGATTTCTGATTTTCATGAGCTTTAAAACATAATCATCAAAACGAAAACAAAAAAAATATGTAATGAGTCCAAAATATGTAAAGATTTTCCCTTTCTTAAGTAAATGATGGAAAATATGAAACTGTTCAGGATGTTCTAATTTTTTGAGATGGACTCGTATATGCCATTAATTGTGACTGATAACACAACTGAACAATAATTGCTCATTTTACCATAAAATAAATACAAACCAGTTATCCATCCATCCATTCATTATCTATACACCGCTTAATCCTCAGTAGGGTCGTGGGGGGGCTGGAGTCTATCCCAGCTGGCTCAGGGTGAAGGCAGGGGACACTCTGAACAGGTCACCAGTCTATCACAGGGCCACACTTAGAGACAGACAACCAAGCACACTCACATTCACACCTACGGACAATTTAGAATCACCATTTAACCTCAACATGTTTTTGGACTGGCTGCAAGGTGGCGCAGTTGGTAGCCCTGTTGCCTTGCAGCAAGAAGGTTGCCGGTTCGCGTCCCGGGGGCACCGGAATCTTTCTGCGTGGAGTTTGCATGTTCTCCCCGTGCAGCCTGGGTTCTCTCCGGGTTCTCCGGCTTCCTTCCACACAGTCCAAAAACATGTTGAGGTTAATTGGTGATTCTAAATTGTCTGTAAGTGTGCTTGGTTGTCTATCTCTAAGTGTGGCCCTGCGATAGACTGGTGACCTGTCCAGGGTGTCCCCTGCCTTCGCCCTAAGTCGGCTGGGATAGGCTCCAGCCCCCCCGCGACCCTAATGAGGATTAAGTGGTGTACAGATTGTGAGAGGAAGCCGGACAACCTGGAGAGAATCCACGCTGCACAGGGAGAACATGCAAACTCCACGCAGAAAGATCCCGGGTGTTCTCACCGGGACGTGAACCAGCAACCTTCTTGCTGCGAGGCAATGGTGCTAACCACCGAGCCACCTTGCAGCCCCAAACCAGTTATGTTAGTTATCATTTGTTTTATCTTTTGTCACACTTGGTCTTATAAAGGCCTGTTTTGTTTATCATAAGCAATAAAATAGATACATTGTGCCTATTTTATACTGAGTTAATGTGAATTATTTGAACTTAGCTGGCAAAACATTTTACTGGATGATATTTAGTGTTTCTTTCAGTGCTTAGTTAAATAAGTATTTCAAATTAAAATCTACCTTGACCTATAAACACAAAAAGTTTCAAAGATGATAGGAGGGTAAAAAGAAGGATTTTTTGTAAAAAATAAATAAATAAATAATTTGACACTGTCCTTTCCAAATAAAAATAAGATTTTAAAAAAGAATACTTGCACTTTATCCAGACAGAGCATGGATTGCTCAGTCAGGGTTATACCCTGAACAGGGACTGTGCTAAAGTGCAGCACTACACAAATACATACAGATTTCTGGAGAGACACACACACCCACAGAAAAACTCCTGTACCTTTAGAAGAGTAGCATGTAGGGGGGAGGTCAAAGGGCACAGGGAAACCAGAAGAGGATGATGAGACAGGAAATGGATTTTTGTCAACGGGAAAGGTCTTCATGTTCTGAAAGGAGACAACAGCACAAAACAAATTAGCACAAACCAGTACTGTATGTACCTCTGTTAACAACAACGGAATAGCTTCTGTTATTTAGCCATGGGATTCTTTCTTTTCTGCAATATATTTTTGAAGACTGGATGAACAATAAGCCCTTGATTAGCCACACTGCAGGTTCCACCTCTCCTGCAGTCTGACATGCTGGAATCGTGCCACTGTTCATCCATGTGTCTGTGCGGTGTTCTTACGAAGGCAGACGGCACATAGAGGACTCCCAGCTCGTATGAACGGATCATTATCTGAGTGTTGTTCTTCTCCAGTGCTCCCCACGCTGCCTTGGACAGATTGGCACTGGAACAGAACACACATGCAAAAATCTAAATACAGCTGTCCAGATAAGAAAAGAATCTGATTGATAAGAAACCTTATGCAAACATTTTACAAGCAAAAGCTGTCTTTATTAAAGTAAAAACCTCATCAGGCTATTGCAAATATGTACGTAGGGGTCCTCTTTCTAGAAATGAGAAAACACTAACAACAAGAAAAACACAGATAAAAACAAATAATTGTACATAACAAAAATGACCAAATATGATGCTAGTATACAAATACACACCTTGTGATGAGGAACCAGGCAAGCTGAGCAAAATCTGGAGATGCCCTCATATATGTTTTGATATGTGGCATGGCGTGACTCCTCCCTGTCGAATTTGCCTTCCAGCGGCTAAACACACACACACACACACACACACACACACACACACACACACACACACACAGGCACGCACATGCACGCACAGCATTTGATTGATTTGTTCAGTTAAACATAAAGGAACATAGCTCTGTGGATAAAGCTTTGTAATCCAGTGAATTACAATGCATATAAACCAGAATTGGCCATCAGTTCATGTGGGCCAGATAAGCAATTCTGTTATCTGGGGATGCTAGCCACATTTACAGGGAGCTTTCAGGTGACATAGCACAACCTGGCAGCCATATTTACAAGTCCACAGACTAACCCTAACCCTACAATGTGCTCAGTGATGTAAGATGAAATAGCTCAGCTCATTACATACTTACCCAAGACAAATACCAACTACTTAGTTAAAGAGGTAGTACAAAGTGTTTATTTGGAGTTACATGTACAACTTGCTTTCATGTTGCTGGGTTGAAACTGTTCTATTTCTAAACTGGTTGTTGTGCATTTAATTAATGTGCAGATTTGTGACCAGGCAGCAAGATTCCAAGGACAAAAAAAAGTAACAGCTTATTGAACAAAATAAGTAAAAAAGACTAATAATAGCAGCCAACAGAAAGTGACAGCAGGGCTGACCTTTCATTAGTACAAGTGAACTTACTGGAAGTAGGAGTGGAGCCACAGCTGCTTCTGAGCTGTTTGGATGCTGTAAGGAAGAGAGCCTCCAGCTGGAGGGCAGAAAGTTTAACATCACAACTGAATCCACAGCAAATAATGACGACACATCAATCAGAATCTTAGTTGGTACAAGGTGCGATCCAAAAGTTGCAAGACTATGCCTATGAAAATCAAAGACATCCCATATTTAAATTCTGCTGCCATCCTCGTCAAAGTAGTCTTATGCAGCGATACAGCGCTCCCGGTCCTTCTGCAACACTTGTAATGCTCCCTGGAAGTCCCTTTATTGGCTCACAGATGGTGCTTTTTTGTGCACAATCACATAAATGTTGAAGAAAACAACAAGCATGCACTCAGTGTGTTCATCCTGCACTCATGCTGCTTCTTCTCTCAGTGGCAGCTGCACACCCACCCCTCATCACCAGTGGTGATCCTCCAAATGAAGATGGGCTCATCCTGGGCTGCTGATTGATATAGAATTTGGTGTTTTCAGTCCTGCTCTTGTTTGAAGTCTATGGAGAAATGGCAAACATGCATCTACCGGTGGTCACAAAAATGTGTGTAACATAGGTCCTTCTGCTGACAGCAGTATGATATGACGTCTTGACTCGTCAATTCAATTCAATTCAATTTTATTTGTATAGCGCATATTTACAACAACAAGTCATCTCATAGCGCTTCACAAAGGCAGAAACATCCAACAATCCAAAACATTTGGATTCCCTATACGCTTCAGCAGTCCGCAAGCAGTCTGCAACAGTGGGAAGGAACCGAAAACCCCTGCGGGGGAAAAAAAAAACCTCCGACAGAACCAGGCTCAGGAAGGGACGGCCGTCTGCCTTGACAGTTGCTGTTTGCACGTGTTCCATGTGCTAGACTGTGATGTGCTCCAAACATGCACCAGTCCCACAACTTTTAGATCACACCACATGTATCAAAGCAAATAAAATTTTTAAGGCAGTCTTGGCTTATATTGCTAAAATGACCTGCATTTGGAAAAAGTAATTTATTTGCTTCCTCCAGGATACTTGACATATATTAATAAATTAATGATTCAGGGACATGAACTCTCACCTGGGTAGCCTTCTAAGCTCATCCTCACATCTTCAACTGATGGATACAGCTGCAAAAGAAAATCCTGTTAGCTTCTTGGTTTAGAAATTCAGACCTTTATACTCCTAAAGAAGGGTTAGGTCATTTTTGATGAACTGCTGGTAAACATGACAAACAGTTACAAGATAGTGGTTCATGCCTATTTAGAGAAGAGTCATGAAATCAGTAAACTGGTTCAGTAATGTCAGTTACAGCAGTATCTGGCCAACATTGTTACCACTGGAAAACACAAGCTACTGCACTGGTCATACCAGACCAAGTAAAGATGTAGCAACAACACTCTACATTGGCAGAGATTGAGGCTAATTAGTGCTTTTCATGTCCAGAAGAGTATGTGTGATGTAAGAGTCCAGCGTCTGTGCGGACTGTCCATGTGAAGTCTTAAAACAAATGTTTAGCAAGAGGAGAGACTGTATAAGGAGAATCTCATACCTTTCTAAGTCATTGTTAAAAGAGTTGTAATTTAAGTGGTTGCTGCTGGACTTTGAAGGAGCTTTGATTTGAATGTGCTTTCCATCGACTCCCAGACACAGCAGCAAATTCTATATCCTTTAGGAATATTTACTGACACGGTGCTACAGCCCAATCTGTAAGAAGCTGCTATATTCTGTAAAAAAAAAATCCTTGTGTGGGGGCGCCGCTATAGCTCACCTGGCTGAGCTGGCGTCCCATGTGCAGGGCTACAGTCCCTATGTGGAGGTCATGAGTTCGAATCCCGCTCATGACCCTTTCCCACATGTCCTCCCCCCATTCTTCTCCCCGACTTTCCTGTCTCTCTCTGACTACACTATCCAATAAAGACCAAAAAAAATTATTAAAAAAAAAAATCCTTGAGTGTTTGTGTGTGTTGAGTGTGAGGCAATGTAACCATGTGCACAGACCAGCACGGCTCTATCATAGCATGAACAGAGCCCTGTGTGTGTCACACAGCTTATCGGCCTGTGCACACAGACGCAGAAAGCATGAGTTTGTGTTGGAGAACACTACCAGGTGCACAGGGGGGTCTGGGCGAAGGGAGGATTTTCCTAGTGTGGTCAGGGTGCGCTGAAACTCCCCTGCCACCCACTTGGTCTTATCCAGTCCCATAGAGCCGATACTGGAGAACTGGCCGATCACAGGCCACCCATCTTCTCCGGAAATAGGGTTTGTGTGGTCATGAAGCAGCTAACGAAAACAAGAGCAGGGTAAACCTTGAAGCACTGTCATACTGAAAACACCCAATTTTTGAAATGACATTAGATTACATTGACAACTTTGACATGTTTTTCAGTTCATCTGGTTGCTAGAAAGCTTTTCTTAATTTATTTAATGCACGCAAATAACAAATAATGTTTGATAAGGCGCAAATTAAAAGCCAAGGAGTACTTAGCAGGAACATTTATAAACCAAATCTGTGTTTTTGCATGTTTTTGTCCGTTTTACCTCTAATGTGCAATGTTGACCAAAACTTATTTAAATGATATCCAGTAAAAGGAAAATATAAAAAATGCAGAGCTTTGTTTGAGATAGCTCACCAGCCAAAATGAGTATTAAACTTGCTAAATATAAAGTGATAATGCAACATGGGATTGCTTTGTGTTTGTGTGTTCAGCTATTCTACAAAGTTCTAGTATTTTAAAAGTCAGCAGCTAAACAGTGACCTCTGGACTACAAGAAACAACCACATTCATGTCCTTTAAACAGACTCCATGTTTGGGTACTGATTAATGTCTACATTTTATATTCCAAAATTTGGTCATGTAGCAAAGAAACAAACTGTCACACAAAACAATACTGACGTTTGGTGTGACTTAATGAAGATGGATCACTTGCAAGCAAATTTCAAGTTTCACGAGAGAGAATTGTGGGATGTGGTTGAAGCTGGAGAGAAAAAGGCCATCTTTACCTTCCTCAGCCTCAGATGGCCCCAGCGCTCCATGTCTGCACCCACATACCTCCCTGGGGTTGATCCGACCAAATACACCCTGATAACAGAGAATAAGATGGGAGCAAGCTGTAATCCAGATGTTACTGTACTGATTTCAATCAAAACTGCAAAGCCGTTATTACATCGTCTTACATCTGAGGAGATAATGAGATTAAAGACATTTTCATTTAATTGAAGTGCTGCAATCAGTAGAATGTGGACTTTAGAGGCTCTCTAATCAGGAAAGTGGGGATCTGTGAGTGATAATCGAACGGTGGCAAAGAAGAAGCTGAATTTACTTAAGTCTGACAGGTACAGCTGAACCATTTGATGAAAGCATTCGTTAAACGTCTGTGTGTAGTATGCACATGTGTATGTGCATGTGCCTTTTATTTACCTCGTCTCTGACAGGTCATGCTCTTTGATTCGTTGGATCCACTCTTCGAGTTCTGGTGCTCGGTACGATGCCAAGTACTCCAGCAGGTCCCTCTTAAAGAAGGTGAGTGACTCACCTGCACTCGCACTACTTCCCTTTGGTAACCGTGGAAACAGAGGGCTCATCCACATCCTAGTTTGGGATAATTTCCAAAACCAAACTTTGCATTAAACGCTGGTGTCTACCTTCAGCAAGACTGACTCTACTGTTAACGTGGCTCATATTATGTAGAAATGACAGTGTCACCTACAGTCACTCAGACTGTCTAAGTAGTAAAGACCCACCCTTGTGTTTTCTGGTACCAGTCAGCTCTGATCAGGTTGGAGGTCATAATAATGACCCTGAACCCTTCTTCATACCACAGTAACATCATCTTCCTGCACAAAGACACACAACAACTTTCAGTTTTATGTGACAACAACAAAGTGTAGACTCAAGACCTGTGATATCCACAGCATAACGTAGGGTGATCATTACAATTTTCTATTCTGCTATTAAAGGGTTTCAACAGTGCTGAACAAGTTAAAAAGATCCGTTAAACACCACAGAGAAAGGAATAAATCCATTTCATGATCTTATCAGCCAAAATAAATGCTGTCAGATTAAATGTTATTAAAATACTTGTAATTAACAATATGACCGTCTTTTTCTGTTTATTTTATGTTACAATTTGTTTTAGATAATAGGTATTAGCACCTTTGGACACCATCTTTTTGCTGCAAATGATTAGGCTCTCGTCTTACATTTCACTTAAAACCAAAACGTGCCCAAAGGGGCGCTGTGGCGCTTGGTTTTGCAACAGAATCCATGAAATTAATGTCATTAAATGCTATTCAAAATGCAGTTGGTTGAAGATTAGACATTAAGTACATTGAGACCAACAGTAGATGTGCAAGGCAGCAGTGGCTCAGGTGGCAGAGCGGGTTGTCCTCCAAACGCAAGGTTCGCAGCACGATCTCCCGCCCCTCCACAGTCGAAGTATCCTTGGGCAAGACACTGAACCTGATGTTGCTCCCAATGGCAGGTAGCACCTTGCATGGCAACTCTGTCACCATTGGTGTATGAATGTGTGTGTGTGAATGGGTGGATGCGAAACACATTGAAAAGCGCTTTGGATAAAAGCACTATATAAGTGCAGACCATTTCATCATACTCCATGATGTGGAAATAGTGACTGGAATATGAAATGTCTGCCAGTTTCATCCAGCTGTTTTATTCAGATAAATGGAAACACTTATGCAAAGTCCTTGTAAATAACTGTGACAGGGAAAGTATGATGAAAACTATGACAATGTGGACGAGAACTATTTATTATTTAGGCTTTTTTCAGCATCCAGAATAACGTAACAATATCTCCTGATAGTATGATTGATTGAATGAGTGTAGCCTGAACCTGGATACGCAGCATGAAACATCCATCCATCCACTATCTATACACCACGTAATCCTCACTAGGGTCACGGGGGGCTGGAGTCTATCCCAGCTGACCCTGCAGTCTATCGCAGGGCTACACTTAGAGACAATCAACCAAGCACAATCACATTCACACCTACGGACAATTTAGAATCACCAGTTAACCTCAACATGTTTTTGGACTGTGGAGGAAGGCGGAGAACCCGGAGAAACCGGAGAGAACCCACGCTGAACATGCAAACTCCACACAGAAAGATCCCAGGTGTCCTTACCGGGACGCAACCTTCTTGCTGCGAGACAGCGGTGCTAACCACCAAGCCACCATGCATGTATATTCATTTGTGAGAGTTTAATAATACTGATGATGAAGGGCACAATTGTAACAGACCTATTTCAATGCAGACATGAGCGATATGACAAAACATGATGTGATACAATGCGATATGAGTTTTGACCTGCCAGACTTTCAAATGTCAGTGAAAAATGTCTGTGGTATGCTCTAGAAATTACTGGGATGTCTAGTGATCACCATATCTCAATAAAAATTTAATCATTAATTTAGCCCTAATTATCTTAATTTCACAACAACATGAATCAGGGTATCCTGTACCAGTCCACATTTAAAGGCCATACTCAACCATTTATCCACCCCATGTTCAAAGTACTGACAGAGCTTAACACAAATACAGTCATATCTCACCAGACTAATAATAGGGACTAATCCCAGTAAGGAACAGAAACACTTACGTGTGGTGAGTTCCAAAGGCAATGTCAAGCTTGGCCTGTCAACATAAAAATGAACATCTCATTACCATGCACTTCCCTGTGACACATTATATCCACATCTGCCTTTGTGGAACAGCTGTGTTCTGTGCTATGGAGTCGGTACCTGGCAGAAGCGAACATGTGGAAAGGGTTGAGCCTGCTGGACCAGCCGGGCCTTGGCCTCCCGCTTATCTCCATGGACAATCAGAACTGGCCGATCCCTGAAAATGCAAACTGAGTGTTAAACTCCACAAATTTCTGGCAGTTTTCACCTGTGTCAAGTACTGTTTTTTTCACCACTGATTGAAGTAATTACTGGTTTGAAGTGTGTCACTTGGACTGAAGCTGAGGTAGGCAGGCATCTAGAAAATGCAAAGAAAAAATGTAAATGCAGACCTCCTTCTGCAGCTTGATCAAGAGGCTTGAGCCAGTCCAAGAGTATGTCGTGTCACATAGCTTTTTATGTAGTTAAACTTTCAATTGCCAAGGCTGACTCTGAGGTGAGGAAGCCCATCTCCTTTTATCTTGGGATGATTTGCAGCATAGTTGTAAGTGCGTTTTTTCCTGTAGGACTTTCTGCCACTGAATCCAGCTTTCAAACATCTGAAGGTGCTGCACACAAATCTGCATTTGTAGAACAGCATATATGAACACCTTCGTTCTGAAAACACTTGTGGTTGGCTAAAGTTTCCTTGTCATGGACTAGATTTTCTAAAGCCTGACAACAGAGCCAAGAGGAGGTGCAGAAGTCTCAACCCACTTGAATTACAATATGCTGAAGGGTATGTGGTAGTTTTTGTCCAATGACGGCAAAAACTTACTGCCTACCCCAGCTTTAAAGGTCTCAAAATAGGGTTTCTTATTTTAGTTTGTAACAGGAGTTTACATTTTTCATTCACAAGTAACTAAAGGGCAATAATCAGTAGAATGTAGACATTATCAGAGGGTCTAATCAGATAAATGAGGATATGTTCGTGCAACAATGGAAAGGAAGAATTTACCTAAAGTCTGATGGGTACTGCTTTACCATCCAGGCAATATCAAAGCAGTAGTTAAACTACAAGGAAAGAGAGTAGACCATTAGTATTGATCAACATTTCACAACCCATCTCAGAGTTGTTGAGATGTTTCCCAACGGATTTCATCCTCATAGCGAGACTACATGAAAAGATTAATTCCCTAGCGATCATAAATTTCCGTACAAACATTCTCAGCAAACCATCCTGTGGCTGCTCTCTACTCAGCATAGGGTCAAACACTAGTTACATACCTGAACAGATTCTTTCAGGGTCCCAAATAATGGAGAGAGAATGTCTGTATGGAAGAAAAAAGTTACAGTTATTAGATTAGAAATTAAAGCACTCGCGATTGATGACTGTTCATTCAGTTCAGGTCCATCCATCCATCATCTATACACCGCTTAATCCTCAGTAGGGTTGCGAGGGGCTGGAGTCTATCCCAGCTGACTTAGGGAAAAGGCAGGGGACACCCTGGACAGGTCGCCAGTCTATCGCAGGGCCACACTTGGAGACAGACAACCAAGCACACTCACATTCACACCTACAGACAATTTAGAATAACTAATTAACCTCAACATGTTTTTGGACTGTGTGGGAGGAAGCCGGAGAACTGGGATCCGAACCGGCGACCTTCTTGCTGCGAGGCAACAGTGCTAACCACTGAGCAACCTTGCTGTCCCATTCTGAACCGTAGCTGACAAATATTATTATAAATTTACTTTTAATGGATCTAAATTGTTAGGAATTCATTTCTTTCATCCAGACACTTCCTGCTGGTTTGTGTACTTAAACTCTTTACCAGTGCTTCAGGTTTTGTTCTCATCTTGAAAGATCCCCACCACACCTACCTCTGATGTGTAGCGCGCCACTGTTGTACTTCTTGTCCAGGCCTGTGACTTTGTTGAGGTAGAACCTGTAGGTGTCATTTAGACAAGGAAAAGAGGATTCAAAGAAGTCCTCTGGCTCGTCAATGTAGTAGAGTCGGCCGTGGGGACTTGGAGGACGCTCGTTCTCCACTTTGGGTTTCTTTGTTTTGGGGCTGGGAGGGGTCTTCTTTGGTAAGTTACTGAGAGTCTTCTTCTTCACATGTCCATCATCTTCATCACTATCTGACAGAGCCCAGCCTGTGCTATCTGACACTTCTTTCTTCCGCTTTCCAGCCAAGGAAGGACTCGTTTCATACTTGACTGGATTCGACTGGTTCAGTGCGGCCGACTGTCTGGCCTCGGAGGCGATGGTGAGTGACGCAACAGGGGGTTTGGCTGGTTCTGGTTTCACCTCCACAGGAGCTGTTACTAGCACTAAAGAGGCAGAACTGTGATTGGATTCAGCAGGTCGACGGGACTCAGGTGTTTTAGTCCCAGAAGGAGGGAGATGATCGTCATCGTCGTCGCTGCTGGAGACGGTCCACCTGCCGTGTTGACTGTCCTGAGACATGTCTGAGCAGAGACAACAGCAGGATGGAGCACAGCCACTGGTCAGTTATGCAAGTATCTGAAAAGCTGTGCACCAAGAACTGCTCAACAATTTGGGGAAAATATATCCTCTATGACAGGAAACTGATTATTGGGAAACAATTATCTGCACTTTTCACCATTTTATGGCATCTTATAGACCAGATTACTAATCAATTGATCCAGTAAATAATCACCAAATGGACAATGAAAATAAAGTTTAAATAATGAGTGAGATTGTGTCAGTCAAACCACAGTGTGCAGCACAGACCACACAATATGCACTGATGAATGGGCAGCATAAACAGCCCTCCGTTGGAACTAAACTGAATTACAACATTAGTCTCAATATTTAATAGCCATACTTCATATATCTTACAATGCAGTTGTTGTGATTTTATAATTTCATTGTTTCAAACTGCAAGTTGGATTCAAATGGATGAATTGTTCAGCTCTTGCACAGACTAAAGTTCACCCTGAATTGATCTGATTCAATGCCTGATGAACACAGAAACCAACCCGTGATACTGGCACTGAAGAAAGACTTAAGACCTGAGGAGGAATTGGCAGTGATCTGATGGGGCCAATCACTGTTTCTAACTATAAACCCTGTGCAGAGAGATTTCCTCCATCAGGACGGTTTACAGCTTAAGACTCAACTGGAGTCAGAGAAATTCTTTATTTTGGCGTCTCTAAATGAAATATACAGATATGTGAGATCAGTAGAGATGTACTGCGGGTATGCAGTTAGCGTATTCCACATGGGTTGGTCCCAAGGCTAAATATTAAAGAACTGCATGCAAAATCACGACTAACACCGAATAAAGAGGGGTTAGTAATAGCAGGTGTTACTGTTGTCGGTGCAGGTGTGTCTGTATCCGGTCGGACAAGGGAGCAGCGGCGCAGCTCGGTTCTGTTGTAAACGCAGATAAATCAACTGCTACAACTCTGCACAATACATCTACAAAACACACCAGGCGCCGCACATCAACACGAGTCCGGCTGGAAACTCTCGCCTTGTCTATAGTTCCGTCCTACAGTGAAGGCTGTTACAGAGCCGAGCAGGGAGCGACTCCACCCAGTGGCACAACCAGGTACTGCAGCTACTCTACGTTATATAACGGACTTTAATCAATGGACTTTAATCTGTTAAATTATTCACGGGAACTAAAGAACCTAAGAGCCAAAAAGAGAAGTCCACTTTTTTTCCCTCCTTAACATTTAATCTAGAAGCTCAACAAGCACATTTTCTGGACTGCCATTAGCAGCAGTATTAACTGACCTCACTGGTGCCAAATGATGATCACAGCAGCAAGGAACTGATGATTCCCTTTTGTTTTTAGAAGTGGGTGTTTCTTGTTTAATGTCTGTTGGTGTCAGTTTGGATTTCAGGATTTCATTGTTTAGTTTTGTGTTGTATGTCTTGTGTTATTTAACCTACTGATGTCTTCACTTTCCTTTAATTTCTTTTCCAAAGATATATTGCAGTCCGTATAAATCACATGCACATCATGTACAATAATAACAACCAGCACGCTGACACACACACAATGCAGGCTGATATATCAGGACATCTACACAGAACAATGCCTTCCATGAACGGTCGGTCAAAACGAGAAAACTGTGTTTAGTCTAACCTGAGGCCTCAGACACGGTAGCGCTCTACTGTCTAAAGAATCCCACGTCTTGTGTGGTTTAAATGTTTTTTGTATGTTTTTTTTTTTATTTTTTTGCTGAGACAGAAACAGTCCTTCTCTTCATGTTGTAATATACAGCCTGATGGCACAATGCAAGACTTGTGTTTCACACTGGAGAAAACCTGTGATAGTAAAGAGATCATCTCTGTACCTTTTCATTTTCATTTCATTCATTCACCCAAGAGCATTGGGGTTTACATGGGTTAGAAGGAAAAAGAAAGACTGCGTGAATGTGCTTTTATGATTACAATCACACTCTTAAAATGAGTTCTCATTATCAAGAACTGGCCTAATGATTATTGACATTCATGTCGATTTTAGAGACTGCTATGGAAGAGCTGGTGTGATTTAACATTTTTAAAGAGCTTTTGATATTAGGTTGTAAGTATTGAGCATTTACAGCCAACAGAAAAACACCTGGAGCTTTTTCAGAAGTGCCAAACTGAACTGAGAAACAAAATTGTAAGAATATTTTGGCTAAATCAAAGCTACAGAAAGGTTCAAAGGCTATAAAGACATGTACTGTACACACTATGATGTATGTCTAAAATGTCTTCTACCACTCGCTAAAGATTTGCATTACATTCATTGATATCCAGTTAAAAATCGCTTTACATTGACAGCTGTTGGGGGATTATTTTATGAGAACATACTTTCTTACTCTTCTACTGTACTTACAGGCTACATAAATCATTTCTACTTTATTGCTGGAACAATTGAACTAATCAAATACAAAATTTAAAAAATATACAGGCTAATTCACATAGGGTGGATCGGTGGTTAGCACTGTTGCCTTGCAGCTAGAAGATCCCTGGTTCGTCACGGTGAGGACACCCGGGATCTTTCTGCGTGGAGTCTCAGTCTCCATGTTCTCCCTGTGCAGCGTGGGTTCTCCAGGTATCCTCCCACAGTCGAGAAACATGTTGGTTTATTGGTGATTCTAAATTGTCTGCAAGTGTGACTATGAGTGTGCTTGGTTGTCTGTCTCTAAGTGTAGCCCTGTGATAGACTGGTGACCTGTCCAGGGCGTCCCACGACCCTAGTGAGGATTAAGTGGCGTATAGACAATGGATAGATCATTCACCTGAGACAAAAGTACAATTTGAGTTTTGATATTTTGTTCAAGAAATCCACCCTGAAGCCAGCCTTTGTGTTACGGACTGGTTCAGAGACTCATGCGCGAGGCAACACGACACGGCAGACAGGCAGTTAGAAACAATTTATTGGTACACACAGGAAATAAGTACAGAACTCAAAGAGGTTTGCAGGCAAGGCAAGCTACGTCTATTAGTGACCGAACTAAACAAAAAGAACTAAAGACTCGGACCCGAGTTCGGTATCATTGAGTCGGGCAACCGAGGAAACAAAACTAGACTAAACAAAGGAACAACTAAGGGAGGACACCAAAGGTGCTAACGGGGTGACTCAATAAACAGAAAAGGCCAGCAGACAAAAGGCTATCTCAAAAGGATAGACTGGCGGACTTAATTCTGAACTGGGAGATACAGGACATACAGACAGACTAAAGAAGACACAAAAGCTAACGCTACATTCAGACAGGCAGACTTAATGCACTGCACAGAGTTACAGGACATACGGACTGGCAAACTAAAGAACATCTCAAGGCTGGCACACTCCTAGATCAGATGAAGATTAAATTTGTTGGGCTCAGATGGAGTCCAGCATGCCTGGTCTGAGTCTGACCAGGACGAGTACAGTAAATGCATCGTCCCGCCAGCGAAGCACAGAGGATGCTATGAGGCTGCATGAGTGTAAAAGATGTTGTGGAGAGGATATTTATAGATGAATGTCTGTGGACGAACCAAACACTGTCTGACGAGATGACTCTCAGGCTGCAGGAGCTGGAAGAAGAGGAATATTCCAGCATGAGAGTCACACAGGAGTTTGTACGAGGTGGCAAGGTACTGACACTAAGTAGGAATGCTAAGTTAATCAGGCTAGCAAAACCCACACCGGGAGAACCAGACCTGACAGGAGCCGACCGAGTGGAGAGGGGAAGCAGGGAGGAGGGCAGGAGGTGCAGCGGGGTTGGCGTTGCCGCGGCTGCGGTGGAGAGGCAGACGGAGACTGGGAGCAGACGCCAGGAATTTCAGGGAGGGGAAGGTGAGCGGAGCTGGTGCTGGAGAGCAGACGGAGCCGTAGGTGATGGAGTGGTGTCAGGACTGACGGGTGGACGAAAGCGGGCAGGTGACAGGTGGAGAATCCGGTTCCTAATTGCAGGAGTCGCCGGCTGACGGAGTGGCTGGATGTCAGTGGCAGATGATCCGGGCTGCAGACGGAAAAGGCCAAGTTAAATTGCGGCTGACAAGAAAAGGAGCTGAGAATAAACAATCTGGGTTAGGAACTGACTGAGGACTGTTTACGGTCCGGCGACGCTCCTT